TAACTCACCAACTATGTGTTGGATTCCCAGCATCATCTCGTTCCCACGCAAGTATAATGGTGACAAATCTGGTAACATTGCATCTCCGTTTAGATAATTCAACACTTGTCTCATAGTTGGTCTAGCTGTGGGTCGGAGTGAGAGCACAACAAACCTAGCTTCAATACCATTTCCACCTCTCTTTGATCACATTCTGTCCCTAGATTCGGATCCTTAGCATCCAAAATGTTTCCCTCATTCCAAAACCCAAAAACCAAATCCACCAGCAAGACCCTCTCACCACTCTCGTTCTGATCTCGATAGGACGTCTACCGCACGCTACTTCAAGTAGGAGCACCCCAAACGCAAAAACATCGGTGCGGTCGTGGCCTTTCCTGTCCTGATGTGATCAGGGGCTAAGTATCCCCATGTTCCAGCGACACGAGTGGTTAGAGGATCCGAGCCGTGACCGCACAACCGAGCTAAACCGAAGTCTCCGAGTCTCCCATTGAGCTCCGCGTCTAACAAGACGTTGCTGGCTTTGATGTCGCGGTGAATCACCACTTGTTCCCATTCCTCGTGGAGGAAGAACAAGCCAGAGGCCACACCTTTGATGACTTTAAACCTCTGTTTCCAGTCGAGTGTTACCTCTGGATTATTGTGCAAGATATTTGTCTAAGCTTCCATTGGGCATGTAGTCGTACACCGAGAAGAAGCTCGTTTTTCCGGCGGCAATAACCCAAGAGAGGGACCAAGTTCCGGTGACTCATCCGACCAATACTCACGATCTCAGACACAAACTCTTTCAACCCTTGTCGGGATTCGTTGGAGACTCTTTTCACGGCGATCTTCTTCTTCGTCTTGGGCATGACACCTTTGTAAACGCTTCCAAAGCCGCCTGATCCGAGAAGGCCATTCTCCTTGAACCCTTTGGTGGCATAGTATAAATCCTTGAACTTCAACCGAATCTTGGCGAACTCTGTTTCCCAATCTTCGATCTCCTCGGCGAACTTTCTCCTCCTCCTCACAATGAATCGCACCAGGAATACGATCAAGAAAATAAACAAGACCGGAATCAACACGAGGGAAACTAGCATCCCGTTCTTGTAGAACCTCTGTATTTTGGTGGGCCCAAACCTCGGAATTTTCGGAAGTTTCGATAAGGCCAACGGCGGAGCTTTTCCCTTCACCTGAAACTCCACCCAAGAACAAAATGATCCGACGATATAATTAAGGCGGTGGAAGACGAGAAACCAACGAACATGTCTTGCAAAAGAACCGAAGATAGATCCTTGACAGTAGAAACAAGCGGTTTTCTAGGTTTATCCTCGTTGAACGGAGCCATCGTCACATCGATTTTATGCGAAAGACCATCGTAATCGACCCAAACCTGCATCGCTTACGACTGATCAAAGTCAGATTCTTAAACTGACCAGTCTTGTCCCAGTATCCAGCTCTCGAACTGTTTATCGACATCAAGCTGTTGATATCGATTCCGACATGGTTCTCGTTTCATTGAATCGTACTCGAATCGTGTCTAATTCGAACGGCGAAGACATGATTCGAATTATTACCGTTGTTTATGATGTTGAAGAGCCCGAGGTATTGGCTGGGAGTGGCGAATGGGTCGCGGAAGCTAGGAGCGACGACAAAGGCCATGCCGTAGGCGCTAAGTATCGGGAACGCAGGGTTGATGGCGAAGACAAAAGTTGTAGAGAAGGACAAGACGGTGCCGTTTGGAGAATCTTTGAACCGGATCGGTCGGGTATAGAATGCGTGACCGGCTTGCTGCAAGGTGCTGTCGGTTAGCTTTAAGAGACCGCTGGGTGTGACGGTGGAGCTCCCTTGGAGGGTCATGCCAGTTAGTGGACGACGGAAGCCATTGTAAGTGAAGTTGAGAATTTTGGAAGAAGATTGTTTGAATTGATAGAGTATGCTCAAGAAGAAGACGATGGTAAGAAGCTTAACGTACATGGCTCTGTAATTCTTCTTATTTATTTTTGTTTAGGCTTTGGTTTATATATTATGAGAATCGGAATCTTAGAACGTCGTGAGAGACAGAAGTCTTCTACGAACGTCGTGAGAGACTGAAGTCTTCTACGAACGTCGTGAGAGAATCGGAGTCTAACCGAGACTTTCTTACGTGGTTTGACTCTTTTTTTTTTTGTCATCACTCACGTGGGTTGACTAAAGCTATGTTCTAGCGCCCACAGCCCACTGCATGGCCTTATGCGAAAAGAGCGTGGAAAAGTCGTTACCATGGGTTTAACCCAATCTGAAATTCATGGTGGAAATGTGTATTACTGCTTTTAAAAAGCTAATCAGTAATCATATATAGTCAATTGATGGTTGACTTTATCTATCAGAGTTGACGAATTAATGGTGTCATGGTGATGTTTTTGGTACTGACTAGCTACGTCTATAGAGCTGATTTCTGAGTCCACAGTTCGATATTTCGATCGTTCACACTGGACGGATTCTTTTTGTATTTACAATAATCAATTGAGCAGAAAAGGAGCAAGGAAAGCTTCTATTCTAACTGCTAGTGCTAGAGACCTCTATGCTCTCCAAACGAGGTTTTCCACGGAAGAAAGCTTTAAAAAATTGCTAAAAATCGTTAATACATTTAGATGTGTTGTTTGTGTTTATCTCATGGAATCAACAGTTTTGTAGTCATGTTGTCTTCTGCGCTCGGCACCTGAACTGAGGTTTACTCTCTGTGAATTTCGTATCATCAGACATCTCCATTGTTGACTCTGTATCTGCTCCAATTCCAAAACAGTCACCAATCAACAAGCAAGATTACATTTCAGACAAAAACCTAACATGCATGCTAACTCAAATCCACAATGCACCATCAAGGATCTATAGCTTATCTATATCATGACCATAGACAAGCAGAGCAAATTCAAACTCAAATTTTTCACCAAAATTCCATTTTTAGTGACAAAGGTATCAATCTACATCTTCAACCTATATATCATATCTAACCAATGCTGTAATGATCATTAATCCCCAAATCTTCATAGCATTTTAACAAGATTCACATTTGAAACTTCCAAAAAGCACGAATCTCAAGATGGAACACAATTGCTAAAAGTCTTGAAATTTACCATAGAAAAACAGAGCAAATCAGAGTCACTAATCTGAACAAGTGACAAATAACCCCAAAATTTCCATCTTTGCTCTTAAAAGACATCAACCTATATCATATCTAACCAATGGTCATCAACTCTCAAATTCATAGCATTTGAACAAGATTCACATTTGATACTTCCAAAAACCAGCTAAAAAACATGTTGCATGCTAATTATTTCAGTAAAATTTTGTGGGGGTTGCTCTTTTTCGTAGGCTTGAATGTTTTTCTAGTTACTTTTTGGACTTATTTTGTTTAAGTCGTGTCTTTTTTTTTTTTAACAATTAATGTAATTATATCGATTTTAATATTTTTTGGTCTAACAGCTCTTAGCACTTCCACTAACATTTCATCCGTTTACTAATTAACAACCAACCATTCACTACTTTTGCTCCTTAGATCTACAGGCTACAGCTTCACTATAAGCTATGACAATCAAGTCCATAAGGACTTTGGTACCTAGACAGCCATGTTTTGCTGTCACGGATGATAGTAATGGGAGAGAAAATCGAGTTCGTTATGTTAATTTAACAGCATCGGTTGATCCGGTCAGTCTCAAATGCTACAAAGTGAACTTCTTCTTATCATGAGTTTATAATACTTTCCGACTAATGCTAGGGGTTAATCCAACAATATGTTTTAGTGATTAAATTATCTTTATTTTATTGACGCTAGATTAGGCCATATATTGCTGTTGGTGCAGATAAATATATTTCTTTCAATATACATATGAATTGTAAGACACAAACGTACATAATCATCTTCCGCCAGAGAGTAGAGTCAACCATGGAAGATCCACCGTTAGACATAACTAACTCACCAACTCTGTGGTGGATTCCCAGCATCATCCCGTTCCCACGCAAGTCCAACGGTGACAAATCTGGTAACATTGCATCTCCGTTTAGATAATTCAACACTTGTCTCATAGTTGGTCTAGCATGTGGGTCGGAGTGAGAGCACAACAAACCTAGCTTCAATACCATCTCACCTCTCTTTCTTCACACTCCCCTATATTCGGATCCTTAGCATCCAAAATGTTTCCTCATTCCAAAACCCAAAAACCAAATCCACGAGCAAGACCCTCTCACCACTCTCGTTCTGAATCTCGATAGGACGTCTGCCGCACGCACTTCAAGTAGGAGCACCCCAAACGCAAAAACATCGGTTGCGGTCGTGGCCTTTCCTGTCCTGATGTGATCAGGGGCTAAGTATCCCCATGTTCCAGCGACGTGCGTGGTTAGAGGATCCGACCGTGACCGCACAACCGAGCTAAACCGAAGTCTCCGAGTCTCCCATTGAGCTCCGCATCTAACAAGACGTTGCTGGCTTTGATGTCGCGGTGAATCACCACTTGTTCCCATTCCTCGTGGAGGAAGAAAAGCAGAGGCCACACCTTTGATGACTTTAAACCTCTGTTTCCAGTCGAGGTTACCTCTGGACTATTATACAAATACTTGTCTAAGCTTCCGTTGGGCATGTAGTCGTACACCAGAAGAAGCTCGTTTTTCCGGCGGCAATAACCCAAGAGAGGGACCAAGTTCCGGTGACTCATCCGACCAATACTCACGATCTCAGACACAAACTCTTTCAACCCTTGTCGGGATTCGTTGAGACTCTTTTCACGGCGATCTTCTTCTTCGTCTTGGGCATGACACCTTTGTAAACGGACCCAAACCCGCCCGATCCGAGAAGGCCTTCTCCTTGAACCCTTTGGTGGCATAGTATACAAGTCCTTGAACTTCATTCGAATCTTGGCGAACTCTGTTTCCCAATCTTCGATCTCCTCGCGAACTTCCTCCTCCTCCTCACAATGAATCGCACCAGGAATACGAGAAAATAAACAAGACCGGAATCAACAAGAGGGCAATACGGCATCCCGTTCTTGTAGAACCTCTGTATTTTGGTGGGCCCAAACCTCGGAAATTTTCGGAAGTTTCGATAATGCCAACGGTGGAGCTTTCCCTTCACCTGGAAACTCCACCCAAGAACAAAATGATCCGACATAACAGAACCGGTGGAGACGAGAAACCAACGAACATATCTTGCAAAAGAACCGAAGATAGATCTCTGACAGTAGAAACAAGCGGTTTTCTAGGTTTATCCTTTGAACGGAGCCATCGTCACATCGATTTGATGTGTAAAGACCATCGTAATCGACCCAAACCTGCATCGCTTACGACTGATCAAAGTCAGATTCTTAAACTGACCAGTCTCTCGTCCCAGTATCCAGCTCGTCGAACTGTTTATCGACTCAAGCTGTTGATATCGATTCCGACATGGTTATCGTCCGGATCATTGAACTCGGAATTCGAATCGTGTCTAATTCGACAGCGAACACATGATTTGTGTCATTACCGTTGTTGTGACGTTGAAGAGACCCATGTATTGGCTGGCATCGGCGATACGGGAGGCTTGCTTAGGAGCGACGACAAAGGCTATGCCGCCGCTAAGTATCGGACGAGAGTGATGGCGAAGACAAAGGTTGTAGAGAAGGACGAGACGTTGCCGTTTGGAGAATCTTTGAACCGGATTGGTTTGGTATAGAAAGCGTGACCGGTTTTCTGAGGTTGTGTGGTTAGCTTCAATAAACCGTTGGGTGTGACGGTGGCGATCCCTTGGAGAGATATGTCAGTCAGTGGAGGACGGAAGCCATTGTAAGTGAAGTCAAGACTTTGGGAAGAGGATTTTAGGAATTGAGAAGAGTAGGCTAAAGAAGAAGAAGACCATGGTGAGGAGCTTCACGAACATGGCTCTATAATCTGTAAATTGGCTTTGGTTTACATATTGAGTTCATGAGAAATAAGACGATTTATGGTGTGGAGAGAGCGTTGAAAAGTCGTATTTGTGGGTCAAGTCGTCACCGTAAGTTAAACTCGACTTGGAAATTATGGTGGGAAAACTAATATAAAACTAATTTAGTCGTAGCACGTTACGCTGTCAAGGATGATGGTAACAAGAGATCAAATCAAGACGACATAAGTTAGTCTTAAATAAGTAAGTTAGCCTTAGATATTAAGCACCAAATTTTGTTTTTTAGCAATCGAAGTACGAAAAAGGGTACAGAGCTATTAAAAAAATCGCTTGAGGAAAAGCTCTTTAAATTTCCATGTGTTAGTAAAATACATACAAACCTGGAAAGTCTTGGTATCTGTTAGCAACTTGTTAGAAATAACTGCGACGCAGATGTGTTGTTTGTTATTTATCTCATGGAGTCAACAGTTTTGAAGTCATGTTGTCTTCTGCGGCGGCACCTGAACTGAGGTTTACTCTCTGAGAATTTCGTATCACCAGACATCTCCATTGTTGACTCTGTATCTGCTCCAATACCAAAACAGTCACCAATCAACAAGCAAGATTACAACATTTCAGACAAAAACCTAACATGCATGCTAACTCAAATCCACAATGCACCATCAAGGATCTATAGCTTATCTATATCATGACCATAGACAAGCAATAGCAAAATCAAAGTCATTGTTGATCAGAACAAGTCCATTTTTGGTAACAAAGGCATCAATCTTAATTTCCAACCTATATCATATTCATATCTAACCAATGAGGCAATGAACATCAATCCCCAAATCATCATAGCATTTTAACAAGATTCACATTTGAAACTTCCAAAAACCAATGAAGCTCAAGATGGAACACAATTGCTAAAAGTCTTGAAATTTACCATAGAAAAACAGAGCAAACCGCAGTGGCAAATAACACCAAAACTTCCATCTTTGCTAATAATGACATCAACCTAAAGTTTCAACGTATATCATATCTAACCAATCCTTAAAACCTTCATAGCATTTGAACAAGAATCACATAAATCTCAAGACCGAACACATTTTTGCTAAAAAGTATTGGAATTTACCTCCCCAGAACAATGGCTTCACATCTTCTTCTTCATCGTCGAATTCATCACCATAACCAAACTCAGCATCACCTCTGTATCCAGGTTCGCTACCATACCCAGATTCATTTCCCATCGGGTCGATTCCAACGGCGAATCCAAATCCGGAAGCTGCTTCCTTCTCTCCGCCGGAATCCCGCCGCTCTCTCCGCGAATTCCTCGCCTCGCTCACATCGGAAGCCCAATTCGCTTCGCTAAACAGCTCACCACTCGAATCTGTACCGACGGCGAAAGGCAAATCCGAGCAAGTCCCATGAGCTCCGATCGAGCAGCATCTCAGAGTCCCACTCCGATCACTACTCCGACCAGACACCGATCTCGAATTGCGACGGCGTCGCTTTCTCGCTACTAACCGGAAACTCCCCTTATTGCTGTAATTCGAAGCCGATAACTTCGCTCCATTGTTGTCTTCGTCGGCGAGAGAGAGACGGCTCATAGCTTCGATGGAGAAAGAAGTGGAGCGATCGGAGAAGCAAGGGCGTTTGGTCGAAATGGAGCCGTAAGGTCTCTGTGACGACGTCTGCTCGGGTGAGTCTAGGGTTTTGGAGCGGTGAAATGGGCGCCATGAGAGGAGCTGTAATGTGCAAGATTCGATTGAGCTTCGTGACGTTTCCAGATGTTTCTGAGACATCGTTAAAGGTGAGGACTTTGTAGATCACAGAAAGTGAAAAAAAGATCAAAAATTCTTGAGGCAATCCTGATTTTGGGAATGGATCGGTAGTTTTTCGAGTTCTTGGAGAAGATCGAAAAACTCTTTTGGGTTTAAGTGATTTGATTGGCTTTCGTAATCGCGCAAACAAAAAGCCAACTAACTGGGAAGAATATACAGTATAGTGATCACATGTATGTATGTATCGTAAAGCGAATTTTATATTTTCATGCCTATGCAAAAAAATAAATATAATCATCACATGTATGCTGTAAAAGCCAATTATAGTTTCGTGTAATCGTGTAAAAGTTATAAAACGTGACTAATCGATTTCGTGTAATCAAATAATACTGTATAGTTTTACAAATTCATAATTTTCGCAATTTATTTTGTTTCATTCACATAATTTAGTTTACCAAACGGGTCAGAGTCAGGTGTATATTTATACGTACACGCAATGTATTTTACTTACAACGTCGTTAAGATAATCTAAAAAAAGGTCACGTGACACACGTGATACCTCTCTGCTATTAACCTCTCCGCAATTCGAAAGCCCTAGCCAGTTGAGTCTCTACTTTCGGGAGCTTTTTTCCGCTCAGCCCAGATCTCAATTTCCATTCAGGTGAGACTTACGCGTCTCTATTTCTTCTGTTCCATCGGAATTCTTCTTTCAGGTGATCGGAATCGTTACCGGAATTTAATTCATATATGGTCGACTAGTCAATTCTCGTTGGTTCTAGGTTTTTGTTTTTCCTTGTCTCTTTGGTTGATCGTCGTCCAATTGATTTGTGTGTGTGTGTGTGTGTGTGTGAACGCTTCTCTGTTTCGATTTTATTAATGTTTTTGTTTTTTTTGTTAAAGGAAAAATGAGCAGCCGTTCGAGTAGAACTATTTACGTCGGGAACCTTCCTGGCGATATCCGCGAGAGAGAAGTTGAAGATTTGTTCAGTAAGGTAAATCAATCGTTTCTGATACATCTACAATTGGTTTTCACATGGCAGGGCACATGTAATTAGCTGTTACAATTTTTCTTGCATATATTGGATTGTGATTATTTCAAGCAAATTTCAGTAAGAATTGTTTTTCCTTTTTTCTATTTTGCAGTATGGACCTGTTGTTCAAATTGATTTGAAGATTCCACCAAGGCCTCCAGGCTATGCATTCGTTGAGGTCAGCTTATTATGCAACATCATGTTTTTTGTCACTCTTTGTGAATCACTGCCACAACCACAGTGAACGATTTATAATCTGATGTGTGACATATTTGCTTTAGTTTGAAGATGCTCGGGACGCTGAAGATGCAATTCATGGCCGTGATGGTTATGACTTTGATGGACATCGCTTACGGGTTTGTGAATCATCAAATCCCAGAGTTTCAACACAAACTTTGCTATTTAAATTGTTTTTTTTTTACTGGACGCTGGATTTTTGGCACTGCAGGTGGAACTAGCTCATGGTGGGAGGCGTTCATCAAATGATGCTCGTAGCAGTTACGGTGGTGGTAGTCGTGGTGGTCGGGATGGTCGGGATGGTGGTGACGGTGGCGGTCGTGGGCGTGGACCATCTAGGAGATCCGAGTTCCGCGGTAAGTATGATATGTTTAGGGATTAGTGCGCTCAATGTTTTAGGAAGAATCTCTAACTTAATATTTTTTCACTATACAGTTGTGGTGTCAGGATTACCTTCATCTGCTTCCTGGCAAGACCTCAAGGTGACTATACAATTGCTGACAATTATTATTCTCAAAGATGTATGAGTTTTTGACATAACCATTTCTGTTTGTTCTGTAGGATCACATGCGTAAAGGAGGAGAAGTCTGTTTCTCTCAAGTGTTCCGTGATGGTAGAGGTAAGTCCTCATATCTCACCCGAGAATAGAGATGTGCCTAAAGCTTTTTTTGTATTTTTTCCCGCGTCTATAGTAGTCTTTGGCCTGCCTTAAAATTCCATATATCTTGGACTCTTTATATACAGGTACCACTGGAATCGTAGATTATACCAGCTACGAGGACATGAAGTACGCGGTGAGATGTTCTTCTTGTTCCTATCATTCTTTATTTGTGTTGGTGAGAATTTGTTAATTTTTGATTACTCATGAGTATATTCTTCGTTTTTCTACAGGTAAAAAAGCTGGACGACACAGAGTTTCGGAATGCGTTTTCTCATGGATATGTCCGGGTATGCTAATTCAAAGCCAAGTACTCTGAGAAGTGAATTCTTTTTCGTTGTACTCAGCATTTTCCCATATCATTATAGGTTAGAGAATATGATTCAAGGAGGGATTCGAGGAGCCCTAGCCGTGGCAGATCCTATTCTAGGAGCCGTAGCCGCAGCCGTAGCCGTAGCCGTGGGAGGAGCCGCAGCCGTAGTCGCAGCCGCAGCAGAAGCAGGAGCAGGAGCCCAAAGGGTAAATCTTCGCGTAGATCTCCTGGAAAGTCTACATCGAGATCGCCTCGCTCTCTCTCTAAGTCGAGGTCACCATCTCCTCGAGGGTATGTTTCATTTCCTCTTTTATGTTTATGCTGAAGATTCACCAAGCTATCATAGCTTAGGCTTTAGCTCTTCCCTTGAAGTTTGTTGACATATCATAAAAAGAAGTCACTTGATTGCCTTCAGAGTTGTTGACTGAGAAGGATGATTGCTTAGTTCTAGTTAGGGCTACTATTTGTTTCCCTATGAAAGTTTGGCCTTTTATTGCTGAGAATGGTTTTGTTTCCTAGATACGGATATACATACATGAAGTAGAATATGGGAATTAATATCTGGATCATGGATTTCTTGGTTGGTTGTACACAAGTGTTTCGTCTCCAGAGGTATATGATTATGCACTTTCTTAGATGGGCAATTTTGGAAATGAAACTTTGTCGTCTCCTTGTTTTTTCTGATAATATCCGTTGCTGCTATATGCGTAACAGTGGAGAGACATTGGATCGCATTGTTATAGTGTCATCAATATGGATCCATGGATGAGAGCTAGGAAAAGATATTTTGATTACCTGCAAATTCGTCAAGCGTTGTGGAATTCTCATGGAACCGATGCTGTTCTTGGACACATGGTTTGATAGAAATTAGACTTTCATATCTGCCCTCAGTTATTTCGACCTAGAAAAGCCTGTGTGTCTTTAGTTTATGCTCTGCTAGAAATCGTCTTATGTTTTGTTTTGCTTTCTTTTCATAACATTTTTTGCATCTCTGTGACATGGGATGAGTGAGAGGCATCAAGGCTCTTGGTGAAACACAGCTATTATACACGGGAACATATTGGATTACTAAAACTGGATTTGTTTCTCGGACTTTTGCAGATCTCGTTCAAGGTCAAGATCTCCTCTGCCTCCTGTAAGTGATCTTTAACCGGAGATACACTTTACTCAGCTCTGTATTACTATCCAAAAGACAAGAAGACAAGATCTGTCTAAGCTAATTATACTCATCATCGTCTTTTTTGTGTTTGCAGGTTCAGAAGGAAGCAAGCAAGAGCCCTAGCAAGCTGAGTCCAGCCAAGAGCCCTATCCGTAGCAGGAGCAAGAGCAGAAGCAGAAGTCCATCTCGGTAATGCAACGCTACACTCACTCTCTTTCACTTGTTTTGAGCATTCTTGTTCCTTGTCTGAAGCTCACACCAACTGTTTGTTTACAGGTAAGCAAAAAAAAAGCACTCATCAGGTAAAAAAGCTGGGTTCTGTCGGAAGATTCTCCTAAAATCATATCTATCTTATGCTGTTCGTTTGACTAAAAACAAGTTGTATTTTCTTTTTTTTGAATATTCACTGCAATGGTATGTGTTCAAGATTCTCTAAAGATCTCGTTTCTGTTTGTTGCCTTGTGTTACGCATTATTACTGAGTGTGTGAATGTGAGACTGAGTGTAACTGTGACCCTGACCCACCCCAGAAAGGCTTAAGTGGATGAAATCATTCCTGTTTACGCGAACCGGATCTATCTATAACGGTACAATTTATAATTTAATACTGGTTATATAAGAAATAAAAATCCCCAAATCTAAGCAAAGAGCGAATTGGATAAAATCTGATATCAGAGGCTGAGAGAGAGAGAGTGATCATCAATGGCGGAATCTACCTTCTCTCTCGTACCAGAAGACGTTGTTTTCAACATCTTCTTCAAGCTCCAAGATGATCCGAGAAGCTGGGCTCGTCTCGCCTGCGTCTGCACCAAATTCTCATCAATCGTACGGAACGTCTGCTGGAAATCGCAGTGCTATTCCGCAATCCCCACCGTCATCTCTGATCTCCTCCTCCCTCCCCCCTCCGCCGCCTCAGCTTCTTCATCTTCAGCCGCCGAGGATTCGTCTCCTCCTCCTCCCGGCGGTTGGGCTTCTCTCTACAAACTCGCCGTCTGCTGCCCTGGCCTCTTCCACGCCGGGATTCTCCTCGAAAACTCCGATTTCGGTCTAGAACGTGAGCTCGGCCCCGATCAAAGTCACCAGAGACTCAATCCGAAACCTCATTCGACAGATCCGGCTCGCGACGAAGGCGAAGTTTCGAAACCAATCGGATCTGGTTTAGAGACGTCTTCGTTTTGGTCTCTATACGACGATCTCTACTCCGACACTCTTTCTGCTCCTCCCGAAGTCGAAGAATCCGTCGACGTAGAAGAAGAAACCGAGACCAGCGAGATCAGACCTGGATGCGATCTTCCGGTTAAGAAACGAAGGAAGATTTGCCGATCTCTAGGATCTCATCTAGCTTCCGGCGCCAGGAATCTCAGCAGAGAACAAGGCAACAAGCTACTCGCGAGCAGGTTTCGAGGAGATTGTCTCTACATCTGCGATTGGCCTGGATGCATCCACGTGGAAGAGAAACGAAGCTACATGTTGTTCAGAGGCGTGTTCAAGGATTTCAAAAGGTCTCGAGTGTGGCGAACGATAAACGACGGTAATAGGAGTAAGATTTTAGGGTTGAAATGTGCGTTTTGTTTGTGCGACGAGACTTGGGATTTGCATTCGTCGTTTTGCTTGAGAAGAGTTTATGGGTTTCATGATGATGGTGAACCAGTGGTTCGTGCTTATGTCTGTGAAAATGGACATGTCTCTGGTGCTTGGACAACTTTGCCTCTCTACACTTGAAAGAATGATTTTTTTTTATGAAATCTGAATCTTTACCAATTGCTGTTGGATTGTTTGTTTGTTGTGTTGTAGCAAGTGTGATCATTTGTGTTATATTTCTGGTTAATGTGTAAGCTCTACGTTGAAGTAATGTTATTCGCTTTTATCTTTTTCCATTCTTATCTGATAGGAGATGGATTTATCTGTTGAATTTAACTGTGTTAAACATACGGGTCCGAACAAGGATTTCAACGGTATGCCCTTCAGTATTGTATAAACGACGTCTGATCGTTTATGTGGTTTACGAAATGATGTCGTTTTAACAGTTTTTTATGGAATAACCGAAACGGGCCGGCTTAAGCCTGGTAGATTTAAAGTTAAACGGGCCTAAATGGGCCCGACCACCCATTTTAAATATACCTTTTGTTGATCACAAATATTTCGGGCTTTCTTGTGGACATGTATAAGCCCGTTTATAAATTCTGTTGAATAGCGAATCTGGAAACAGTTTCCTCACAAATTCTCTCTCAAGTCAACGCTCAATACCAAAGACTGAAAGTCCAAACACTTGCCACAAGAAATGCAGATAACTTAAAAGCGAAAGCAAATCCATAAAAGCAAAAAACAGAGTGACACCATTTAAAGAGAAAAAGGAAGTAAAAGGGTTTCATAAACATGAAAGCTAAATAATATCATCATATTGTCTCATCTCTAGAGTCTAGAAAGAGTCTCTTCACTTGACTTCCTTAACAGCTGCTGGTGTCGTTTGCTCTACCGCTACTGGTTTCGCTTCTTCCTTAACGGCTTCTCCGTCTTTCTTGTCTCCTGGTATTGCGGTTTCTCCTGCAATTACAAAATGCATTTTCATTACGTATACAAACAATGACGAACAGAAAAGAAGACACACAAAGTCTAACTAAAAACATCTAAACTGCAACATGAGATAGGTCTTGTATAACAAAATGCTCTCAGTTTCACCAAGAAGATGTGACCAAACATAAACTAGAAAGATCTTTTCGAAACTCTTACCTTCGTCATCACTGTCTTCAAAGTCACCCATATCACCCATTCCTCCCATTCCTCCTCCCATACCACCCATACCTCCCATACCACCCATCATGCCTTCGAGTCCGGCCATACCACCCATACCACCCATGCCACCTAGGCCTTCAAGACCACCCATACCACCCATTCCTCCACCAAAGTTCTGCAAGAAGCAAGAATCAACCAGGAAGTCATTTCTTAAAGCTACACACATATATATATATATATAGTAAGCAGAAGATAAACAACATTCACAAGCTAGAAACTAACCGAGATATCCATTCCACCCATTCCTCCCATTCCTCCCATATCCATATCTCCGGCACCTAAACCATATCAAAAACAAAACAAAAAACGAGTTAACACTTCCCAAAGTTCATATAAAGTGTACCCAAGAATACATGTACAAGCTTTGAGATGAAATGCTAACCAGCGTTGCCTTCTTCATCCTCATCTACCCACTTGTCCCAGTCAACCTTGACATAGTGTGGCGCTTTCCCTCCACGGAGTAGCTTATCCCACCTTTCTGGCTCTGCTTTCTCTATTATGCACACGATGCTTCTTGCTCCAATGCTGATCTTGCTTTCCTGGAAAAATGGAATTAAAGGTTCAAACTTTGGAGCTGTACAGAGGCAACAAACGAAACACTGAGACCAGGTTAGTCCCCACGAGTCTCACCTCAACATTGACTTTATCGTGAAGTTCGAGATTAAGTTCATAAACGTGGTCTTCTGGACCAGCTTTTGCAGAGAAATCAAAGACACCTTCTGGTTTTAGATCAACTTTTGCGTCCTTAGTATCCGCTAATACAACGGTGAGGAAGATCTTCTCAGTAGTCTCGGCCCACTTCACTTCTGGATGACGACTGTACAAATACAAGAAAAAGAAATCAACTTCGAGACCAGAGCATAGCAAACGTAACACACGAGAAACACCAAACATATACACACATCTTAGACACCGCAAAAGGTAATTAACTATCATTTGCTTCTATTCTGTTCACTGAGACTTCATTAACACCAATATATTTGCAAATTCAGCAAAAGAAAAAGTCGAACATAAACTTAAACCCTACCCTAAACCCTAAATCCCACTGCCCTAAGCTTCAGACTTAATCAAGAGGAGACTGATTCAAAAACATACATCTACAATGGCGACAGTGTAAAGAGACATTCCGGACCAAACACAATAAACCCTAGACCCGAATTGAAAAAAAAAAAATGACCTAATTATTTCAATCCAATGAAAGCGTAGCCCTAAATCCACCTGACTCTGTAGAGAAACCAAGTTTCCAAGACAAAGCCATGAGAAAAAAGAGAAAAATTGAAGTGAACAAAGTAAAAGAAAACAGCAGACGAATGAATCTGAGAAGCACGATTCATCAAATGGAGGAGTTAGGTAGAGATCCGAGTAAGCAAGAGAAATCAAAAGGACTTGCCTCATGATTAGTGGAAGTTTGTAGAAGAACCCTAGAGAAGAGAAACCTCGAACGGTGACGCAAAGATTAGATTCTTTACTTGTTTCTGATCGATGAGAGAAAGACCTTCTCTTTAGTTGCTCCACAAAGATTGTGTTATAGCACTCGAATCGCTTATCCTCTACGAGCTAGTGTACAAAACATTAGGTGGGTCAGGAAGTAATCAACGGTGAGAAATTGGAAAGCTGGGCTTTTTTACGCTTCAACGGTTAGGATGAGACGGTTTCGATTTAGGGTTTGAGTGGACTGGTTTCTGATCTTTTTCCCTTTTTTTTATCATAACATCATTTTCTTTTGGTTAACCAAAATTTCAAATCAGTTTTAACGAAAATCATTTCACAACTTTTTACTTGATTAATTACAGAAAATATTACTCAACATATCGCGTGTATTTGATCACTATTTGAAGTGTGTAGTTTTTTTCAATTTATGATTTTTACATCCTACCTAATGGTAGATAGTAGATTGATCTGTTGTGACTTGTAACCAAGAAGATCTTATAGAATAGGGTAACATTTTACATTTACAAAATTGTAGTTTATATAACCGAGTGTTGCTCACTGTTATAAATACTTATATTACTCTCTTTTATGAGTTCATGCCAATGAGATGGCTGCTGCATCATCAGCATCATCATCACCATTGTCGTCATCATGTAATGTGAGTAAAGTTGTCAAGTCCACAAGATGACGCATGGTTGGGCGTCCATGCGGACAATTCCAAGGAGATTCCAGATCTGCCAAGTGCTCTACTATCTGCACAAAACCCCAAAAGACAACAAAAAAGCATTATATTTGTTGTTCTTTGTCCGAAAATCAATCAGTTTTTGGATCAGAAGCTGAACTGAGACATTTAACATATGTAGAAGAATGGTGAAGAGCAATAATGTGTTATGTAATGTGTTTATTTAGTGGTTACCTTTTCCATTTCGTGTTTTCTGAGTGCATCACCGATCATCACAGACGATCTGCAGGCTCTGGATGCTAGCATTGCACGGACTCGTGATGGACAAACCGAGTTTGTTTGGCTAGTTTTGTAGCTACTCATAACAGAACATTCCCCGTGGTTATCTCCCAGGGTTGAGATTAGGTCTTTAAGATCTGCCACAAAAAACGATTGAGCAAACAAGAACATGCGATGCAACAGAAGTAACACAGAAAAAAAGAAGGTACCTTCGACACCGAAGGTGATGTTCTTGCTATAGGGAATCGCTCTCAGTCTAAAGTGTCGTCCAGGAGGAGCACTCGGATCCTCCTCTAGAAGAAAGCCATTCTCCCTAGAAAGTAGTTGAAGAATATTCAATCTCTAAAACCTATGTCAAGACTCAGAATAGTTGCAAGGTAGAGAAACGGTGATTCTTTCACCTGATTACATCCATGTGCATTGATATTGTAACTTCTTCTTCTGCAGAGAGCTCCAAAGTCAAAGGCCTGGTTTTGGGAAAAAGTGAATAAATATGGATAACACAACCAGCAGGGGAAGAGAGATTGTACTACTTGTTCAATTCAACTATCTCCAAGTAAAATGGAACCTTGTGAAAGTGAAATGGAATCAAGCATCTAGATTGTAACAACAAAGCTACTCACTGGAGTAAGGGTTGTTGGTTCAGGACTGTTGACCTTGCTAAGTGCTCGAAGTTGAATTTCTCATCTGCAGCATGCTGCCCATAAAAACCAATCAATATAGCCTTACTACTCCATTTATTCGACATTCAGGCACAGAGGAAGAAACTCTGAAATGAGGTAAACTTCCATTTTCCACAACTCAACCAAAAACTAAACAAATAGAGCGACAACAAAAAAAAAGGGCTGGAAGCATGCATATACGAAGACTGACCTGATCCACAATGAACAGATCTCGATCCAATTTTGCAATGATGAAACCAAGATTGAATTGTCCAAGTACCTATCACGTAGAACACACACATAAAGTTTTCTCCACGGAAGCCAGGATAGAGCAGAACCAGAAAATACAAAAAGATAAGATAGCAACCTGCATTCGCCTGAAATCCTCTTTCCGGAAAAGCCTTTCCAGCTCAGAAGTAGCTGCAGCTAAAGCCCTTGCTTTTCGCTCTTCATCATCCGGTTGAGATAGCTCTAACGTTGCAGCGGCAAAGGTCCTGTAAACTTATCATTATAAAGCATCACAATTCTCTGACTGCATGCAGAACACACAAAAGAAGAAGGAAAGAAATCTTACGTTTTAGACCGTGGCGCGTTCATACGTTTAGAAACATGACCTGAGGACTGCAATCTCGACAGCCTTTCTAACCTCCTCTTCCTGAGGTTTTCGAAACTAAATTTTAATGTGGAAAACATTTTTGGATCGGTTGAAGGAGCTGGGGAGTCCAGCACTGTGGCAACAGGTCGCATTGGCTGACTGCAGCTTGGACTGTCCGCCAAAATCGTTTCTGTATCCCCCTCGGTGCATGTGTTATCTGATGTTGGTTCTTCAGAACATGATGGTTTCTTGTGTTCCTGTAAATAGAAAAAATGGTTGAATAACGTAAACAATCAGCAACTTACTGAGACCAAGATTTTACTACTAAATCCTACTTACTCTTTCGTGACTTTCAACATTCTCAGTATGGATTCCAGGAGAAAGCGGATTTCCTAGTTCAGAATCCATTTTCTTTGGCGTCACTTCCTCCTTTGAGACGACCATACCATCAGCTTGATCACCTTCCATCAGACATCTTGAAGCCAGAGCACGAACTTCAAATTTGCTTTTCACCAGACTGCTACTGGGAGTGTGGTTTCTGAGCACAGGTGTCTCAGAGAGGACAGTGCTTATGCTTTCATGTTTTCTTTTTCCCACAGTAACAAAAGTATTCAAAGTTGACTGGGCAAAGCTAGAGCGATTGCTCAAGTCTTTACTTGCATCAGTAACTTTCTCATTCACAGTAACGCGAGGCAAACCTTTGTTAGTTGTCTTGTTAAGGTGAGTTACAGATAGGGGCTCATCATGGACTGATAATGAACCTTCCTTTCTCTTAGCCGCTCGTGCCTTAATGTCAAATTTGAACTTCTCCACAGTCGAGCTATTATCCATCTCAGCCTCCCTTGAGGGAGACATGTCCAGAACAATCCCTTTTGACGGGAGATTTGATTTCTCCGGAAGAGATGAAACTCCAGACTTATCTGGTTGCTTGGAACTCTCCTCGGGCCTATTAACAACATAAGACGCATTACTAGAGGAATATATCTTGTTCAGACCTTCCCTAAGAGAACCCATAACAGAAGCCTCGTCAGAAAAGAAGACCTTTCTTTTATCAGGCGTGACATTCAAATCACAGGCTCCACCAGGCACAACAAAATCAAGAATGGCAACTGGATATTTCCGGGAACTTGTATCTTTATATAACTCATTCACCAATTTGCTGACTTTCGGCATATCCACAGGCCGGCCATTTATAAAGAAATACTGCCGATCCGCCATACTGCGTCCAGTACCCTGTCCAGGCTTGGATAGAAACCCTTCTACTCGACAATCATCTGATATACATATACTTACAGGCTGTAGACTTGTAAAGGTGGTCAAGCCAAATACTGTTACGATGTTATCTTTAAGTGAACCCCTCCCTTGTGTGTTCAGCACAACAGACTTTGGGCTTTTCTCAGTCGTGTTAGAGCAGACAAACCGCACTCCTTTCGCTATAAGTGCATATGCCTGCACAAAGGAAAAAACAGGAGGAAAACCATTGGTCATCGTTGAAACGGAGGATAACAATTTGAGCTAAAACAGTCTGCATATTAAAGTTAGGAAATAAACCTTTTGAAACACAATATCATTCCAACAAGGAGCATACATATCAAACCATAGAAACTCAGTAATCATACATCAAAGTAGCTTAGCTATATAAAAGGAGAATGATCATAGAAGCATCCATTATGATATAAGTATCATGTAACCAAGAAACTGTATCAAGCAAGTGTGAATCAGTTATAGACTATAATAAGCTTGTATCTATAATAAGGAGAGTGATTACTGAAGTAACCATTAAGATATAAGTATCATGTAACCAAGAAACTGTATCAAACAAGTGTGAAGATGTCAAAGTAACCAGTTAGAGACTCACGTTCAATAAAGATACAAGCTTCCCATATTCTTTGCGGATGTTGCGTTTAAACTCTTTGCTCCGTACAGGTAAATTAGAGAACAGCTTTCTCACAGTGACAGTGGTACCGATTTGGCGTGCAGTCTTCTTCTCAGCAGTCAGCAAACCGGAATGATCAAAAGTCAAGAGCGTAGCTACAGGCTCGTTTTTGGTTCTCGTCTCCACCGTGAGATTGCCTAAGGAACATAGAGAACTTAGAGCTTCTCCTCTAAAACCAAATGTAGTCAAACTCTGAAGATCTGTGAAATCCTCCAATTTAGAAGTGTGGTGCTTGAGTGCAAGAACCTAAAGCCCAAAAATTGATGAAAGCGAAAGAAGATTTACATACCCAATTCCAATTTAACAATTACATATCTGAAATCGCAAATCAGTCGCGGTCGTCGGAAACTACCTTGAAATTGGTTGGGGAAATGCCGCAGCCGTTGTCGATGACCTGGAAATGGTCTTCGCCATAGTCACGGAGGTTAATCTCTATGCTAGTGGCTCCGGCGTCAATACTGTTCTCGACAAGCTCCTTGATAGCAGAGGAGAGGTCCAAGATGACTTGCCCGGAGCAGATTCTGTGAACCACGCTTCTGTTAATGAGTTTTATCAACGGAGAACTTGTCTCCGGAGACGAATCAGCTTGCATTTTCAAACCCCAAAACCAATCGATTCAAATCAACCTGAGAGTAAAATCCCTAGGTCTATGATTTGCCGCCAAAATCGAAGCTGAGACAAATTTAGGATGATGAAGTGAAGCTTTTAGCGTTTGGGAATTGAGGAGTTTACCAGTTGCGTTTTGATTTCTCAACCCATTTTAATTAATTTCATGGCCCATTGGGCCTTGCCTTTAATTTTTTGCCCGTTTGTGACAGCTGTTAGTATTCTTTAGGGCCACGTAATTGATATTTAGGTCTAACTTCTAAGGCGAGTTTTGGGTTTCTTCTTCACTTTAATCTCTCTATAGCTTCTACCATATCAAATGGCGATTAAGCGAAAGTCTCAAGCTACCTCCGTCGTCGCTTCTTCCTCGAGGAAAGTTTTCAAACACAGGAAGGTGAGAAATTTCGAGATCATTTTCTGAAATGTCCATGGATTTTGGTGTTGCTGGATTTTCTATAAAGTTTTTTTTGTAATATCCTTTTGTGAAGCTGACGGAGAAGATCCTGAAGGCTGCCTATGAGCAGCAAAAGGAGGTTAAGGATGAAGAAAACGCCGAGAAAATATCCATGATCGCCTCTTTCAAGCAGGCAGTGCCGTATGGGTTTAAAGACTTTACTGATGATGTTAGTGATGATGAGCAATCCCAAGAGTTTCAGGGCCAATTTGATTACCAAGTGAGACTGTTTTTTTCCTACCTCTCAATCTTTTTGTGGTTATGTGATTGAGGTTTTTATTGCTAGACAAGCTTAAGCCTTAAAGGAGAAGTCACACTGAGATTTTGCTTTGAATGATTTCTGTAATTAATTGACTGCATATATATGTTGTGAAATGTTTGTATCAGGAGATGAACAATGAGGAAGAAGTGAAGTCACTTGATGCATTCTTTGAAGCTCCAACAAAACGCAGTCTTGCTGATATCATAACTGATACCAAGAAGCTCACAGATATTAAAGATGATGCTACAGGTTGATTTGATACCTATATATCTCTCTGCTGATTCTTCCGGATCAAATAAATGCCTGTATTGTTGAAGCGGGTTCTTGTTTATTTTAGGTTCAGATTCTGTAGCAGAAACTACTCTCATTGACTATCTTCAAAGGTAACATTGCAAATAGTCAGTGTATAAAGCGATATTTTTGTAGTTTTGTCTCTGATATAGCCAAAACTATATGCAGTCTAGGCAAGTTTATGTGTGAATACACAAACGGGAAAACTCCAAAGGCTTTTACACATATTGCTGCAATGAAAAACTGGGATAGTGTATTGAAGTTGACTCAGCCAGAGAATTGGTCACCTAATGCAATGTACAAAGCCACAAGAATGTTCTCCTCAGCTAACGCGAGCAAAGCTAGACGCTTCTACGAGCTTTTTCTTCTTCCTCGGATTCGTGCTGATATCAGAAACCATAAGAAGCTGCATTTTGCCCTCTACCAGTCTTTGAAAAAGGCACTTTTCAAGCCTGAGGGGTTTTACAGAGGAATTGTATTCCCTCTCTGTAAGGTACATTATCATCAACTTTTATTATTCTTCATATTCTGATTCTTGAATATATCGTTTTTCTAAGTAACTTTGGCATGTATATTCCAGTCTGGAACATGCAGCGTCAAGGAAGCTGTTATTAGTACAAGTATAATGCAAAAGGTTTCTATCCCTGAAAATCTCTCAAGGTAACAAGGACTGTACCTCTTTCTCAAATCTTTTGTCAGATATATTATTTAAACTCAATAAACAAAGAAATCTCATGCATTCTCTTGTTCATTAAAACCGTAGTACTGCCTTGGTATACTTGGTGGAGATGGAGTTTTGTGACACAACAAGGTAAATGCAGGCTTAACATTACACTTTACTTAAGGTATCAATATACTAGCTATTGTGTGCCTTTATTCGGTTACATTGTGTTTGTTTGTGTGTGTGTGTGTGCAGTTACTTCATAAAAGTTATCTTGGAGAAGAAGTATGCTCTGGCGTATGGGGCGGTTGATGCGGTCACTGCTCACTTTTTGAGATTTCATACGGAGACAAGAGTTTTGCTAGTCATTTGGCACCAAACTCTTCTTGCTTTTGTGCAACGGTAAGGAAGAAGAAGAAGAAGAAGAGTTTAATTGTTAATTCAGGCATATTAGCTAGCCAGCTTTTACCTCTCATGGTTAACATCTTTACTTATGCAGGTACAAGCATGAACTAAGAAAGGAAGATAAAAAGAGTCTCACAAGTCTACTTGACAAGCAAAGTCACAACCTTGTATGACCACCTATAATTCTCTTGTCTAATCAAAATTCTTTAAAAACCTTTTTAATATTTTTCTTTTATTGTGTTAAACCTTACTTATCATATTGCAGATTACTCCTGAAATTGGGAGAGAGCTTGAGAATAGCAGAAACAGGGGAGAGAAGGAGGAGGACAATTCACATTCAGCTTCTACGATCAACAACAAGCCAATCAAAGAAGACTGGTTTGACATGCCACAAGTTCCCATGGAAGAAGACTAGTGATTCTTTTCTTCAGTTTAATTATAGCTTTAAAGAAAAAAAAGAACATACAAAGACTGAAAAACGTCAGGGACAGCTAGATCGTATCAATATAAGATTGTTAGATTCTCAGATGAAGTTAGAATGAAAAATGAAATTTAGAAAATATTGGCTTCTCATACACTTCATTTTTTCTAACTATCTATCTTCCCCTCTGTCTTGACAAGATGATCCACAAATGTCACGTTAGACATGCAGCTTATAGAGCAAAAGTATGTACCTGAGGTTCCAGGCTTCTTTAACATGATATTGTACATGCAACGCGACTTGCAGTGCTTGCACAATGGGCGAGTTACACTATTATTGAGCACCACCTCAAATGGTATGAGGTAACACGTTAGTGTTCTTCCAGGCATGAGCCCTGCACAGTCCCCGAGCACACATTCTGTATGCAAACTAGCCCGGTGATCTTTAGAAGTGTAGAACCATGCCTCTGGATTGGTTTCTTTTTCATAAATATCACACCAGTATTTAGCACTAGCCTTTTCTCCATAACATTCTGAGAGAAGGTCATCATCAACTCTATGTTTTACCAGTTGTGGCAAAGTGGCACATTTGAAGCATAGGACAAACTGATGTTTCCATGTGGTTATCAATGTCTTCATCATTGTGGAAGAAAGTTGGATGATAAATTGGTTTATCACATGGAGTCATGGTTTCAACTTCACCCATCTATTTAATTATGTTCAAGCATTTGAAAAATGAACAGTTAAACTTTTCTTAAAGATACGAAGCACACATACATAAACATACGCATGTACTAGATTATACAAGCGAATGTTAAAGATGCGAACCTCTATATACAAACGCATGTATTAGATTATACAGCGAATGTTTTTTTTTTATCTTCTTCTTATGTTGAGAAAGAAAATGAATTAGACAAAGAAACGAGCAACACTCTTTCTCTCTCTCTCTCTCTCTCTGTACACAAATTTTATAAATTAAAGGACCAAAATGAGATAAAAACGAACAAATCTCTCTTCTTCTCTCTCTCTCTCTCGTCTCTTCTACATGAAATAGCTCAACGACGTCTTCTTCCTCGATCCTCCTTCTCCATAGAGCTCGTTCCATTGCTGAAGCTCGTTCATGTTCGATGAGTCTGAAGACACACTCGCACATACCTACACGTATACATCAATTAGTCCCCTCTTTTCATTATCTAAAATGCGAAACTGTTCGGTTTCTTGTTCTTGTGTTTTGGCTTCATTTACCTGTTCATGGGCGGCCTTAAAATCGTTCATTGTCAAGGAACGAATGTCTGTGCAGCTATATAATGGTGGTGTGGGACGGTTCTCAGCCTGAGCTGCAGTTTTCTCCTGAAGTCAAAACATTAGTATAAAGAAGATGAGTTCTGTGGCTAAGTTAAATCCCCTTTCTGTATATAGAAGTGCATAATAAACAAACCCAAACCTTCTTTTCTGTCTCCAGTATCTCTCGGATTGGAAGATGTGCCGCAGTTACGCAGAGATTCTGCAACCAAAAGAGAATGTGAGTGTGTGTTTTATTTTCAATTCGCAAAGGAGAGTAAGAGTGAGGAAGAGAGAAAGCTGAGACCTTTAAATCACTCCCTGAGTACCCATCTGTCATGTTTGCTATTGCTTCTAAATCAACGTCCGGTGCTATTTCTTCTTTAGCTAAAATAACGCTCAATATCTTTGCTCTGTTTGCCGCATCTGGAAGATTAACCATCAACCTGCATAAGCTTGAAAGGTGAGGAATCTTCTTCACAAGAGAAAAAAAGGACAGAGAAATAAGTGATGGTTTTTACCTCCGGGGAAGCCGTCTGATAACAGCTTCGTCAAGGTCAAATGGTCTGTTGGTAGCAGCTAGTACTAGTACACGTTCTCTATCCTTCGTTCGCAAACCATCCCAGTTTATCATGAATTCGTTCTTCATCTTACGCATCGCTTCATGTTCCCCTGGATTTTCACGTCTTCCTAACATGCTATCAACCTAAACAATGTTTCCCCGCAATTATCAGATCCAAAGAATACATCAAAAGCTTATTTCAAAGGAAAGGAGAAACAAACAGAAGCTTTCTTAATCTCTTCAAGCATACCTCATCAACAAAAATGACACTCGGGGCAATCTTGCTAGCTAAGGAGAAGACAGCTTTGACATACTTCTCTCCCTCACCAAACCACTGCAACGCATTTCATCTTAAATGTCAAGCACAATCTTTAAAAACTAAGCGAACAAATGTGATAACTGTTTTGAGAGTTACCTTTGAAGTAATGCTTGACATCGAGATATTGATGAAGTTTGCGCCTGCCTCAGTTGCTACTGCCTTTGCCAGCATCGTCTTCCCAGTACCAGGAGGTCCAAACAACAATATACCTTTCGTAGGCTGCATCAAATCATAATATTGATTTTGTATAAATATATATATTTGGTGTATAGAATATAGATAAGAGGGAGCCGCAAACATATGTGAAAACTTCTAGCTATAAAAGGTACCTTTGTTAGCTGGCCTTTGTCAAACAATTCAGGTCTCTGAAGAGGAAGCATCACCAACTCCTTCAATGTATCTTTCACATTTTCCAGAGCCCCAATATCATCAAAGGAAACACCTATATCGCTAGGGGGGATGACATCCGACAGGAGTTTCTTCTCAAATTCGTTCTCAGTTACAACATCCTGAAGCAACATGGCAAAGTATTAGTCAAAACCAAAGCTTGTTAGGTAGACTGGGAGGAAAGAGATAAGTTACATGATATTACCTTGAGAGATTTCTTTAGACTCTTGTTTTCATTCTGAATCCCATGAAACATCTCCAGGCCATATTTGATGCTGCAACATGAGCCAAAATGTTATTTACCATCTAAGTTGTGCTTTAGCTACTGTTTTATCACAGCCTATACAAGGAAGCTCACCTTTCTGCAGAGATAACAAGCTTGTTGTCTTTAATTGTAGGTTCTGAGCAGTTCATAAGATGGTGACCCAAAGCCCAGCCAACCACTTTCTCAACACCTATTAACACATACAGTTTTTGGTTACTTAAACAAGCGGGCTCTCAACATAAAAAGACAACAATCTGAAATAGGCAAGTGAACGAGGCCCACTTTCAGATGGAAGGGTTTGATCTTTGATGCTCAAGGTTCCAAGGTCAGGGCAATCCAGACGGTTTTTGGAGAGGACCTGCAGGTATTATTACCGAAGACATAAGCAAAAGAAAAAGAGAGAAGCCAGGAAAGCTTAGATTGCCAAAAGACTTGATTAGAAAATAATACTCACTGCAAGGATGCTGGTTATATTAGCCTGAACCTTCAGAATCTCTGTATCACGTTCCAGTTTCTCCTTCCAATCCACGAGCAAAGTTTCATCCTGGTATGTTCTAAGAGCATTAGAAAATGAAATGAAAAGGAAGAAATGTACTCATACAAGAAAAAATGAATAAAATGTATCCACCTGAGGAAGCTGGATGGCAACTTTGTTAGGAAATAGCCGAGTTATTTGTTTCATTGATTTAGGCGTTTCCTTGTTCCTGTCGTGCAGTTTCCCAATTGTATCCTGCAGGTGATATGAAAAAACAAGTTTTAACATCTCAAAAGAAAAATCAATCGAAGATGACTTCAGTGAACCTTACCATTCAGAAAGAAAAATTAAGATACAATGGAAAATAAGATCAAAGATAAGTCAGGTCATCATACCGGAAATGCAAGATCTAGTAAAGCCGTCTGGTTGCCACCGAACTTAGTAAACAAGAAACCTCCAGGATGGGACTGGAAAAAAACCATAAAATTCCAATTAAGTATACAGGTGAGCAGATTATAATAGCTTAAGGAAATCAAAAGGGAAATAAGTTTCCTACCTTCTCCTTTCGGCTGTCCAACTGGGTCTGTGAGGCCATGACAACAATATTTTCCGGTAAATTCTCGAGCTTGCTCTTCAAGGTTGCATACACGTCACTGTTCCCCACGAGAGATTTCTCAATATCTTTCAAGAAAATTATTAATGAACCTCCTTCACTCTCGCTTATTGCGACCTATGATATGAGTCAAGAGGTTAACAATCCAGTAGCTATAAGATCTAAGTAGTACTCTCCCATTACTTCAAAAGTAAAAGGTACCTCAAAGAGTTCATTAACAGCGAGTTTATCAGCATCATCACTAGAAGAACCATCTAAACGAAGTGAGCTAGCTGCAAACAAAGGATGATATTAATGAAATGATACTTTTTGAAATGAGGTACAGATGGAAATAACAGACGGCAATTACCAGAACAAAAAAAACCATGGTCTTCTTCGCAGAGGCCACCAAGATCATTGCCATCTGGTACAGGCCTATCGAATCTAATCCCAATTTTTGAAGAACAGTTGTCTTCAAATGCAAGGACTACTTTTCCCTGGTAACCAACGGCCGGACCCCTATATTAAAAAGCAGGGGAGAAGTTAGACCAGAAATTTGAATACAACAAACATTTGCAGCATATGTGAAGACTTGAAAAAGCAAATAAAAAAATACCTAATTGAGCCTTGAAGAGAAGAAATTGCAGAAGATGAAGGGCCTACAAACTTTACTCGGTCACCTAAAAAAGATTAAAAAAAAAAGTGCTTGTTCAGTAACACAGGACTTGTACAACAAAGAAAGTGAGCAATCAGATGACAAAAAGGTTCATGCCTGATTTAAATGTGTAACTTTTAGAAGTTGCTGTTGACACTTCTTGCTTCGGCAATGCCTGAGAACTTAATGTTGAGCCACCTGTCATATCAGCATCAACACTCGAAGTTGGTTTCTTATGTTGCAATACTTGAGCAGCATGGACAGCTCGTTTAGCAAGCATAGACAGCCTTTCACGCCTAGAACCTTCTTTAGAAGATTCGGAGTCCCTAGCTGGTGATCCCTGAAGCCATCAGAAACAGAACAAAATCAATAACTCTCCCAAGAAAGAACAAAGCTACTAATTATCAAAGAGCCTGTTGAAAACAATGGCAGGGTGGACACCGAAACAGGTATAGCATCTAAGCTACTTGGGACCAAAAGTCAACAATACACCATGCAATAATACCCACTTGTTCAAGATGAGAAAAAATATATTTTAATAAACAAAACAACATTGGAATGAAATATACATATAATCTAATGCCCACTTGTTCAAGTTGAGAAAATATATATTTTAATACATAACGACATTGGAATGAGTATACAAAGCGTAACACAAAAGAGAAGAGAAGTGGGAAAAAGAAGATTACCCCAGGCAACAAAAGAGAGTCAACAATCATCAATTTGGCCCCAAAACTTTTCGCAAGCGCTTTTGCCAACATTTCCTGATATATCTCAGACCCTAGAAATATTTCATAAGGTAAACTTGGTTAGAAATAGACATCTCAGACCTTATAATACTAAGGTAGATTTGGCTGGAGGGATGGAGACACTGAAAAATGTAGAAAAACTACTAATAAAGCCTCATACCTGCTGGTCCAGATAGCAAGATACGGGGACACATTGTAGACAGGTCTGATGCATACTTTGCATACTTGCTTCCACCCTTCATGTGGACATACATGGATGCTATCAGAACATCCTTCGTCGTAGAACTGAAACATTTCAGAAGTGTAAATCATCAAACCATCAAAAGGCAGATGAATGGTAGAAATCTAACATAACATATAGCGACCTTAAAAAGTATGGGAAGTCCTCCAAAGAAATGTCTATGTTTTCAGCATTGAGTACTCCTCCTCGCAGACTATCCTTGTACGCTTGGCGTCTAGTCGATACAGTAGACGAAAGGTCAAATTCTCTAAGGAATTCCCTCACTTCCCTTCGTTCATCCAGCAATTTGGAGATGCCCCTTATATCAAACGAAGAAGGTTCCCCAAGAAGGCGCAAGATTGGTCTAATTTCATAACCAGAACCAGGAGCTCCACCATCAGCTTCTTGAAAAGGATCCAATCCAGTGCCATCGGCACTCAGATTCTCATTGGCAGCACAAGAGGTCGAAGCAGCAGTTTTCTCCACAGCAGCATTATCATTGTTACTATCAGCATCGTTCATCTCAGTATCTGAGACGCAATCATTGCAACTGGAAGGCACCACAGGAATCTCCGGATTTTGCTGCCTTTTGCCAGCTTTGGCAATCGGTGGTAGAAGATGGAAGTTGCGGTACTTTGACAGAGATGCCAATATAGAGGCCCCATCAGCAGCTGTTGGGTCTCCTGCCCTTGTCTCAACATGAACCCCTTTCAGAGGGGCACCCCGAGCTTCACATATACTCAGTGAAGAAGCTTTGTCAGGAGCAGCATGGTTTTCATCTTTGAGAGGTTGAAATATCTATAGACAAATCGTTAAGAAAAGTTTACCGGAAAATTTAAAATGGCAAGAGCGTTATCAACAACATAAAAAACGAATCTATATACTTTTCACGCAACTTCAAAAAGGATACATAAGCATGTTTGCCAGACATGGTGAAGATAACCTCGTCACCACCACGAAGATGGACACAAGAACCTTTCTGGTAACACTTGCCATTCACCTGAACGAGAACTTTCTCCCCAAGTACCTCCAGCGATGCAACCGACGGACCTCCGAGCTGCACAGAACTATGTAAGCAAAACGCTTTTACGAAACGAAATCAAAAGGGGTTTGATCAGATGTCCTTACATCAGTCTGCTTCAGTTCACACAGGGTGCTGGGCGTGAAATTGTCTTTGATTGTTAAATCACATCCCCGGCGTCCAACAGTGAACACAGGGCCCCTCATCATACGGTGAGGGTTCTGCAGAAAAAACACCACAGGAACAGTCAGAAACAAAACGATACAGTCACACCATACTATTCCCGGGAAAAGGACATGCAGACGGCTAAAAGAGAACTGAAAGACCAGATCTTTTTACATGAATTGCACACTGCTAAACCCTCAAGATGGAAATGGACTGACCTGAGAACTCTGGGAAAGTAGCTGCGCCCATGGAGCCTTGTAAGCTCGCTTCTTCCCTGCCTTGGACTTCTCAGCATCCGCCACAGCTTCACCTAAATCACACAATTACACCAAAAACATTAGAAATGAGACTTTTTTTAAGAAGAAAAGATTGAGAGAGTAGGAAAAGAGCAAACCTGCAATTGTAGGTGTCGCCAGGACTTCGACTTCAGGGTTAGCATCGGCTTCAGGAGAGTTCTCCATCGCCGGCAATTCAGTGGCTACGGGCTTCTCAGCATCCATAGCTTGCGGATCAGAGGATCCCAGCTCCGGCTCTCCAGATTCCGATCCAGGATCCGAAGTCGGTCCTTGATTTTCAATCGGAACTTCGCTCGCTGACGAAGACCCCGCCGGCTCCGCCTAGATTTCAAAAAACAAAATCAGATTCAAAATCCGGAGGTAAGAAACCAAATAAACCCAGATTCAAATTCCGGATGTGAGAACAAAGCAACGAGAGGGAAACCAATAAATCTCGGATTTGGAGAGAAAAAACTACGCACAGATTCAGCAGCAGCGGCGGCGGCGGCGGCATCGATCTTGACCTTAGATCGCTTGTTAGGCCGTGGAGATGACGTCGACGCTTCAGGGGAAGAAGAAGAACAGAAACGCTTGGAAGCGGAAGAGCTACGTCTCGTCTCAACCATATCTCACGATTTTCTCAATCTCTCTTTTTCTTCCTCGGCCTTGACTTCGCCTTGATCCAAGAAGAACCGCTTGGTTCCCGATAGAGAGAGAGAGAAAGGAGAGAAGAGATTAGAGATAGGAGAAGGATAGAGAGAGAGAGAGAGAGAAGCGAAATCGAAGAATCAGAGAGATTTCATGTAAATGATTACGATCAAGGTCAATTTATAAATACAACCTGCAACTTTATTCTATGTGTGAAAAAAATAACATTACGGGTCAATTTATAAAAATAACTTGACCGACGTAATTCGATATTTTCTCAAAAATCTGTTTCCTATATATATGTAAAAATGATTTTAAATTAGTTTTGTGTGGTCGATACTTGATGTCGTTGTAGTGAATAAAATTTGGGATAAAATCTCATTTCTTTTTCTTTTTGAGAAATGGTAAAACAAAAATAAAATGGTAAAATACATGCATTATACCAAAGAGATGGTAACATACATGCATTAGTACTATAATATATGTGAAATCAAGCTGGATAAATTTTCTTGTATGGTAGTTTTTAGTTTTTTGGAATGGATTTTTGTATTTTTTCAGATTTTGTTTCCTTATAAAATAAATAATTCGCTTTTTACCATATTCTTAAAAAAGAAAGCGAGAGTTGGCTCCGCTCGGGCAAGACACAAGCACTTAAATAGATAAAGGAGCTAAAGACTCTACTTGCTTTTTCTGTAGATTGACTCCAACGGGTCAAACCGTTAACTTTACCTGCCACATAACAAACACAACACACAGCAGAATCACTCACACGAGTCCATGGTCAAACTTTTTTTCTATCTAAAAAAAAAAGGATAATCAAACTTTTTCTTCAGATAAAATAAATATTAATTCATACTATATCAGACCATATAATTGTGATTTATTTTCTTAAGTATCGTTTTGTTTGACCAACAGTTTTATATAGTTTCCTAAATTTGAAATTCTTTTGTAATGTGACTGTTTTATACATTTTTTTAAAAAACAAGGGTAACTATTTTATACCTGATATAAGTTGTTAAAACAATTATATTGTACACGCATTTTTTCTAAATTTCAAACTTAATTAGTCACTCAAACAAAATGGGTATTATATTGTATAGTCACTCAGTTACGTGATTCATAAGTTTGGATGTGTAACTAACTGTAGCTTCAGGATACCGAAAGTAAAAGCCTAAAAGGTTTGAATGTGTAACTATGTGGAGGATTATTGGAAGAAAATCTCATCTAATCTTTTATCCTTTCGAAATTATTTAGTAAAGATAAAGTCAATTGTAAATCACCCATTTTGAATCCAAGTCCCTAAAATCAATAATGTATGACCAATAATAACCACAAACATAAAGTGGTGAGGAATCTTTAAAAGAATATAAAATTGAACTGGTCTGCTGCTACAACACACATCTTGATGGACAAAAACACTTGGAGGCTCGGTTCGTCTAATCGTTGTTGTTCTATTAGGCACTTGTTTGCCTATACAACAATGCATGATACTCCATGCGACATTTTTTATGATTTGATTTTACGAGTATGAATGTTTTGTGTGTGTGTGTGTGTGTTATTGACAATACATCTACCATTTGATTTGTATCTCGAACTGTTTATGTGAACTTTGACATCTTCACAATTGAATTTCTACTATCAGAGCATTTGAAATTCAGCTACGAACACCAAAATTACCTAAGTTATTGTTGATTAGATGTTACCAACAACCTATAATCCCCTTCAAACTAAGCTTTCATATGCTCCTGAAAACATATACATTGCATTGCCATTTTTAAATGTGATTGTGTGTGTTATTATCATTTTATTTGGGGAGAATAACAGTTATAGAAAACATTTATAAACTTATAAAAATAAGATATAAATCTAGCAAATATAGTAATTTCTGTTAAGATTAAAATATTTCCAAGTTAGAAGTGTTTGTTTGATAAAAGAAAATATGAATTCAGACCGAAATACCCGTCTTCCACAAAGATCTATGAACTTCACCAAGTAAAAACCGAGGGTAGGTCGGTCATTTTAAAAGAGGTGACAATAAGGAGAAAAAAAAGTAACCAAGAAGGTACAAAATCCTAATTCATAAATCTCATAAACCCTAAACTCGCCATCTTTATCTCCTTCGACACAAGTTTCTCTTCGTTATCTCCTTCTAATCAAGTTCCGTGAAAAGTTTGAATATATAAGATCACTAGATCAGTAGTAGCAGCGTCGATGGTAGCACCAGATGACGACTCATGTCAATCAGGTTTTTATTTTTCCCGTCGTTTCTATCTATTTTCTTCCTCTGTTGGTTTTAATGGAATCGGAGAATTTTTGATCGCAGAGAGATTTTCAATTTGTTACAGGACCAACCTGGGATTCCGATGTCGCCGACGAGGATGGGGAATTGAGCTGTGTTAAGGGTCTCGATACCTCGTCTCAGTATTTGGCGGGAAAATCGGAAAATAGCGTTGTTGGTAGAGCCGATGATTTCGGTTTATCTGTCTCGGATCAGTCGATTTCTCCGATGACTGAGACTGATGCGGACGATTCTGCCTCTACGGAGTCAGCTTCCTCATCGTCATCTTCAATGTCGGAGATTGTTTCTTATGAATCCACAGATATTGTGGATAAATTTGAAAATGATGTTGAAAAGAAGGAGGTCGTGGATGAGAAATTGGTTTCTTATGAAACTGAGAAAGAGGAAATTGCGGAGAGTGAGAACGAAATCAATAGTGTGGAAGAAGCTGATGATGGAAGCAAAGAGGAGAAGAGTTTGGTTAGTGGTAAAGTCGATGATGTTGTAGAAGACGAGATTGCTAAGTTAACTTATACAGAATCTGTGCATTTTGATAAGACCACTCCAAGTATTAAAGAACCTAATGATGCGACTTTTGAATCTGATGGAGTTTTTGAATCGGTTGCTAAGGAAACATCAGAGGTAGCCAAAGTAGAACCTGTGGAAAAAGAGGAATCTTTTGTAGCTAAAAGCTCAAATGTGGTTTCTGTTGATGCAAAAGATGATGATTCAGGGGAAGGTGGGTGTGAAAGTGATGATAAAACTGAAGAGTCGAGATTTGGGGGTTCAAAATCTGTAGAACACTTCTTGGAAGAGTTGGAAAAGGTTTCTTCTGGTATTGATGGCCAGATTGTCACTGATTCTGACGAGGAAGCAGATACGAATGATGAAGGTGAGGAGAAAACGTTTGATACTGCAGCTTTGGCCTCGCTTTTAAAGGCACTCACTGCTAATGGAAGTACAGATGGTAACATCTCAGCTGGTTTGAGCTCATCTTTAAGACATTTGAAACCTGCAGCAGCTCCACTTGCAAACCGTTCCAACATCTTCCCCAGTCCTAGTGTCACAACGGGTGAAGAGAGTGAGATTAACTTGAGCGAGGAAGAGAAGCAGAAGCTGGAAAAGTTGCAGAGCCTCCGTGTGAAGTTCTTGCGGCTTCTGCAAAGGCTGGGGAAGTCAGCAGAAGCTTCAATAGCAGCACAGGTTCTTTACCGTATCGCTCTACTTGCTGGTAGACAAACAGGGAAGTTATTCAGTCTTGACGCTGCAAAGAAACTGGCTATGGAGTCTGAGGCTGAGGGAAAAGAAGATTTGAACTTCTCTCTAAACATACTGATCCTTGGAAAATCCGGAGTGGGGAAAAGCGCTACGGTAAATTCCATCTTTGGCGATCAGAAATCGTCCATTCATGCATTTGGACCTTCCACCACTTCGGTGAAAGTAATTTCTGGAACAGTGAGTGGTGTCAAGATCACAATCATAGACACTCCTGGCTTAAAGTCTTCTGCCATGTATCAAACTGCCAATTCCAAAATGTTGTCTTCGGTGAAGAAGGTGATGAAGAAGTATCCACCAGATGTGGTTCTTTACGTTGATCGTCTTGATGCTCAGAATAGAGAGTTGAATAATCTTCCTTTACTAAAGACAATCACTGCTTCTCTTGGTCCATCCATATGGAAAAACGCAATAGTGACATTAACTCATTCTGCTTCAGCTCCTCCTGATGGCCCATCTGGCTCTCCTTTGAGCTATGAGACGTTTGTGTCTCAGTGCTCATTTGTTTTACAGCAGTCGATCGCGCAAGCCGTCGGTTTGATGATGTATTCGAGTCCATTGACGCCGGTTTCTCTCGTTGAGAATCATTCCTTGTGCAGGAAGAACCGAGCTGGAGAAAAGGTTCTCCCCAACGGCCAAGCTTGGAGACCTGAGCTGCTGTTATTGTGCTACTCTCTCAAGGTTTTCTCAGATGCAATTTCTCTATCCAAGCCTCAAGAACCTTTGGGGTCTCGATCTCTCTCGTCCATATTGTCTCTCCCTAAGTTGTTGTCTTGGCTGTTGCCATTCCGTGCACATCTAAAGCTCCCTGCAGATCAAGGTGTTGACTCTGATATCGAACTCGACGACGACGTGTCTGATTCTGAGCAGGAAGAAGGAGAAGGTGATGAGTACAATCAGCTGCCACCGTTTAAGCCTCTTCGAAAAACTCAACTTGCTAAACTCTCAAAGGAACATAGAAAAGCATACTTTGACGAGTACGATTACCGGGTAAAGCTCCTGCAGAAGAAACAATGGAAGGACGAGCTGAGAAGGATGAGACAGATGAAGAAAAATGGGAAAGATGAGGCTCCTCCACCTGCATCTCCTCCTGTTTCACTACCCGATATGGTCTTGCCAACTTCATTTGACAGTGATGACTCAGCTTATCGCTACCGTTCTCTGGAACCTACCTCAAAGTTCATTACCAAGTCAATGTTGGAGTTACAAGGCTGGGATCATGACTGTGGATATGACAGTGTCATCGCGGAATACAGTCACGCCATAGCGAAACGTTTCCCTGCAGCAGTTTTCGTCAATATGACCAAAGACAAGAAAGAGTTCAGTATCAATCTAGACTCCTCTGTTTGCGCTAAGCACGGGGACAATGGTTCCACCATGGCAGGACTCGTTATCAGGGATGTGAACGAGCAGCTTATGTACGTGGTCAAAGGAGAAACCAAATTCAAGAACTTGAGGAAGAACAAGACGACTCTTGGAGGCTCGTTGATGTTCTTCAACGGGAACACTGCGACTTGTTTGAAACTGGAGGACCAGGTCACGCTAGGGAAGAGGCTCGTACTTGTTGGAAACGCAGGGACAATGCGGTCAAAGGAAGAATCAGCTTATGAAGCAAACCTTGAGGTTAGGCTTAGAGAAGCTGATTTCCCTATAGGCCAAAACCAATACGTTTTGGGGATGTCGCTGACGAAGTCCAAAGGAGAAGGTTTGGCTCTCAGAGGCAATCTCCGATCTCAAGTCTCTATAGGAAGACAAACGAAAGTAGGAGCTTTTGCAAGTCTTGACAACACGATGACCGGACAGTTCACTGTCCGAACCAGCAGCTCGGATCAGCTGCAGATCGCAATCATGGCCATTCTTCCTATTGCCAGGTCCATCTACAAGAAGATTGTTCCATCAGAATTGACAGAGTGACAAATACTCTGTAACTAAAAAGGCTCATATTTTTTTTTTAACTTTTATAGAAAACCTTCCAAATTCTGATAATTTATGCCAAATTTGATCCCTGTTGACTGAAAAATCACTATCAAACACTTTGACTTTCGTGTAAAGGTTTCATCTTTTGTTAAATTTGTGTTCCTTTTTTTTTTGTTATCGAGATTTTCATATAAATAGCTTCGTGGAGGAAATAGAGAAGAAGAAGACGAAATAAAATTAATGGACGATGAAGCAGAGCATTTGAAGGCAGCTTTCGGAGATTCGTCGGATGGTGAAGATTTCGCAGATCGGCCGGAAAAAGAAACCCTAGGGATCGGAGATTCGACGGTATGGGAGCGAGTGGAGAGTATCAATGGTTTATGGCTCTGTAGAAGCTTTCTCTCTATTCATCATCAGTCTGAATTACTCTCCGCCATTCTAAAAGGTACCCTTTGTCTCTTCTTTTGCTTATGGATTGCTTTTGCTAATTAAAAAATTTCTGCAGAAGGTTGGTTCGTTGAAGAATCTATTAACCAGGTAATAAACTCTCATCATCTGTTTCATTGATTTCATACCAGAACCTAAAATTTTGTCTCTCTTCTTCCCCAATATCTTCACCTTTTTTTCCTTAAGGTAGTGTTGGGGGTTTAGCTCAGAAATGAATCTTTACGAACTCATGCTTCCACAATTCCCTAATCTGTTTTTTTAAAACTGGATTTCAATCTCTAAAACCTCGTTTCTATGGAAATTATTCGATTGCAATGATATTGATATGACATTGGTCCAAATTTCAATGTTGGCATACAAGATCATTATCAGTTAGTCTTTTCCTAGGCTGCTTTTGTTTCCTCTCTTGAAGTGAATTTGCCCTTTTTCATGAATAGCTCAGATTCTTGGTTTTTCATTGTGATTTGTGATGCTTCTTGGTGTTAAGCGTGAGATGGTATGATGATAAACTAACTAAAGCTTCGTCTTTTTCTATGTTGTTAATAAAGGCGATGAGGTTTGGTGATCTCCCTTCATGGGCAACAAAATTGTCTGATCTCATACAAGAGACCGTGGAATCTGTTGATCTTTCAGTGTTGCCTGCTGATTTGCTATGGAGAGAACCTCTGTTCGACCAACTCATTGTCAATTCATACCAACCAGGTGAGGTACGATGCCTTTCACTTTTGCCCTTATCATCTTTTTGAGTAAAACACTTCCACTCTTCTTTACTACTGTAGTAAGAAACAATAGAGTAACAACTAGCAGCTTTGTTATGGTTTATTGGATAAATAAAATTAGATAGTTCAAGAGACTTGCAAATTGGGTGAAATAAGCAAATGAAAAATGAGTGAAAGCAAGATAATCAAGTCATAGATTATTCAGACATTATTATCAAGATTTCGTGACAATGCAAATAAATTTTGAGTTCGTTTTGACAGGGGATATGTGCACATGTTGATCTACTGCGTTTTGAAGATGGAATTGCCATTGTATCGCTTGAATCACCTTGCGTGATGCGGTTCAGTCCCGCAGAAGCGGTTGAAGCTGAGGATGTGGATGTTTTGTTGAGCCCTGGATCGCTCATTCTCATGTCTGGAGAAGCTCGGTATCAATGGAAACACGAGATTAATCGAAAGGAGAATGGGTTTCAGGTATGGGAAGGAGAAGAAATTGATCAGAAGCGAAGAATCTCCATCACTTTGAGAAAGCTATGTCAAGCTTAAGGAGTGTGTCAAAACTCAAAAGACTCAAAACTAATTTTTAAGTATCTGGGGGACATCTTTAGACGTGATTAATTGATAAGAACCTAAAATGTTAGATTAGCTAAATCATCATATCTTACATTGCGACTGTAAGAATTAACTTTGGTTTTGTTCTGAATCGATATTAAAAAAAAAAAATAGTGAGTATTATTTTCTATCTTTTGTTGTTATGTAATTAAAAGATTATAGTAGTCATGATGTATACCATTTTCTTTCTCTTGTCGTTTTTACTATAATGAATATAAATAGAAGAGAATTTGGCTAATTAATGAATTTAAAAAGGAGTGAAGGAAAATTTGGTAAAATATTTATCTAAAGGGGTGGATTTGGTAAAATATTCAACTAAAGTGATGAATTTGGTAAAATATTCAACGTCGAAACAACTTCATATTTTTTGTTTTTTTTTTATTTATTATCAAGTGACATACATACACATATCAAATTTTGTTACCTATTAAAAGTACTTGTAACATTCTTTTACCCAAAAAAGCATACTATTACTATCTCAAGATCTTAATAATTTCCAAAAGTCATTTGGTAATTAACCGTATCCAACAAGTTGAAATTATTTTCCTATTTATGTTCCCTTTTGTTTTCAACCTTTTTTCTATTTATAAAAAAACTACGAGTTGACTTTTCAACGCTCACCGAAATCTAGATCCATGCTGCATTAACGGTCAGGATCATAGATCACAAGTCACGTACACTGATACTTCGCCACGTGTCACCAACACTACTAACACAGCACCACCACCGACACAACCGAGTGAAATAAGAAAGACAACCTTAACTGTCATGTCCATACGCAAAATCTCTCTGTAGTAACTTTGATAAATAACAGTGTGTTTCTGGAAAGAAATTATCAAATTCGAATCTTTCATTAATGGAAACTCAGATCTTGTCTTAAAAAAACCCCATTTATAGATCGTACTAAACAGAGAGAATCTCTAAGAAGAAGATTGGAGGAGAAGATGATCGAGAGGTGTTTAGGAGCTCACCGGTGCCGGAAAATCCAAAGAGCCTTACGCCATTTGAAGGTTACGGTTCTCTGCCTCGTTCTTACCATAGTCGTCCTACGTGGCACAATCGGCGCCGGCAAATATGGAACTCCGGAGCAGGATCTTGACGAGATCCGTCAACATTTCCACTCATCGCGTAAACGAGCCGAGCCTCATCGTGTACTCGAGGAAATACAGACCGGAGGAGATTCTACTTCCTCCTCCGGCGACGGCGGAGGAAACTCCGGCGGGAGCAATAACTACGAGACGTTCGACATCAACAAGATATTCGTTGACGAAGGAGAAGAAGAGAAACCCGACCCGAATAAACCTTACACTCTCGGACCCAAGATATCCGATTGGAACGAGCAGAGATCCGATTGGTTAGCTAAGAACCCTAGCTTCCCAAATTTCATCGGACCGAACAAGCCACGTGTGCTCTTGGTGACTGGTTCTGCTCCGAAACCGTGCGAGAATCCTGTCGGAGACCATTACCTCTTGAAATCGATCAAGAACAAGATCGATTACTGTAGGTTACACGGGATCGAGATCTTCTACAACATGGCTCTCCTCGACGCGGAGATGGCTGGATTCTGGGCGAAGCTTCCGTTGATCAGGAAGCTTCTGCTATCTCATCCTGAGATTGAGTTTCTATGGTGGATGGATAGTGATGCTATGTTTACGGACATGGCGTTTGAGCTTCCGTGGGAGAGGTATAAAGATCACAACCTTGTGATGCACGGATGGAACGAGATGGTTTACGATCAGAAGAATTGGATTGGGTTGAACACTGGGAGTTTCTTGCTTAGGAACAACCAATGGGCGCTTGATTTGCTTGACACTTGGGCTCCTATGGGTCCTAAAGGGAAGATCCGTGAGGAAGCGGGTAAGGTTTTGACCCGTGAGCTCAAGGATCGACCCGTTTTCGAAGCTGATGATCAGTCTGCTATGGTTTATCTCTTGGCTACTCAACGAGAGACTTGGGGAAATAAGGTAAAAATAAAACTATGATCTTGATTTCATTTTCAGTATTGGTTTGGTCTGATAAATATCAAAATTTAGCAACTTTAGTTTGAGATTCATCAATTGTCTGTTTATAATGCGTCTTGATCACATAAATATTGGATTTTTATTCAGAAGTAAGCTCAAAGTGTTGATCTTTGGTTGGCAGTGTTGGTCTAATGCTGAATATAACATTTTGAAACGCTGCATTGTTGTTATAGGTGTACCTAGAAAGTGGATACTATCTCCATGGTTACTGGGGAATTCTAGTGGACCGATATGAAGAAATGATTGAAAACTATCACCCCGGTCTAGGCGATCATAGGTGGCCGTTGGTGACTCACTTTGTCGGTTGCAAACCGTGTGGGAAGTTTGGAGATTACCCGGTGGAACGGTGTTTGAAGCAAATGGACAGAGCGTTTAACTTTGGGGATAATCAGATTCTGCAAATCTATGGTTTCACACACAAATCTTTGGCTAGTCGTAAGGTGAAGAGAGTGAGGAACGAGACTAGCAATCCTTTGGTGATGAAAGACGAGCTTGGGTTGCTTCACCCGGCGTTTAAGGCTGTTAAGGTACGACAAACCAATCAAGTTTGAATCGGATTTTAGGATTTTGTGTTTCTGTTTCTTTGCTATATTTTATCATGTCTTTGTGTCTTTGCTTTGTTGTTGTACTAAGATGGGTGATGATAAAAAAATGTTGTGCAGAGACATCAGTTTATTCTTTTGTTTACTTTTCTAGAGTTCTATTACGAAATCAAAAATGTTGTGTTGTCCTTTGGAATACATTAGAACTTGAGATTTTGTAGCTTCATTGATGAATAATCAATGTTAATTCAAGAACATTTTCTTAACCTAATCTCAGATTTAGCTAAATATGAGATACTCTCTCTATTCATAAGTTTGTGTAGTTTTGTTAAGAGTTTAGGCATGTGGTTAGATTGTGTTTTCAGGATGGGGTTTTTTTTGGAAATTTGTTGTATAAAAAAATATACGAATGTACGGGCTATAATGCCTTTTAAAAGCCCATTAACATGTGAAAACTAAAATCCCGGCCTATAATCCGGAATCCATAATATACAAAATTCCAAGATAATTCGTAGATAATGGTGGAAATATTTTTATTTTATAGTGAAATATTTTGTGGCCAAGCAAATCTTGAGATGGGAGAGAATCAACAAGAAAACAAAAACAAGATTTCTTCAAATCTTAAATATTGTTCTCCTTTCTCTTTTTTTGTATAAAACCTATCATCATACTTCAAAAACCCTAGTTGTAAAGGATGCCATCAAACCATTTTCCATACAGTGAAAAATTTAAACATTTGGAAAATTAGTGGCGTCATTATTTTGGAAAGGCAAAAAAATAAATACCTTCCAAAAGACCAAAACAGTAAATATACGAAAATATTAACAGTTTTGGTTTCCAAAATTTGACCTCATTAATTTTTTGTTTGCTAAAATATTTGCTCTTGTTGAAACGACAGTGTTCGCATAGCACACAACTTGGTACTGTATATACTTCACCAACTGAGCCAAGGGTATTTTAGTCATTTTCTCTCCATCCTCATAAAACGACTGAGAAGATAAAATCCCAAAGCAAAGAGAGTCATTTTTTGTTCGCTCACTGACCTTATCTCTCTCCCAATTCTCTCTTCTTCATAGAGAGAGCGCAATTCTCATTCCTAAAATCGTCCACAAATCATCAGAAAAGGGTTTAAATTTCTTAAAACCCTGAACTCTTATCGCTATCTCCTTCCTCCACTAGTTTGGTAGAGAGTTCGATAAAATCTTTAGTATCAAGCGGCGATGGACTCAAAGACCGAGCAGACGAACCCATTTTACGCTTCGGCACAATCAGGTTTTTATTCTCTTCCTCATTTCCATCTTCTTTCAGTGGGAATTAATCTGGTTTTGGGAAATAGGGTTTTAATCGGCGGAAATATTTATGGAATTTTTGTTTTGGTTACAGGAAAAACCTATGCTTCCGTTGTCGCCGCCGCCGCTGCTGCATCCGCCGCTAACGAAGGTGGGGCTGTGAGTAGTGCGAAGGAGTTGGATTCCTCATCCGAGGCTGTGTCTGGTGGAGCCGATAATTTATCTGACGCGGAGAAGGAGAAGGAGAAGGAGGAGAAGTCGAGTTTGGAGGTTGGAGGCGATGGGGAGATTTCCGGCGAGGAGGATTCTGCTACCCCTAAGGCTTCTTCATCGTTACCTCCGAAGCCGGAGGTTGTTTCTGATGAAAAAACAATTGAAGAAGATGATGTAGGTGTTGTAGAGGAGACGAAGAAGGTTGTGGAGGTTAATGAGGGTGTGGAAGATGTTGCAAATGATGGTGAGAAGAAGCTTGAAAATGGGAGTGTTGATGTTGGAGAGAAACAGGCTTCCACGGATGAGAATCCGAAAACGGAGAGTGAAGTGAAGGGTGTGGAAGGAGAAGATGTTGGATCCAAAATCGATGCTGAGGTAAAGGAGGTAGATGGAACCAACGAGGAGAAGAGTGAGGAGAGTGGTAAAGTTGATGTTGACGAAAAAAGTGATCATGTTATCGAAGAAGACTTGATAGTGGACTCATCCGCTATAGAATCTGTGCATATTGATGTGGCGAAACCAGGGGTGGCTGTTGTGGGAGAGGTAGAGGGAAGTGAGGGGATTAAGCTTGACGCTGATGGTGAAACTCTTGAAGTGGCTAATAAGTTTGATCAAATTGGCCATGATGATGGTAGTGGTGGATTTGAAGTTGAGTCTGATAAGGCCATTGAGGAGGTAGGAGAAAAATCGACTAGCGGAGCAGACTCTGTCTCAGACTCCTCTAAGCTAGAGTCTGCTGATACCAGTGCTGCAGAGCCAGAGGTTGTAGCTGTCGAGGGTGGGGATGTACCAAAGGAGGTGGAAGATACTAATGGATCAGAGAAGGGTATGACTTATGCTGAGGTGATAAAGGCCGCTAGTGCAGTAGCTGACAATGGAACCACAGAGGGGGAGACTGTGTCCAGTGGCGTAGTCGATGATGAAGACGAGGGTGTGAAGTTAACCAACAAAGGAGACGTGGTGGTGGACTCATCTCCTCTGGAATCTGTGCATGTAGATGTGGCAAAGCCAGGGGTTGTTGTTGTTGGAGATGTAGAGGGGAGTGAGCTGGTGGAAACTGATGGCAAGATCGCTGATTTGCATAATAAGTTTGATCCAGTTGGCCAAGTTGAAGGTGATGGAGCTGAACTTCAATCTGATAAGGCCACCGAGGAGGGAGGAGAGAACTTGACTAGCGAAGGAGACTCTATTGTTGACTCCTCTGTGGTGGACTCTGTTGATATTAATGTTGCAGAGCCAGGGGTTGTGGTTGTTGGTGTGGTGAAGGAGGCTGAAATCAAGGACGATGTAATTGATGAGGTTGACAAGACCATCCCAAGTGTTGAGGAAGCTGATGACCTGACTGCTGCATATGATGGAAATTTTGAATTGGTTGCTGCTAAGGAAACATCAGAAGTAGCCAAAGCAGAGCTTGACGGACCAAAAATAGATGCGGAAGAAGAAGAAGCATTGCCTGTTTCTGAAAGTTTTGATGAGGGTTCAGTTGATGCCAAAGAGGATTCAAAGCCAGCAGCTGAGTCACAGGTTGAAGCAAACCCTAACCCAGAGGTCCCGGAAGTTGCTGAGCGGGACAATGCTGAAGAAGGTGGAGACAAGATACCAGTTGCAGACAATGTTTCTTCTCGTGAATTTAGCCTTGAAGGCAAGGAAGTGGACGAGGAACTTTCTGGAGAAGGTGTTATCAGGGATGATGGGACTGAAAGTGAAGAAGAAACTGAAGAGATGATATTTGGGAGTTCTGAAGCTGCAAAACAGTTCTTAGCAGAGCTTGAAAAGGCTTCTTCTGGTATTGAGGCCCATTCTGATGAAGCCAATATTTCTAACAATATGTCAGATAGGATTGATGGCCAAATTGCTACTGATTCTGACGAGGATGTAGACACAGAGGATGAAGGTGAGGAGAAAATGTTTGATTCTGCAGCTTTGGCTGCACTTTTGAAGGCAGCCACTGGTGGTGGAAGTTCAGAAGGCGGCAATTTTACCATAACATCTCAGGATGGTACCAAGCTTTTCTCTATGGATCGCCCTGCTGGTTTGAGTTCATCTTTAAGACCTTTGAAACCTGCGGCAGCTCCACGTGCGAACCGTTCCAACATCTTCTCCAGTCCTAGTGTCACAACTGGTGAAGAGAGTGAGGTTATTTTGAGCGACGAAGAGAAACAGAAGTTGGAAAAGTTGCAGAGCCTCCGTGTGAAGTTCTTGCGACTTTTGCAAAGGTTGGGGCAGTCGGCAGAAGATTCAATTGCAGCACAGGTTCTTTACCGTATTGCTCTGCTTGCTGGGAGACAAACAGGGCAGTTATTCAGTCTTGATGCCGCAAGGAGGAAGGCTGTGGAGTCTGAGGCTGAGGGAAACGAAGATTTGAACTTCTCTCTAAACATACTGGTCCTTGGAAAAGCTGGGGTGGGAAAAAGTGCTACAATCAACTCTATTTTGGGGAATCAGAGGGCGTCAATCGATGCTTTTGGGCTCTCAACCACTTCGGTAAGAGAAATTTCTGAAACAGTGGATGGTGTCAAGATTACCTTTATTGATACTCCCGGTTTGAAGTCTGCGGCGATGGATCAAAGTGCGAATGCTAAAATGTTGTCTTCGGTCAAGAAGGTGATGAAGAAGTGTCCCCCTGATATTGTTCTCTATGTGGATCGGCTTGATGCTCAGACCAGGGACCTGAACAATTTGCCCTTGCTAAGGACGATTACTGCTTCCCTTGGTACATCCATATGGAAAAACGCCATAGTGACATTGACCCATGCTGCTTCTGCCCCTCCTGATGGCCCATCTGGCTCTCCTTTGAGCTATGATGTGTTTGTGTCGCAGTGCTCACATATTGTTCAACAGTCTATTGGACAGGCCGTTGGTGATCTACGTTTGATGAACCCAAGTATGATGAATCCTGTTGCTCTTGTTGAGAATCATCCCTTGTGTAGGAAGAACCGGGAGGGAGTGAAGGTTCTCCCAAACGGCCAAACTTGGAGACCTCAGCTGTTGCTATTGTGCTACTCCCTGAAGGTTTTGTCAGAAGCAAACTCTCTATTGAAGCCTCAGGAACCATTGGACCATCGTAAAGTGTTTGGCTTCCGAGTTCGATCCCCGCCTCTCCCTTACTTGCTGTCTTGGCTGTTACAGTCCCGTGCACATCCTAAGCTCGCTGCAGACCAAGGTGGTGACAGTGTTGACTCTGATATTGAAATTGATGATGTGTCTGACACTGAGCAGGAAGATGGGGAAGATGACGAGTATGACCAGCTGCCACCATTTAAGCCTCTTCGAAAAACCCAACTTGCTAAACTCTCAAAAGAACAGAGAAAGGCATATATGGAGGAGTATGATTACCGGGTAAAGCTCCTGCAGAAGAAGCAATGGAGAGAGGAGTTGAAGAGGATGAGGGAAATGAAGAAAAACGGGAAGAAGGTGGGTGAAAGTGAGTATGGTTATCCGGGAGAAGAAGAGGATCCGGAAAACGGTGCTCCAGCTGCAGTGCCAGTTCCGTTGCCCGATATGGTCTTGCCACCTTCATTTGATAGTGATAACTCAGCTTACCGATATCGTTTCCTGGAACCCACTTCACAGCTCCTAACCAGGCCAGTGTTGGACACCCATGGTTGGGACCATGACTGTGGATATGATGGTGTGAATGCAGAACACAGTCTTGCTTTGCTAACCCGGTTCCCTGCCACAGCTACTGTGCAAGTCACCAAGGACAAGAAAGAGTTCAACATCCATCTGGATTCCTCGGTGTCTGCCAAGCACGGCGAGAATGGATCCACCATGGCCGGGTTTGATATCCAGAATGTCGGTAAGCAGCTTGCATATGTGGTGAGAGGAGAAACCAAATTCAAGAACTTGAGGAAGAACAAGACGACTGTCGGAGGGTCAGTGACATTCTTGGGGGAGAACGTTGCCATGGGTGTCAAGCTCGAGGACCAGATATCACTCGGGAAAAGGTTCGTGCTTGTGGGAAGTACAGGGACCATGCGATCACAGGGAGACTCGGCATATGGTGCGAACCTCGAGGTCAGGCTTAAGGACGCTGATTTCCCAATAGGCCAGGACCAATCCTCCTTAGGGCTGTCACTGGTGAAGTGGAGAGGTGATTTAGCCCTTGGAGCCAATCTTCAGTCTCAAGTGTCAATTGGAAGGAACTCAAAGATAGCGCTACGTGCAGGGCTGAACAACAAGATGAGTGGACAGATCACAGTCCGAACCAGCAGCTCGGATCAGTTGCAGATTGCTCTCACTGCCATTCTTCCCATTGCAATGTCCATCTACAAGAGCCTTCGACCAGAAGGGGCCAACGACAAGTACAGCATGTACTGAACATCCCTCTGCTGATGATGATGAATGCTGGAGAAGGATCTTTATGTTACTGGTTTTTAGTTCATGTTTTTGTTTCCTTACTTTTAATAAAAACTTTGTTGAGATTTTCTCAGAAGTTGTATTTTGTTCTGTTGAGAAGTACCTATCGGATTTATTTTGTATCAGTAATTCTTCAGTTTCAGTAGCCTTTCTCTTTCTCTTCCTCTTCCTCTTCCTCAGTTAATGTTTTCCTTTGGTTAGGTGTTTTAGCTTCTCAGTTCTCACTGTTCAGAAATCTCGAAGTAGATGATGAGAGACAAACTCTGATTATACTGAAATCTTTACGAATAGAGACTGCAAATATATGGGCCGGGCCCAAAATTAGCGGGTCTGTTTTGTAAAATAAGCCCGTTTAGACCCGATGATTATTTTTCTTTAAAAGGAAAACGACACCATTTTCTCATGTTGCGTTTAGGGTTTATCACACCTGAGAGAGTGAGAGAGTTGCTGAATCAGTGAAAGAGTGCCGCCGTTAGAGGAGAACAACGATTTCAGATTTCTGAGGTAACCATTGTAAATTGCGAAAGTCTAGTTCTAGCTTATGATTTGTTGATACACAGTTTCTAGGGTTAGTTATCACTAGAAAATGATTTCTAGGGTTAGTTCTTCGGTCCTCTGCCTTCTGATTTGTTGATACACGATTTCTAGGGTTAGTTATCACTAGAAAATGATTTCTAGGGTTACTTCTTCGATCCTCTGCCTTCTGATTTGGTTATACACGATTATATTAGGGTCAATTTTGCTCTGAATTGATGATTCGAGTTTATGATCTCCCCATCTGATGAATCTCTGTTTGCATATTCACATTTCACAGGCGATGAAGCTCTGCAATCTTCCAAGTGAGATAGAAGAGGACATACTCTCTAGGGTTCCGATCAAGTCGCTGAGACAGTTACGCGCCACTAGCAAAGGATGGTACCATCACCGGTTGTTCAAAGATCCGAGATTCATCAAGAGGTACAATGATAGAAGACCAAGGAAGTACCATAAGGAAATCGTGCTGAATGAGTTTAGGATTCAGTCTTTGAGCTCCTACGTCGATCATCGCCGCATAGACCCTTCTAAGTTTCTTCTCATCGATCCCGTCAGTAATGAAAAGGTCGAAATAGCTCACGCTTTTCACTGCGATGGCATTCTGTTATGCACCAACACCAAGGACAACCGGTTTGTGGCTTGGAAGCCTTTTAAGGGGCAAACCAGATGGATCCAGCCGAGGGAGAATGGCATGATGAGCAGCTACAGAAGCTACGCTCTTGGTTACGATAGCAAGGAGTTGTGCCGTAGCTACAAGATATTGAGGTCTCTTGAGGATCAAACGGTGGAGATTTACGAGTTTAAGTCCGACTCATGGAGAATTCTCGATGGCGTCTCTCCCGGTGGAAGCTTTGAGTCTCTCGGCGTGTCTTTGAAAGGGAAAGCTTACTGGATCTCGAGAAAGGGAGGAGCCAAAGAGTACTCGCTGCTGGAGTTCGACTTCTCAACAGAGAAGTTTCAGAATCACTACCTTCCCTTCGACGAAGCAGACTCTTTGGGTCCTTATGTGCTCAAAGAAGGTCTGAACAATTTGGCTCTCTCGGTTGTGAAGGAAGACCGTCTCTGTTTGTTCTATGAGAGTAAAACGAAATCAAAGACGGAGATTTGGATGAGTAGTGAGATTGGTGAGACCGCGTCTGTGTCTTGGTTCAAGTACATAGCAGAGGATGCGGCACCATTTTTCACGAGGCACGTGAGTTTCTACGTCGACGATGAGTTCAAAATCGCGTACTGCTTCTATAATCACGAACGAAATGTCCATAATTTCGGGAGATGTGCCAAGCTGAGAATTTTGGGAGATGTTCCACCGAAAAACACAGGTCCTTGCAAACACAAGATATTCAAGTATTTAGGTTGGCACCTTGGCACAGCATGTGGTCCTCTTGTGTTTAGTTACATTCCATGGTCGGTGTAATATTCAGCAATGTTTGTTATGTCTTGCGTAGCTTGAGTCATGCTGTTTAGAATATGCTTTTTATTTGGCAATGGAACTGAGTCTTCTAGATTCCTTTTTATGTAATGCTAAACAATGGTTGTGGTTTGATCGTATGCACCTAATTTTAGAGACCAATTTTATATTTCTAAGAAGTTTTCTTTTGCCCACCAATTAAGAACAACGATTGCTCTATCAAAATAGAAGTTAGGGCTGAGAAGAAGAACATTCTTCATACAAACCGATCCATTTGGTTTATGATTTGTTTCTGTCTCGCTCTTTCCGTCTTGTGTCTTGTGAGACTAGTCTTTACCCCAGATAATAAGGTCAAAAGTCTTTGTATACTAGTCTTACTACTAATCAGTAACTCCACATTTAAGACATTGCAATCTTTGTGTTAATTATAGAACTACGCTGTTAAGAGCTTGACGATTAATATAAATAGATTTCCAATCAACAAATCTCAAGAACAAAGACACACACACACACACAATTGATAACAGAACAGAAACAAAAAAAATACAGTGAAACTGGGCAATGAGAGGCAGCCACTTATTTACTCTGAGAATTATTAATTTGACAGCAGAAACAGAACCAAATTTTTTCTTTTTTATTTGCTTGAAGAAATATCTCACTGAAGGACCTTGAGGGAAGCTGGCCTGCTGGTGATATCAGTGACCCACGCGTTGAGATGTGGACGCTCGGTGAAGAGCTTCTTGGAGGGAGTTTGGAGCAAGTATTGAATCACTGGAATGTGGTGAAGATCGGTCAACGTAAAAGTGTCACCGGCACAGTACTTGAAGGCGCCGAGCCTACCCTCGTAGATGTCAAGAACCTTGGCTAACTTAGCCTCTTCTTCTGCGACAACTTCTTCGTCTGTGGTCAAGCCATACATGAGCTTGAAAACTTGTTCCCAAGCAAGCTTTGTAGCCGGTGGGTCGAAATGGTGAGCTTCTACTTCCATTCCGTTGGCCATGGTTGCATAGGCGGCATAGTTCTTGGGGTCGGCTGGGACAAGGTTGGTTCCTTGGTCTGCGTATCCAAGAGCTATGTACAGAGTAATCGCTCTTGATTCTGTACAAAACAACCAAATTCATGTTAGTGGTTTTGTGAAACCAGATTTGAGATTGAAGAGAGATTTTGACAGGAAACGTTCATACCAAACATCTTGAGGTCTCCATCTTCAAAGGCTGGCACTTTACCAAAAGGCTGCAGCATCAAATCAAACACAAAAACATTCAAGATTCACACTTTATTCATCAAAAACACATAGATAGATTGATAGATAGATATGCTTACGTTGCGTGAGAGGAAAGGCTCCTTCTTGTGCTCACCGTCTAAGCTGTCGACATGAACAAGCTCAAAGTCTAGGTTTTTCTCGTAGAGGGCGAGGAGGACTTTCCTGGTGGAGGTGGAAGCTGCGTGTCCGAAAACTTTGATGCCTGCCATTGGATTAGGTTACTAAGAAGTTGTTAGAATATGTGATGTGTTTGAAGTTGAAGGTGATGAAACAAGACACAAGTAGTGATGGTATTTATAGAGGTCAAGAAACAGAGCATTTTCTTCATTCTCGTTAATGTTTACTTTCTCTTATTTAACAGATAAATAATGAATCTACAAGACCGTCGCAACCAATATTGACCAGTCTACTTTCGAGGATTTTTCAAAGTGGAACTACATTATACAGTATAACGTTTGAATAAGAGAGATATCTATAATCTATTTTATTGAACATGATTTTGAAAGGGATTTTGAAATCAGTTGAAATGATAATAAATTTATAAATTTGTGAGTTATAAGAATTCTTTTTTTTTTGTAATGCAATTGCAATTATTAATTTGTAATGATGCTTATTAAACACCTTGATGTTACATTTTTTTCGTAATGCATTACTCCCTTTGTTCTCTAATAAATGGTGTTCTAAGAGATTTATTTTTCTTCACAAATGAATAGTGTTTACATATATGAATGAGTATGAGAGATTGTCATTTGAACAACCACACATCTTAATTTCACATACACATTTTTTTTTTTTTGTCATTTGAGTAATTCATAATTTATTTTACATATCATTTCCTATATGAGAGTTTGTCATTTGAACAACCACACATCTTAATTTCAGAGACACATATTTTTTTTGTCATTTGAGTAATTCATAATCGTTTTAAAAAATTCAAATTTTAAATTGTGTAAAGCCGCTTTTTTGTTACTAAATTTTCTGCAGAAGATTTCTAAAGTTAGTTGAAGAATCTTTAACTAGGTGCGTAATGTAATCTCTATTATTGTGTTCTTCTTAACCAGTTGCATACTGAGTTAATGTTCTTTCACACCCCCAATTTCCACTTATTTGTTTTATACATATGCTTTTCAATATATGTATCAATCTCGAAAACATCTTGAAATTATTGGATTATATCAATGAAGAGACTAGAGAGCTTGATGATGAGAGTGACATAGTAAAAAAAAGGTAATTTGAGGCCCGATTTTTTTTTCTAAGCTTTTCAAAATAAAAACGGCACCGTTTAATTTTCACATTTATCTGGCTCCAACTTAATGCTTAGGGTTTATCATTTACATATTCTGATTCAGTGACGAGTGAAGTGCCACCGATTTGAGGAGAAACGACGATTTCTGAATTCTGAGGTAACGATTCATAATGTCCAAGTCTCGATCCAGCTTCTGATATGTTAAGACACTAATTTCTGGTTTGTGGGTCGTTTTCATGATTCAAAACCATATTCACTCTGTATTTTTGCTCCGAAATGACGATTTTAGTGTGTTTACACGTTTTTACAAATTCGCAGGCGATGTTTTCCGATCTTCCAAAGGAAATAGAAGAGGAGATACTCTCTAGGGTTCCGGTCGAATCGCTGAGACAGTTACGAGCCACTGCCAAAAGATGGTACCATCACCCTTTGTTCAGAGATCCAAAGTTCATCAAAAGGCACTTTGATAGAACACCACCAAGCAAGTATCATAAAGCAATCGTCTTGCATGAGTTTAAGATTCAATCTATGAGCTCATACCTCTTTCATCGCCGCATAAGCCCTTCTAAGTTTCTTCTCATCGATCCCGTCAGTAACAAAAAGGTTGATATAGCTCACGCTTTTCACTGCGATGGCATTCTGTTATGCACCAACACCAAGGACAACCGGTTTGTGGCTTGGAAACCTTTTAAGGGGCAAACCAGATGGATCCAGCCGAGGGAGAATGGCATGATGAGCAGCTACAGAAGCTACGCTCTTGGTTACGATAACAAGGAGTTGTGCCGTAGCTACAAGATCTTGAGGTCTCTGGAGGATCAAACTGTGGAAATGTACGAGTTTAAGTCTGACTCATGGAGGAATCTTGATGGCGTCTCTCCTGGTGGAAGCTTTGAGTCTCTCGGCGTGTCTTTGAAAGGGAATGCTTACTGGATCTCGAGAAGAGGAGGAGCCAAAGAGTACTCGCTGCTCGAGTTTGATTTCTCAACAGAGAAGTTTCAGAATCACTACCTTCCCTTCAACGAAGCAGACTGTTTGGGTCCTTATGTTCTCAAAGAAGGTTTGAACAATTTAGCTCTCTCGGTTGTTAAGGAAGACCGTCTCTGTTTGCTCTATGAGAGTAAAACGAAATCAAAGAATGAGATATGGATGAGTAGTGAGATTGGTGGTGAGACCGGGTCTGTGTCTTGGTTCAAGTACTTGGCAGTGGAGGCGACACCATTTTACACGAGGCACGTGAGTTTCTACATTGACGAGGAGGAGAAACTTGCCACTTGCTTCTATAATCACGAGCGACACATGCAATGTCTTGCCAAGTATAACAAATTTGGAGATGTTGCAACGAGGAAAGGACTTCCTGGAATGGATGGATACGAAGGTTTCGGTTGGCTTCCTAGCACAGCATGTGGGCCAATTGTGTTTGGTTATCTTCCATGGTTTGATTAATATTCGGCAATGTTTGTGATTTTCTTGCGTAGCTTGAGACATGTCTGTTTAGAATATGCTTTTAATTTGGTGGTAATGGAACTGAGTCTTGTAGATTAAAATTTTTGTAGTGCGAAACTAAGGTTGTGGTTCGAGTGTATTCACCTAATTTTAGAGACCACTTCTATATAACTAGTAAGTTTTCTTTTGCCACCAATTAAGAACAACGATTTGCTCTATCAAATTGAAGAAACGGCTGAGAAGAATAACATTCTTCATACAAACCGATCCATTTGGTTTATGATTAAGGTAAATAGCTTTGTGCTGTCTGAATCCTTGCGCTGTCTCTTCCAAGATTCCCCCCCTTTGAGTTAGGAGATATCTAAATATGGATTTTTGTAATGTACAAATCTTTTAGGGGTTGAATACTTGAATATGTCCGACGTAAATAAAGAAATAGCAACGAATATCGGCATTAAACTACTCTCAAAAACTTGAAACAGAGGGTTTCTTCTCAAACTCTGTCAACCTAAGCTTATTACTTTATCAGGCAAAGTCATGTTTTGATCATTAGACCACTTATGGTTGAAACAGATTTTGGCCACATACTTAGTCAAGACACATGTTAGAAGAGCTTTCTCCTTCACCTCTAACCTGATCCTGATTCACAATGGAGGCAAACTTGTTTTAACCAATGAAAATGGAATGCTAGAACCTTTTTTCAGAATTTAAATTTGTTCAACCAAAAAATCTTTTTACAATGAATGTTTCTTTGTTCCGAGTCCTAAAGGCTGAATGTTACTTAGGAAAGAGAATAGAGGGTGCTCAAATTACATCTTTGATGATCCAAACATTAATACCTTTGAGGTTTTCGTTTTTTTTTTACATTAATACCTTTGAGGTTTTCGTTTTTTTTGCTCAGCCTTTATAAACATTTTTCTTCTCGTTAAAGTTCCACTTCAGGTTGATTATATAGAGTCTGTGCCATCCCAAATATTCCCTCTTACAAGAAGCTTTTGCATGCTCTGTACTTCTTCTGAGGACTGGAAATGCGTTGTAGTTGTCTCCCTAGACTAAAACCGTCTCAAAGAAAAAGAAAAACCAAAAGGCTTGAGGAGATCTTGTGATTAGTAAATATTAATACCCAGATTCCAGAGTCACAAGCCTACAAGGCCTTTTAATGAGTATTTTTAGCATCCCACATCGGAGAGCTGCGAGAGTTTGTTAGTGGAACCTTCAATATAAATATACTTCACTCTTCCTTAAGGTAAATAACGCAGTCATGTGGTGAAGACAAAGCGAACTATTCTTTCGCCTTTTACTAAAGAATACCGTGTCTTCTCCACGCTAAGTGGCATACGCCTATTTTTGGAGGGTTTCTACTTCTTAGTAGACCCAACATTTGACTAGTCTCAAGCTTATGTTGTTTCATCCGAAAGATATAGCTTGGTTTTAATCTATTTAGCCTCTTCTACGTGGACCAAACAATATTTAGCCTCTGAATCCTTGTGATGTACATTTATTAGATAAGAAGCTTGACGATCAAGGTAAAATAGTTTTTCATTGAACAAAGAGAGAAACACATACACCCAACTGATAACAATACAGAGACAGAACACAAACAATAAACAGAGTTACTGTTACTGAGAAATTGGGCAATGAGAGGCAGCCACTTATTTACTCTGAGCATTGATATTGTGACAGCTGAAGCAGAACCACTTTGAAATTTCTCAGTCAAGGACCTTCTGGGAAGCTGGCCTGCTGGTGATATCAGCCACCCACTCGTTGAGATGTGGACGCTCGGAGAAGAGCTTCTTGGAGGGAGTTTGGAGCAAGTATTGAATCATTGGAATGTGGTGAAGATCTGTCAACGTAAAAGTGTCACCAGCACAATACTTGAAGGCGTTGAGCCTACCCTCGTAGATGTCAAGAACCTTGGCTAACTTAGCCTCTTCTTCCGCAACAACGGCTTCGTCTGTGGTCAAGCCATACATGAGCTTGAACACTTGTTCCCAAGCAAGCTTTGAAGCCGGTGGGTCGAACTGGTGAGCTTCTACTTCCATTCCATTGGCCATGATTGCATAGTCTACAGTGTTCTTGGGGTCAGCTGGGAGAAGGTTGCTTCCTTCTTCTGCGTATCGGTGTGCTATGTACTGAGTAATCGCTCTTGATTCTGCACAAAACAACCAAACCCATGTTAGTGGTTGTGCCTTGTTTTACATATTATCAATTCAGATTTGAGACGATACATGAAAACGCTCATACCAAACATCTTGAGGTCTCCGTCTTCAAAGGCTGGAACTTTACCAAAAGGCTGAGCGAAGCATCAAATTAAACACAAAAACATTCAAGATTCACACTTTATGCATCAAAAGTGGTCATAGACTGATAGTGATAGATATACTTACGTTGCGTGAGAGGAAAGGCTCCTTCTTGTGCTCACCGTCTAAGATGTCAACATGAACAAGCTCAAAGTCTAGGTTTTTCTCGTAGAGGGCGAGGAGGACTTTCCTGGTGGATGTGGAAGCTGCGTGTCCGAAAACTTTGATGCCTGCCATTGATTTGGTTGCTAAGAGATGTTGTTTAGAGATGTAATGTATTTGAAGATGAAGGTGATGAATTAAGACACAAGTAGTGATTGTATTTATAGAGGTCAAGAAACAGAGCATTTTCCGCATTCTCGTTAATGTTTACTATTATTTAAGATATAAATAATGAATCTAGAAGACCGTCGCAACCAATATTGACTGGTCTACTTTGGAGGATTTTTCAAAGTGGAACTAGATTAGTTAACGTTTGAATGTATTTGTTTTTACAATAGGTGGTAACGAGAGATCTATAAACTATTTTATTTTGAAATTAGTTGAACATGACTTGTAAAATGCCTTTTAGTTTTGAATTGAAACTGACTCTTGTAGATTCTGCTCTTTTATTTTGTTGTGAAGAACTGATGGATTTCGGATTTCTCATATATTACATATATTTGCATGTCAACCATAATTTTACTACATCAAAAAAAAAAAAAAAAAAAAAAACCATAATTTTACTACATCGAGTGCTCCTTTTTTTTTTCTTTCCCATGCATTCCAATTTTTGTGGAACCATACCGAGTGTTTAAGGCGGTTCATATACAAACCAATTCCGTTTGTTGATTTGGTTTAGGATTTGTTTATGTCTCTCTCTTTTTGCCGTTGTTGAGTCAAGAAAAGATCCATGATTGATGATGAAAAACACATACTTGCTGCTCTAGCTTAATTGTTATTTTCAGACCCGACAAGAGCAAGAAGGCTTTAAGGATAAGAACGTCCAAAGTATTAAGTCAATTTCTCTAACTAGAAAATAAGGTTAAAAGTAATTTACACCCAATCAAAAGTCTTTCTATACTACATCGAGTGCTCTTTATTTTTCTTTCTCATGATTCCAATTTTTGTGAAACTCATACCAATCATACTACACGGAGTGTTTAAGGCGGTCAAGATACAAACCAATTCGGTTTACTGATTTGGTTTTAGGATTTGTTTCTCTCTCTCTCTCTCTCTCTCTCTCTCTCTCTCTCTCCGTCTTGTATCTTTGACGTTGCTGAGTCAAGAAATTAAAAGATCCGTTAATTGATGAAGAAAACACAAACTTGCTGCTCTAATCTTTTATAGTTACAGAAGTCTTTTAAGTGTTTTGTTTTGTCTGATTTGAAACGAATGACAATATCTTAATTGTCATTTTCAGACCAGACAAAGCAAGACTGCTTCTAAGGATAAGAACGGTTAAAGTCTTAAGTCAGCTTCTTTATCCGAAATTAAGGTCAAAAGTAAAATTTATCCGATCAAAAGTCTTTGTATACTAGTCTTACTAATCAGTAACTCCACATTTAAGACATTGCAATCTTTGTATTAATGAACTAACTAAGCTGTATTTATTAAAAAGGAAGCCTGAAGATCAAGGTAACTAGTTTTTCATTCAACAAAGGTCTCTCAAGAACAAAGACACAAACACACACACAATTGATAAGAGGAGAAACAAAAAAACAGAGTAGTGAGAAACTTGGCAATGAGAGGCAGCCACTTATTTACTCTATGCATTATTATTGTGACAACAGAACCATAACCATTTTTTTTGTTTGCTTTAAGAGAGAGCTCACTGAAGAACCTTCTGGGAAGCTGGCCTGCTGGTGATATCAGCCACCCACTCGTTGATACGTGGACGCTCGGAGAAGAGCTTCTTGGAGGGAGTTTGGAGCAAGTATTGAATCACTGGAATGTGGTGAAGATCGGTCAACGTAAAAGTGTCACCGGCACAATACTTGAAGGCGCTGAGCCTACCCTCGTAGATGTCAAGAACCTTGGCTAACTTAGCCTCTTCTTCCGCAACGACGGCTTCGTCTGTGGTCAAGCCATACATGAGCTTGAACACTTGTTCCCAAGCAAGCTTTGAAGCTGGTGGGTCGAACTGGTGAGCTTCTACTTCCATTCCATTGGTCATGGTTGCATAGGCGACAAAGTTCTTGGGGTCGGCTGGGAGAAGGTTGGTTCCTTGGTCTGCGTATCTATGAGCTATGTACTGAGTAATCGCTCTTGATTCTGTACAAAACAACCAAATTCATGTTAGCGGTTTTGTGAAACCAGATTTGAGATTTGAAGATGAGATGATGATGCATACCGAACATCTTGAGGTCTCCATCTTCAAAGGCTGGCACTTTACCAAAAGGCTGAAGGAAGCATCAAATCAAACACAAAAACATTCAAGATTCACACTTTATTGATAAAAAAAATGGTTGGTGTTATCTGAGAAACATATACTTACGTTGCGTGAGAGGAAAGGCTCCTTCTTGTGCTCACCGGCTAAGATGTCGACATGAACAAGCTCAAAGTCGAGGTTTTTCTCGTAGAGGGCGAGGAGGACTTTCCTGGTTGAAGTGGAAGCTGCATGTCCCAAAACTTTGATGCCTGCCATTGGATTTGGTTACTAAGAAGGTGTTTAGAGATGTGATGTGTTTGATGTTGATGTTGAAGGTGATGGAAATAAGACACAAGTAGTGGTGGTATTTATATAGGTCAAGAAAGAGAGCATTCTCTGCTTTCTCGTCAATGTTTAATATTATTTAGCAGCCTCTACAATACCGTCGCAACCAGTATTGACTAGTCTTCTTTGGAGGATTTTCAAAGTGGAATTGGATTGATTAACGTTTGAATATTTGTCTTTACATTGGCTATGAGATATAGTTTTTTAATAGAGCATTCAATGTCATCTGAGAAAAGATCAAACAAGTGCGTCGTAGTAACGGCCAAGACGACTGAAACTTCCACCTAGTAATAGTCAAGCTTCATCTAGTAACTTGATGACAGCCCCTTTGGTTATCACCGGTTTAATCGGTTTTTGGGTAATTTTGTGGTGCTCTCTAAATCAGTTTGCCTTCTCGGTTGAATGGGGTTAGTTTTGATGTGAAATGTGATCAATAACAACGATTACTTGTAGGAATCTTCAATCCGGGTTTTGGTTTGTATTTTCCTGTTTGAGAAATAGTGTAATCAATAAAAACCAAGTTGACTATAGATCGGTTTACGGTTTGCTTTGTAATTGGTTCATGGTTTCCGAATTCTGGTTTAAAAAGTATTACTTATCATGTGGAATTTGATATTGCAGCAAAAACAAAAACATTTCTTGGAGAAGATGGATACAAATATTTCGTTTGGCACCTTGCACAAAATGTGGGCCAACTGTGTTTAATTATCTTCCATGGTTGGTTTAAATCCAGCAATTTTGTAATTTCTTGCCTAACCTTTTTTTTAGTTTTGCAAAATCCTTTTAATTTTGTCATGAAACTGAGTCTTGTAGATTCCCCTCTTTTATTTTAGTTTGAAGTGGTAGAGAGATTTGCATGTCATTCATAATCGGTCAAGCCAATTCGGTTTAGGATTTGTTTCTGTCTCTGTCTCTCTCTTTCCGTCTTGTATCTTTGCCGTTGCTGAGTCGAGAAAAGATCCGTCATTGATGATGAAAAACACAAACTTGCTGCTCTAATATTTTCTGTACTTGTAGAGGTGAATTGTTATTTACAGAAGTCTTTCAAGTGTTTTGTTTTGTCTAATTTGAAACGAAAGGCAATATCTTAATTGTCACTTTCAGACCCGACCTAAGATTAAGTCAACTTCTTTAACCAGAAAATAAGGCCAAACGTCTTTGTATACTAGTCTTACTAACCAGAAACTCCACAGTTAAGACATTGCAATCTTTGTATTAATTAACTAACTAAGCTGTAATTATAAAAAAAAGAAGCTTGACGATCAAGGTAAATAGTTTTTCATTCAACAAAGGTCTCTCAAGAACAGAGAAACACACACACACAAACACACAAACATAACTGAGAACAATATAGAGAGACACAACAGAAACAAAAGACAGAGTAATGAGAAACAATGAGGCAGCCACTTATTTACTCTGAGCATTATTATTGTGACAGCAGAAACAGAACCATTTTTTGTTTTTTTTTGCTTGAAGAGATATCTCACTGAAGGACCTTGAGGGAAGCTGGCCTGCTGGTGATATCAGTCACCCACGCGTTGAGATGTGGACGCTCGGTGAAGAGCTTCTTGGAGGGAGTTTGGAGCAAGTATTGAATCACTGGAATGTGGTGAAGATCTGTCAACGTAAAAGTGTCACCGGCACAGTACTTGAAGGCGCCGAGCCTACCCTCGTAGATGTCAAGAACCTTGGCTAACTTAGCCTCTTCTTCTGCGACAACGGCGTCGTCTGTGGTCAAGCCATACATGAGCTTGAATACATGTTCATAAGCAAGCTTTGTAGCCGGTGGGTCGAAATGGTGAGCTTCTACTTCCATTCCATTGGCCATGGTTGCATAGTCGGCAGTGTTCTTGGGGTCGGCTGGGAGAAGGTTGGTTCCTTCTTCTGCGTATCGTGAGCTATGTACTGAGTAATCGCTCTTGATTCTGCACAAAACAACCAAATTCATGTTAGTGGTTGTGCCTTGTTTTACATATTAACATGAGATGATGCATGAAAACGTTCATACCAAACATCTTGAGGTCTCCATCTTCAAAGGCTGGAACTTTACCAAAAGGCTGAAGGAAGCATCAAATTAAACACAAAAACATTCAAGATTCACACTTTATTCATCAAAATGGTCATAGACTGATAGTGATAGATATACTTACGTTGCGTGAGAGGAAAGGCTCCTTCTTGTGCTCACCGCTAAGATGTCGACATGAACAAGCTCAAAGTCTAGGTTTTTCTCGTAGAGGGCGAGGAGGACTTTCCTGGTGGATGTGGAAGCTGCGTGTCCGAAAACTTTGATGCCTGCCATTGGATTTGGTTGCTAAGAATGTTGTTTAGAGATGTAATGTGTTTGATGTTGAAGATGAAGGTGATGAAATAAGACACAAGTAGTGATGGTATTTATAAGAAACAGAGCATTCTTATCTCATTAATGTCTTAGTATTAATTTAAGAGATAAATAATGAATCTACAAGACCGTCGCAACCAATATTGACTAGTCTTCTTTGGAGGCTTGTTTCAAATGGATTGTTTAACGTCTGAATGTATTTGTTTTTACATCGGTTATGAGAAAAAGTTTATAATAAAGCATTCAATGTCGTCTGAGAAAAGATCAAACAAGTGCGTTGTAGTAACGGCCAAATGACTCAAACTTCCACCTAATAATAGTCAAGCTTCATCTAGTAGCTTGATGACACCCTTTGCTTATTACCGGTTTAGTCTTGTTTGTGATGCTCTAAATCAGCTTGCCTTCTCGGTTAAATGGGTTTCTCTTCATGTAAAATATGATTATAGCAACGATTTTACCTTTGAGAAATAGTGTAACCAATATACAACCAAATGACATATACTAGTAGTATTGGTTAAATCAATACTCTCTTGACCCAAAAAGAAAAATGGTTACTGGTAGTATTGATTTGAATCCCCGGTTGGGTTTAAAAATGCCTTTTAATTTGGAATTCAAACTTTGGTGACGGAAAGCAAATGTAAAAAAAATGATAATCAAAGATGTTAAGAAGATGGAAATTTCAAAGGATGATTTGGAAAATAATATTCCTCTATTTTTTTTTGACAATTTGTAGGAAGATACAAAAAGCAAGAAAATTAAACAATTTGTAGCAGCCTATCAAATTCCCTTAAGCTGTGCCAAAAGACCTGTCAAAGTCGTCCATTTCTCAAATGCACTAGCCGATGACACAAAAGCAAGCTTCGATGACTCTATATCGTTCTTGTTCACTGCCAAAAATAAGGAATCAAAACCAAGTTTCAAAGAAGATCTTTATTATATTTTGTAAATGAATAATCTGATTCTTTTTAATGGAGAAGTTAAGAAGAAGAAGAACACACCTGATGTGATAAGAGAAGCTAAAGATGAATTAAATGCTTCCACCTCTGTATTCTCTTCTGGACTTGCACTCAACTGTCATAACAACACAAATCAAGAGCTTCAACATAAAGTCACAAAACAACTGAACAAAGTCTACCTTATACAAAGAGAGAGAGAGAAATGATTATAACCAGTTGATTTGACCTTTGTAAAAGGTTAAAAAGGAGTAAGAAAGACCTTTGTGAAAGCCGAATTAACGGTTTTGACCCATTCGGAATCAGTGCCTTTCCCTAAAACCAAACCGGCAGCTGGAAGGTCATTCTTCTCAATGGCTTGTCCTACTTTGCTTAACTTGTACACAAGATCCTGCAAATACCCTGCAAACACACTCCATGCTTTTAGGTTTAAGAACTAGAAATACCATGACAAAAAGAAAATCAAAACACATTTGCTCCAAAAATGTTGAAACTTTTCCATCTACTTGTTCTGATTACTTCATGTTGCGTTGGAGGAAGCCAAAACTATGCAGGCCATAACACAAAGAGAAATACACATTTGTCCCCTAAAGAGTACAACTTTCCCATCAATTTGTTCTGATTACTTCATGTAGCGTTGGATGAAGATAAATGGAACCAAAATCAGCTAAGGTTTAATGCAAATGGCATTGGAACAAGCTACTTAACTATGAAGACCATACCACAAAGAAAAAAACACATTTGCTCTTAAAAGAGTAAAACTTTTCCATCAAATTGTTTTGATTACTCCATGTAGCATGAACAAAGATAAAGGAAACAAAATCAGATTAAGTTTGAATGCAAACGGCATTGGAAGCACACACAGATGAAAAGATTGATTATTTCAATCTGGGGGGAAATTGAAGATGTACCCTTTTCCTTGACAGCAGAATTAATAACAGCTTGTCTCTCAATCCTCTTCTTCCGATCTTGCTTCACCTTCTCCAGAAGCTCTTCATCGTCATCAGCTTCAAGAATCGCTGCATTCGCGTCGCGGCTTCTCCTGTCACTACCCACGAGACCGATCGCAAGAAAGCTGCTCATAAACCCAAGAGACAATTCTCGTCTGTTCCATGACAGAGACGGTGTCTGGTTCTTGTTGTTGTTTCCTGAGTACACAATTAGGCTCTTCTTCGAAGAAGTAGATGGAGAGAGAGTGGAGGACAAGAACGGGTTTAAGGTTGAAGAACAAAGGAGTGATTTCGCCATTTTTTCTTCCTGTCTTCGAAACTTCTTCTACTTGGCATTTTCGGAGGATTGTGTTTATGGTTTAGGTGATGATGATTGTTGATAAGGTCTCTCTCTAGACTTGTTGCGTTGTTTTGTTTTCCTCCAATCACTCACTCTCTCTCACTATTTTTTTTTTCCTTTTTCTCTTTAGGATTTTAAATTTACCTTCAAAATATATAAATTGTGTGTGAGAATGTATAAATAGTTAAATACTAGAGAAATTTGGAAAAATTAAATTTGAAAAGTACACCATTAAAACTATTTTTTCAACATAGTTCAGTTTGATTTTCATTAACAAGTAACAATTACAAATCTTGAAGATCCTAAAGGCTCTAAATTACCCAAAAAGAAGGAGAAGAAGATACCTTTAGGCCATAGAAGCAAATCCACAATTTACTGTTTACTTCCACCACCAAAACTGTCGAAACAAGAACAGCTTCCTCATCCTCCTATTATACGCCATGAAAGCTCTAGCTTTGACTGGATCACCATTCAGATACTCAAACGCATACATCTGTTTCGCTTCTTCCAACCCATCAATCTCCATCACAGCTTCCAACAGTTCCTCTGTATTGATCAAAGTCTTGCTCTGGTCCACCGCATCAGCTAAGCGACGAATGCTTGAAGCAATCTCCAGCATCGCTTCTTGGAACGGATCCGAGCTTCGAGGTCGCTTAATAGGTGGTTGCCTCAGAGGGTTTGTAGGAGGAGGAGGAGGAGACTCTTCATGCAGATACTCATCTGGTCCAGTGTAGGACTCTGTTCCATCTGTATCGCTATGATCTTCTGAGCTTGGTAAAGGGAATGAAAAAGAGTCGTTTAGATGATGATCGCTTTCAGTCTTCACCTTGTTAAACCGAGCTGGAGCTTGTTTATTATCACCGCATACTATTCTAAGTTCCTCGTACATCTCAATTTGCTTTCCCTTGAATGCTTTTGCATCTGGGTGTACCTGTTGTTCCAACCATTTGTTAAAAGTTATAGATTGGTGTACAAAGAAAGATGGCTTTTAGTAAAATGCTAAGTACTACTTACAGCAATATATCTTTTCCAGAGCTCGTCACTGTCACAGTCGATCGTTTTCGTGGTTGAGTTCCACCAGAAACCATCTCGACTAAGTATGTCTTTCATTACTTTGTACCTTTTCTTGATCGTCTTGAGACGATTGATGACTTTCTGGTTATTCAAGTTTCGATTGAAGCGAGCATTGACCGCAACGCAAGCGGCAGTGTAGGCCTGCTCGTTGAAGCATTTGTCTATCTTGTTCCCGTTCTTCGCCTGGACAGCCAAAGCTTCGATCAGACACTTATCCATTCCAACGGACCACACAACGTTTCTCCCTTTATGCTTCATCTCTCTTCTCTGTACTGGAAACCCATATTGATCCATTCCTGCACAAAATCATGGAATACAGAGCACAATATGTCAATTCATCACAAGCGAAAAGCCATTGGAAAATTGTTAATGACCAATCAACCAAACTACAGTGATACCATTTTATCATGAATGAAGAAACTTGGTTGTTCGCAAACACAAAGAAGGATGCTTAAAACTAGTTTCCAATTTTGATAGACGATGAATCTATCTAATCATGCAGCATACATAAACTTCTACTCAAAAACCAGGCACTAAACTCATTCATATACAGTGGGGTTCTTTATGATCTATAGCAGTAACAATGCATAATTCTATAGCATTCATATATAGTCTTTATCAATTATCATTCTTCACTGATAATATTCTCCTCCAAATGCATGAGCAATCATCTACATAGTACTGACACTGAAGTAGCCTTAAACGAGAATCTCTGTTAAATGTTGGTGAGCTCAGCTAAACTCGTGAATCGAAGCATGTTTAAGTTAGTCAAATTTGCCAATCTAGATTCATCAGATTGCTGGAGAGAGAAATTTGAGAGCAAGACTGAAACATATTCACCTACTTCAAGCTACTTACTGCAGAAATCAGAAAGCGTAGAGGTTGAAGAAGGCTCCATTTCAATGTAATTTAAGCTAAATATTCGAAGCAGACGAAGAAGAGCTCAAACGAAGCAAATGAGAATAAACACAGCGACAGTTCGATGATCACAACGGAAATTAGATGTGCATACCTTGGAAGAAACGAATTCAGATTGATTGTGGTTGAGCTGAGTCAGATCGCCGATGAACGGAGGAGTCAAAAGTGGCGTATGAGCAAGCGCGACATTTTGGAGAAGGAGAAGTTTGATTAGGGTTTGTTTTTCCCCATTTCTTATATTCTTTTGAAAAGAAAAGGGAATAAGTGAATTTTCTCGAACCCACACCTGAGTATTTGTTTTCTCGAAACCCAAAGTCGTCGAGGAAAATTTCCCCATTAGCGTTTTGATAATACGATGCGTTTTGAAAACCTGTGAAATGGACCCAGAATCGTTTGTTTATAGTCTGATATTTTCTTGCCTTTTCCCGGAAAATTTCTCTGCACTTATCTCAGTTTTTTGAGTTTTTAATTTCTTTTTCCATCTCGGTCTTTCACTTATTAACATTAGCCACGTGGCGTCGTGCACAGAAAATACCCGAAACTTCTTTTGCTGCTACACTAGATACTTAATGGGCCGTGTTTGATGTAACTTATGGGCCGAGAGTTTTCAACGAGTCTGACACGATTCTTATCAAAACGCAAACCCTAGCTTCTTGACTTCCTCCATCGTCATATATATTGCCTCCTGCAACAACCTTTTACTCTTATCGATTTCAATTCACCAAAGATTCCGCGAACTAACTACTGTTCTTCTCGTTCTTGTTGCGATCTTTCTTTTTAGTGTTACTCTTAGGTTGATTCCGTTTTTTCTTTCTTGGGAAATTTGTGTATTTTTCTCTTCGATTTTGGCGTAATTAGTGTCTTATAGTGAAGGCAGTGATGATGAAAATCTACCTATTTTCTGAGGAACATTAGTTCACTCTGATTAGAAAATTTACCAATGGATCCTTCTGAGTCTTCACTTCAATTTTTTTGTTTTGTTAATGTGTGATCGATTTAGTTTCTCCCGAAATTTTGTCTTCGATTTTAGCGTAATTATGGTTTACAGTTAGGGCAGTGATGATGAAAATCTACCTATTTTCTGAGGAACTTTGGTTCTCTGTGATTAGAAATTTTACCAATGGATCCTTCGGAGCCTTAGCTTCAACTTGCTTTTGTTTTTGTCGGTTTATTTATTAGTTTGATGAGAGAAGGGCCAATGAAATGATGATTACACTTATCGGAAATATTAATTTATTCTGTCGACCAAAACTCAGACTACAATTATCTGATCATATGGCTCTCATCATCTTTTTTTTACCTCATCTTTCTTCCTAATTGATTGTTTTTTTGCCCAAAGTGATTTTTTTGGTGTTTATTTTGAACTTTCAAAATTGGTAACATACTTGTGGATTAAGAAACTCTTCTAGAACTGAAGACTTTTTAACGGAAATTGAACTTTGGGCTATGATCATAATTATCAACGAATATATATGAAATTAATATTACGCTTGCTGATTTTGATGAGAATAAGCCAATGACATGATGATCACACCTATCGGAAATATTAATTTATTCTGTCGACCAAAACTCAGACTACAATTATCTGATCATATGGCTCTCATAAACCATTTTCGTATTTGATTTGCCTAGTGTATCAAGACACTTGCATAAGTGAAACTTGTAATCACAGTCTCTGTCATTCGTAATTGCAAAAGGAACACAATAATGAAAGAATAATAAAATTTGCGTTTTGCAATTATGTCCGTCGGTTTGCTAAGGATTCTTGGGACTTTGTACCGACTTTAAACTGGATTTTCTCAAATCGTTCCAAAACCAATACTCAATTGTTTCAATACCAAATCCACCAGTCTTGCAATCTCTTTCAAAAATGGCTTTATTTATTATAACCTCTGCACCAACAATTTTGCATATTAATGATCAGACATTGAAACTCACTTGCTAAAGCTGTTGTTGCTGATCCAAAGTTCTCCTCAAAGGAATCACATTTTACTTTGAAATGTCAATATGTTTTTACTCGTCCAAATTCTCAAACAGATAATCTGAATCTGCATAGTCGTAAAGTTCATAATGTCAGAAAAGAGAGTACCTTGAATTTTGGGATAATAATAAAATATATCTCACAATCTTCGGAAAAATTGTATACACAAATTTCCAATTACTGAAGCATCTTAACCATATACAACAGGTTCAGTAACAAGTCCACTTCTCGAGTTAGACGAATAAGTTGGTAACAAGATTCGATATTCGAAAGGCTTTACGCCAATTGAGTCTGTAAAATTGATTTTGTCCATCATTTATTCTTTTAGTTTCTTCTAAACTCTTATGAATCTTCTGTAAGTTAAAAATGAAAATCTGCGTCTGATGACAGCAAAATGCTAATTGGAAAGAACCAAAGTCTTAATATGTTTTAACGCCATCTTTTGTTTTGGTTCCAATAAGGGTGAGATGAAGAATCAGGTTTCCTCGAATGTTGCTGTTGCTGTTGTCCCCTCATGTTCGGATGGTTTCTACTTGGGCTATGATCAGGACTCCATGATTCAAACCCTGGATTGCCATTCACGTACTGGTTACTCCCTTGGTAAGAAGAAGCTTGTGAAGCCGATGCAACCTCGTTTGCTTGATGTGAGTAGTAACTGTTCTGATTCTGCTGAGACCTCCATGAACCAGAAGTAGCTGTGACCATTTGTCCTACCGGTTCCCTAACCGCATACGAGGTTGCTGGGATTGGCTGTTGCTGCTGAAGATGTTGATTGTAATGAAGTTTTGGTTGCATAGGTTGTTGTTGTTGTGACAATGCGAGTGAGTTATAAGCTGATGGAGCATGTCGAGGGGTTTCGTTTGTTGATTGCCATTGCACTGAAGCAACAGGAAGCTGTGTACTCGATCTAGCAACTTGGTTCTGCCTTGAAAATGGATTCCGAGCTGCTTCTTGTCCCCACACACTCTGCAAAAAATGGAAAAACAAACTTACTTCAGTAACGGAATAAGATATTAGTGAACATCAACATTTGTAATGGCGTTAATCTGCTCAAGCGGCTCATATTCCGGTTTTGTGATAGCAAGAGCATGTTGCAGTTCTATGGCTTTTTGTGTCATTTTTTTCCGATAACTAATTGCCATGTCATGTGATTCAATTTGGCTGGATGATAAGGTTCCAGGTATGTGAGGAATTTGGGGTGCATAGGTTTTAGAGTGACGCACCATTACAGGATTGGTTGGAGTGGGAGATGGAAGAGTATCTTCGACCCTTTCTTCAACCTTGTTATTTGAGCTACTGCTAGAGTTTTGTTCACCAGTCTTAATCACATCAAGCAGTTTTACCATATCCTGGCCGGCTAAATTACCCGGCTTGCCAGATGTCAGTGCATAAACAAGACCCGGGTTATTAAGTAATGCGGCTAATAACTCGAAATCAGGCTCTGAGGAACTTGTTTGGGATGAGGTCGAGGCAGCACCAGCTGTAGTTCGCCGTTCATCAAGTGAATCTTGTGGTTCTGTTATGACTTCTTCTGGTGGCTGTTCAGACGAAATCTCAGGAGTCAAACTGTCATCATAGTCCATTTCCCTGTCCCATGGTTCCTTAGGGTTCAGCGGTATTGTTTGAAGAGACTGATATGTTGTTTCCCTCTCTCGCCGATTTCTGTTTCTCTGAGCATCAGCTTCCTTGCTATTACCACCGGCAGCTACTCTCCAGGCCTCGTCAAGTTCCATTCCTGCAGAAAACTAGGCATTAGAATGACACCTGAATAGCCACCAAAATATGATGAAACATCCAAGAAACTTAAGTTTTAGCTAGGTTAATGAGATGGAAGCCGAAGAAATTGTATTACCTGGTGGTACATTCCAATCAATCTGTGTTCTCTTGCAATTCTTTAGGATACTTTGTGGACTCATTTTCAACAAAACTCCCACCTTAGTAGAAATACTTTTAGGAGGTGTCGCAGGTTTAGGAGGTGTCACAGGTTTAGGAGGTGTCACAGGTTTAGGAGGTGTCACAGGTTTTCTATTTTCATCAGCTTGTACAGGGACATTTACAGCCGGAGAAATGACAGGCTGAACAGAAGAAGGTTCAGGTGTGTCTTCAGTCTTAGCTTCATCATTTCTCTGTGTAGGTGGAGAATCCTTGGCTGACTGAAGAGCCAAGGGATTCTCAGGAATAATGGTTCTCGAATCACCAATTGCACTTGGTAAAGGATCCTTTTTACTATTCTTGCTCTGCATATAAAGAGCACGCATCTTCGCTTTCTGAATATCATCAGCAGACATAGGGCGGCTTCCACTTGAAGTTCCTATTCTTACTGTCTGAGGACTTTTTCCAGCAGCTTTTTGGCCTGGTTGCTCCACCATTTGAATTTTCCTGCGTTCTTTGTTATCTACTGCACGTTAAGGAAACTGACTTTGAGCTAAAGAGGACCATGTCATGAAGCTTGACATAGCATGTTCACATGTATAACACCGATTCAATAACACAAGTAGCCTATGAGTTCATTATGCTAACTTTTCCAACGCGTTGAGAAAAAAATATGAACCAATTAGCGGTTCAATAAAATAGCTCAAACACAAGGATACATGACGGAGTTGAGCCAAGCATGTGTTTCTTGGTCGACTCATCTGCCGAAGAAAGCAAAAGTTTTGGACCCTGTGACGATCTTAACCTCCTGGACCAAAAGACAACCAATAATAATTATGTAAAGCATCTCCTGATGTCAGCCATATTGCAAAAGGGAACATATTCTAGAATTTAGATGTAAGATAACAATTACACTGATACCTGACATTCTCTGACCTTCCGTTTGAGAGACTGAGTATATCTTCCTGTTACAGCAAGAAAAAAAGGTCTCAAGAAATTGCTGTGGTGCACATAATAGATACAGATTCATATTGTAGCCCACTTACAGGATTTGTACTATCACCCATGATTTCAGCAATACTGCATAACAAGACAAAAATTCTATGAGAAATGTTACCAAACAACAAAATGGGAGGTAAATAAAACGTATCTAGCCAGCAGATAAGCCACAACTTGCCTTTGTTTCAGAAGCAGTTGACTCTGCGAATCAATTTGTGAACTGTTACGGTTTTGCTTCTTCATAGCTTGAATTTTTGCAAATAACTTGGTCCATCTTGATAACAAACCTTTTGCCCTGTTTGATATGTCTGATCTTCAAATCAGATAATTAAACCGAAGAAATCACAACATGAACTTTGACATAAACGAAAGCTACAAAGCATTTAAATTTTTGAGAAATTACACCTGATTTCCTATAGAAACGAAGTCCATTGACGCTTTGCAATATGGCTGACATATTTTCAGGAGATGCTTTGTGGAGAGGTAAATGACAAAGAACCTGCGTTCTAAATATCAGTTATCCATAATAAAAAACACTCGAAAGGTTTTTTAGAGCAATTCCATAAGCAAGTAAATCAATCTTGAACCTTCAATATAAGAAGTAAGACACTTGTTTGCTCTTCACCAGCAGCTTGACTCAACCATGTTGTAAGAATCAACACCCCTCCTTTCGATAAAAACCTTGCACATAGAAAAAATGACAATCAAGACGGGATTACAAATTTAATGAAATGAAAGAAGACACTGCCCAAAAAAGAACCACCAATTAGTACCAGATGAGCACAGAAGGATCTTGTATCTGCATGATCCACTCCAATAATTTCACCTGGCCTAAAAATGTTTCTGCTTTATGCAAGCGAGAAAATATATTCTCAACAAAGTATTTGTCTGAATCACTGATGCCAGGTGGAATATCCTCCTGTGGCATAAGTGCCACTGTTTCACCCTCAGCCCAACTTATAGATGATCCTTCTGGAACAATAGAGTTCAGGGGAACGGGAGCACCATTGGTATTTTCCGGAGCACCTTCACCTTGTAAAGCAAGTGAACTGGACATGACTACCTTCTCCCTTGCAGTTGCAAGCTTCACCTGTTTCTTTACTCTTGCCCTTTGAGTAAAAAAAAAGTCTCGAACCTGCCATTGAATATATAATGAGGATCACCACATGACAGATTTAAACAGACATAGGATCGAAAAAGCATTGCCAAATAGAGCACTTATCAAGAAGAAGAACAATACCTGGGCGACTGTGATGCCAAGTAGAGCGCTTAACTCTCGACATTCCTTCTTACTAATAGCATCTTTAACTGCGAAAACTGCTTGCAGATGCTTAACAGCCTTTGGATTCAGCAAGTCTCTTGGCCGCTTTCCTGGAATATTTACAAATTCATAAGATATAAGGCATCAAACAAGCAAGCAACACTCAGTTGGGTGTACTCGTTTTAAGGAACATATAGAGCAACAATTAACTGAAACACTATATGTTCTATACGTTTAAGACAAGGAAGAGAAACTAAATAAGTCTCACATGTACATAGCCAGTTATACGCAACAAAAAGTGCCAAAAGATCACAAAAGTTTTAACAAGACTCACCAATTTTAATGGACAAAGCACCAGCAGCCTGCAAAATTGAAAGCAAAACAGATCAATATCTATAACATAGAACTGATTACTTGAAAGCAGAAGTGACACAAGAGTCAAATATCCTTCACATATAAACAATTTAAACCATCACGTTTACATATGAGCCCAACAATCAAATTATGATGCAAAGCTAGATTTCGCCAGAATTAAGCAGTTCAAAGCAGAAACATAGAGGTCGAGCTATAGATTTCGCTAGACGCAGTACCCTTTAGAGAAGGTTAAACAAAAATCCGAAGTGACTTAACCTTCTCAGCAATGCCCATATCATCACAAGTCCAAAACTACCATTTCCCAAACATAAAAACACGAACTTTCGATTGCCAAAACACATTAAAACGACGATACCATCACTCACCATTTCTTGCGCGAGGGGGTTAACGCCTGTGAGTTTGCATTGCGTAACGACGACATCTTGGAGCTGATCGATCTGGCTGTGGAAAAGCTTCTTCTGCGATTCCAGCAGCTCCATTAACGACTCCACAGAGCTCCCCATTTCTATCTCCTCCTTGAACGCGTCGTCCATGGCCGCCGACGGAAAACTCGAAGACCAATACGTAACCGTAATTCAAAATGTGCATCAGGGAATCCCTCTGAGCAGAGAATCACTGATTAGAACGTGAAGTAACGGCTGAGACGAGAAATCCAATGAACATAGTACCTAATTTCGGGTGTGGGGAAGTCGAATCGGGTTAGGGTTTGGGTTCCTCGGGAAGCTTAAACGAATCAAGACTGCAAATTAAGGGGCATAAATGTAAATAACGGTAGACGAGGGGAAAACGAAAAATCAAAACGCGACGTTTCAATATAGATCTGCAAGTAAGTAAAGTGTAACATTAAATAAAAGGTAAGAAATTAAATAAACAAAAAACAAGGAATATCAATAATTAAAATCTACGACCTGAATAAATAATAGAGAAGGAGTTTGTGTTTCCTGAGAGATATCTTTTTTCGTTCACCGCCTTCTTCTCAAAGGTCTCGACCTCTTCCTCTCCCTTTTCTGCTTTTTCTCTGAACGATTTTCCTGGGTTTTGATTTTCCATCGCATAGCTCTCGATCGCAATAGCTTTCCCGATTCTTTTGAAATCGGTAATCGGTCATCGTCAAGGTGTTTTGGGTCCATTTCGAACGATTTTGTCTGATTAGGGTTTAAGATCTCGCGCTATCACTGCTTGTTCCGATTTCACGCTTGTTTTCGTTCCACTTGACTATAGATTTTTGAATCTCTTCGTTGTTTTCTCTTCTATCTACCTGATTGTGTTGGGGATCGGGATGGTTAGGGTTACATCGGTCTATCTTGATTGGAACAGTATCATTTCGTGACTATCTCATGGATTGTTGTTTCTGGAGCCTCTATTGATGAATACACTCCGTTTTTCCAATTTTTATCGCAATCTGATGGTTTTTGTTTTTTTTTCCTGTGTGGTAAAACCAGTTTCGAATTCGATAATGTTGGTGTAAATGTGTTGTTACAACCTCTGAATCGTTGTTTCCTCTCTTGTCAATCGTTTTTATTCCTATTTTTGTTTCTCTTATCCTAAATTTCGGTCTTTTCCTTGTTCTCTTGTGCTAAGCTTAGGTTCAGGAGAGCTTTGAAAGTTATTTCTCAACATGGAGCGGAAGACGATTGACTTGGACCAAGGATGGGACTATATGCAAACTGGTATCACCAAGCTTAAACGGATTCTGGAAGGACTGCCTGAGCCAGCATTTGACTCTGAGCAATACATGATGCTTTATACGTAGGTTCTCCAACTTGTTTGTTACCTTATAACAGCTTGCGTGTTTATAAATGGTATTTACCGTTGGGGTTTTGTGCGATTGTCAGGACTATCTACAACATGTGTACCCAGAAACCTCCTCATGATTACTCTCAGCAGCTCTATGACAAGTATCGTGAAGCATTTGAGAACTATATTGCGTCAACAGTGAGTCTAAACCTTTACCCTTGATTCTTTTGTTGATGAAACCGAATACTCATTTGCTCTCGTATTTTCTGTGTTTAGGTTCTGCCTGCTCTGAGGGAGAAGCATGATGAGTATATGCTGCGGGAGCTGGTTAAAAGATGGTCGAACCATAAAGTTATGGTTAGATGGCTATCCCGCTTCTTCTACTATCTGGACCGCTACTTTATCGCTCGGAGGTCACTTCCACCACTGAATGAAGTTGGCCTGACATGCTTCCGTGACCTGGTTTGGCATTCGTTCTTGCGGCTTTTGGCTTTCCGTTGCGAAAAAAAATGACTTAACCCTTCCTTGATTTTGTCACTTCAGGTCTATAATGAGCTGCATACTAAGGTCAAAGAAGCTGTAATAGCACTTGTAAGTATGGCATCTGTAATGTGCATTTACCTCCAGCTCTTGTTTTTGCCTGATTCAAGGTCTAACATGACCTGTTTTTTTATGTCAGGTTGACAAAGAACGGGAGGGCGAGCAGATTGATAGGGCGCTACTGAAAAACGTATTAGACATTTATGTAGAGATCGGAATGGGACAGATGGAAAGATACGAAGAAGATTTTGAAAACTTCATGCTTCAAGATACATCATCTTACTATTCCCGCAAGGCATCAAGCTGGATCCAGGAAGACTCTTGCCCAGATTACATGCTTAAGGTATGCCCCGTGATATCATGTTTTATATTGTCTTTTCACTCGATGTTAGTTAGATGTATTTGTTAACTTCTGTACTTTCATGTTGCAGTCTGAAGAGTGTCTAAAGAAGGAGAGGGAGAGAGTTGCTCACTACCTTCACTCAAGCAGTGAGCCAAAGCTGGTTGAGGTTGGTGATGATACATTATGTCATTATGCATTTTACTTGCACGAACCATGATGTAGCATCTTTTTTTGCGTGGTGACATACTTTTTCAGACTTCATTTTTGCATGACAAGTTTAACTGTGTTATCCGAGCATATTTTATTCTAAAGATTGATATCTATCTGACTTCTATATTTATTTTTGGGATCCAGAAAGTACAACATGAGTTGTTGGTAGTTTACGCAAATCAGCTTCTAGAAAAAGAGCACTCAGGGTGCCGTGCATTGCTTAGAGATGACAAGGTGGAGCAGTTTTTTCTTTGTTATTATTGATAATTAGTTAGTCTCTTTATTTCTGTCTTTGATGAAGTATTTGTATTGTTTCAGGTGGATGATCTCTCCCGGATGTACAGGCTTTATCACAAGATTTCCCGAGGTTTGGAACCTGTTGCAAACATATTTAAGCAGGTTTGATGCCAATCCTTAGTATTTTGTCAATGGTTTGCGAAGGGATAGTCTTTCCTTCCTTGTCTTCTTTCACCCTCTTAATTACTGTAACTTTTAATTGTTATACAGCATGTCACAGCAGAGGGTAACGCACTTGTTCAACAGGCTGAAGACACAGCAACTAATCAGGTTCATATTGTTTTACTTTTTTAATTCAGTAAACTTTATGCCTTGTCTGCTTCACGTATGATTGCTAAGAGATTTTTTATTTTACAGGCTGCAAATACTGCTAGTGTACAGGAACAGGTAAAAATCCTGTTTAACTGATTCTACTAGTGAAGTTGTTCGGGAGTTTAGCAACTCACTTATTCTCTCGTTGCTTTCAGGTTCTTATCAGAAAAGTGATTGAACTACATGATAAATACATGGTCTACGTCACTGAGTGTTTCCAGAACCACACCCTCTTCCACAAGGTTTGTTGTGCTTTCTGCGTTCTTGTCATGCGTCTATTTTATTCGTGTATATATTTGTTTTCTTAACCTAAGTTTCTTGAAACCTATTGTAGGCTTTGAAAGAGGCATTTGAGATTTTCTGTAACAAAACAGTAGCTGGAAGTTCAAGTGCTGAATTACTTGCAACATTTTGCGACAACATACTCAAGAAGGGGGGTAGTGAGAAGCTAAGTGATGAAGCAATTGAAGATACTCTTGAGAAGGTACGCCTTTTCGTGAAACTGCTTGCTTTGTTCATTTTTCAGTTTCTTCTGAAGTCGGTGTTAAATTTTATTTATGTTGTTACAGGTTGTCAAATTGCTTGCTTACATCAGCGACAAGGATCTGTTTGCAGAGTTTTACAGGTTTATCTCTCAATCTAATCTTTCTATAATCTATATCCGCAGATCCATCTTTGCTTCTTATATTTTTTTTGTTTATTTTACATTTTGTTAAGATTCCTTCCATTAATATAGTACTAGAATGACAAGTTGCAAACTGCTTTGCTTTATGGTTGTTTTGCAGGAAGAAGTTGGCCCGTAGGCTTTTATTTGACCGCAGTGCTAACGATGATCATGAGAGAAGTATCCTTACAAAGCTCAAGCAACAATGTGGTGGGCAGTTTACTTCAAAGATGGAGGGCATGGTTAGTTAGATTGTCCCTATGTTTATTATCTCAAAGAGGTGGTCTCTCTGATGATTAAAGCTCACTATATTTAATCTGATGGTTACAGGTGACAGATTTGACACTGGCAAGAGAAAACCAAAACAGCTTCGAGGAGTATCTAGTCAATAACCCAGCTGCAAACCCAGGGATCGATTTGACCGTCACTGTTCTTACCACTGGGTTCTGGCCAAGTTACAAATCATTCGACATAAATCTACCGAGTGAAATGGTAGGTCTATTGAATTTGTAGAATACATATAGTGAAAAAGGTCTGCTCCAGGTAATTATAATCCATAGATTCTTCGTTTCAGGTCAAGTGTGTTGAAGTTTTCAAAGGGTTCTACGAGACCAAAACGAAACATAGGAAGCTTACCTGGATCTATTCACTAGGAACTTGTCACATCAACGGAAAGTTTGATCAAAAGCCCATTGAACTAATTGTGTCTACTTACCAGGTATCGTTTGTTTTCTCTGAAACTGTTGGTCAATAATTTTGATCTTTGAAACGGCCTTTAATGCCATGTTTTCTATCATTATCTTGTTTTCAGGCTGCTGTGCTTCTTCTCTTCAACACGACAGACAAACTAACGTACTCTGAGATCCTGGGTCAACTGAACCTAAGCCATGAAGATCTAGTCAGGTTGCTTCACTCCTTGTCATGTGCTAAGTACAAGATTCTTCTCAAGGAGCCGCTCACAAAGACTGTGTCCCAGGCTGATTCTTTCGAGTTCAACTCCAAATTCACCGACAGAATGCGCAGAATAAAGGTCCGTGACATATTATGTATCTCGCTGCAATTCATGCAAGTGTTGTAAATATCCTGTATTAAGTATTAACCTTTGTGGTTTGCATCGCAGATCCCTCTCCCTCCAGTCGATGAAAGGAAGAAAGTTGTGGAAGATGTCGATAAAGACAGGCGCTATGCGATTGATGCTGCCATTGTCAGGATCATGAAGAGCAGGAAAGTATTGGGACATCAACAGCTTGTCTCTGAGTGCGTTGAGCAACTTAGCCGAATGTTCAAGGTAAGTTATACATACACACACTTGAAGATGCGTATAGTGATTGCTGTTTCTGTGTCTGATTGGGATTGATATGATTTTGCAGCCTGATATTAAAGCGATCAAGAAACGTATGGAGGACTTGATTACCAGAGATTATTTGGAGAGGGACAAGGAGAATCCTAACATGTTTAGGTACTTGGCTTAGTGCAAAAAGAGTAACTGTGGAGGTGGTCTGGTCACCAATGAATCGAAGCATCTGCTTGTATATTACAATCCCATTTGGATATTTATCCTAAAAACAAATTATGGCTTCGTTTTCAATTTATTTTTCTTTCTAAAAACAAATTCGGTCGTGCCTTTTGTTTTTTGGGATGTAATTTGCCTTTTTTGACTCTTGGATATGAATGGGGATGGAGGTTAATGGCTTAATGAATGAATCTCTGCTTTCATTGATCGTCTTGTTTCAGTTTATTGCATCTTTGTGTTTATCTCAATCAATGTGATGGAAATTGGTAGAAAATATTAGAGATCAAACTCAACAGACAACTTATGAATGATGGATATAAAATTCATCATAAAATTTTAGTCAAACAATGGTAAAATCGCAATCAATAAATTTCTCTAATTTGTACGAAAACGAATGAAATCGGGAGCGGGTTGGGTTGTTTCTACTTTGTAGTTGTGCGCAAATAGAAAGTGTTTGGGCTTTTGTTTAACTAAATGGGCTAACAGCTTACTAGATCAGATCTAGTAGATCACAATAGTAGGCCCATGAAGGGATTTAGGCTTATTTTAGCAGACCCAAAGCGATCGTGGTCAATCCTGCGCCAGGTGATAGTGAGATACCGAGCCTAGCTCATTTGGTTTCTCTGGTTGGTTCTTCTTCCTCAGATCAAAGTGCGTCTCTCGTTTTCTCTAAATTCTCCAAAATGCTGGCTAGGCTCGCTGCTAAGCGTCTTCTCGAGATCCGTCAAGTTTTCCGTCAACCACCATCTCAGGTATTCTCAATTTTCCTGCTTTCCTCTCGTTTTTTTTGTTCTCCGGCGTTTCTCGATCTCATCCTCAGTTTGGTTTTGTTTCCCTTTTCTCTCTTACAGACGTCTCGTAGCTTCTCGACGGCCTTAAACTACGTGAGTATTGGATATTCTCGTTGATCTGTGCTTTAACTATTCGAATTTGTTCGTTCTCCTTTTTTGAAATCAAATGTAATCTGATTTTTGTTGCTGGTTTGATTTCTTATAGCACCTTAATTCTCCTGATAACAAGCCCGATCTTCCATGGGAGTTTTCAGAGGCAAACAAATCTAAGGTCAGTGAATGAATCGCTTCTTGCTTTGATGATGAAGAAAATTTACAGTCTGTGGGACGAAATTGGGATACGAACTCGTTTGTGGACGTAGATTGTCATTTTAGTTACAGATTTCTCGGGTGAATTGTGTTAAGAATAGTAGAGCTAGAAACAGTTTATGCTCTTACCGGAAAATGTTCTCTATAGTCGTTAAACAAATCACAGACTAGATGCAGCCCGGATGCATTTTGTTACCTTTGTATTGAGAGCTGAAAGACTGAAAGAGTTGAAGGAATGGTTTTTTTAAATCCCAACTTATATAGTCCTTGGATTCTGATTAGGAATCATGATCCCTTGTTTTAGCATCTAGAATGGATCCTTGGATTCTGATTAGGAATCATGATCCCTTGTTTCTGATATTTCCGATTGCCTAAACGTACTTGCATTCTTTGAATTGTCTATTTGGGAACTGATTTGAGGGAGACTCAAAATTAGGGCTCCAAATGGCCAACGGCGATTTTGCTTGTTTGGCAGAAAGACTGTCCAGAAAGTAGTAAGCCGGTTATATGGAATTAAAGTACTAATACATTCGTGTGCATTTGATTGCCGTTTACTGTATCTTTCATGTCTGGCTGCAGTAATCTTGCATAGAAAGTGAAATCTGTATCTCCCACGGTTCCAGATTTTCTGACATTCTAATCATTTTTTCCAACCTCTGTAGGTTAAGGAGATACTCTCTTACTATCCAACGAACTACAAGCAGTCTGCAGTTATTCCTCTTCTGGATCTTGCACAACAGCAGCATGGAGGCTGGCTCCCTGTTTCAGCAATGAATGCGGTATGTTTTGTTTAAGTATTTTTCAGCTGTACTCTTACTAAATGGAAGGATTGTAATGCGGGTCTTTATAATTATCTTCCTCTTCCTTACGTTATTTGCTTTTGTTTAATTGTTTCTAGTAAACTTGATTAAGTGTAGTTCTTAGGTTCTTTTCTAGACAACACCATCAGTTGATATGAATTTACCAACATAACAGTAAAACAAATTTTACAGGTTGCTAATGTTATAGAGGTTGCACCTATCCGTGTTTATGAGGTTGCAACATTTTACTCAATGTTCAACAGGGCAAAGGTAAGAAGTACTTACTTCCCATAAACTTAAGTCTCTACCATACACGTCGAAACACACATTGCTGAGTCATTTGTCATTTGCTCTTACAGGTGGGACAGTACCACCTGCTGGTTTGTGGCACGACACCTTGCATGGTCCGTGGCTCACGAGATATCGAATCAGCTTTGCTAGACCATTTGGGAGTGAAACGCGGTGGTAAAGCTCTATAATGACCCTTTCATACACAATCATACGGTGCTGCTCACTCATAACAATCTTTGGTCCTACGTTTTCTTTGCAGAAGTGACAAAGGATGGTTTGTTCTCCGTTGGAGAGATGGAATGCATGGTATGGGTTTCGCATAACCTCTTTACTTTCCTGAAATCACCAGAGACAATATAGATTCATGACTCATCATGTATTTGGTTTTGTTACAGGGATGTTGTGTTAATGCACCCATGATCACTGTTGCAGACTACTCCAATGGATCCGAAGGATATACATATAACTACTTCGTATGTCAATAACTTGTCTTTTCTCCTGCAGTATCTCTCTGCGTTTGCATTTCAAGACGTCATGACTAAATTGTAATATATTATGCTTCAATACACAGGAAGATGTCACACCTGAGAAAGTCGTAGAGATTGTTGAAAAGCTGAGAAAAGGAGAAAAGCCACCGGTAAGACCTTAAACCAACACATTGCATTTGGATACTTTTTCTAATGTTCTCTAGCCAAAACTCAAATCCAACTTGTCGTTGTGTTTATCTTTGTTTTCAGCGTGGAACTCAAAACCCAAAGAGGATCAACTGCGGACCAGAAGGAGGAAACACGACACTACTCAGCGAGCCAAAGCCACCGCAGTTCCGTGATCTTGATGCTTGCTAAAGCTAAAATTCTGTTTTACCGCTGGTTTTATGTGGTTCAATAACGCAAAAGGGCTATAGCAATGTTTGAAGCCTATAGCATCAAATTGAGTTTGCATTACTCTTTGTAGTCTTCTTGGTTTTGGAATTTAGACCCATTTTGCCAAAAAAAAACATCTTTTTTATTATTATCTCACTTCCAAGATTTATGTGAAATTGTAATAAAGACTTGTATGTGTTTTCTATCAAAATCTTGATTTATTATTTTGAAAATGTTAACAAAAGTTGGTTAATGGAGGTAACTAATAATATTATTTGATTATTATATTACTCCAAATTCAAACAAAAGAGAGAACACAATACAAGGAGTCGATACTTTTTCATTTTTCAATTTGTACATAACTCAACAAGGTCCCACACATTCCCACTACTACTAGTCTACTACTACATAATAATACCCCTCTTCAAGCTCCGTCCTCAACCTCCCACTAAAGTCATGAAAACAAAAAGTTGCTTTCATCAAAGTCCACCTAAAAATAAAGGTAAAATGATAACAAATCATATTCAATCAAGTAAGCTTTTTGACAAACTCTTCCTTCCTACTGGAAATCCTACACTGATTCCATCTCCAAAGCCTGTTTTTTTTAATACCTTTCAATTAGACCAAACATGTAGATAGATGCATGCAGAGGGTGATGAAACAGCAAGAAACCAGAGTCATCGTGAGCAGTAGAAAGTAAGAAGCCAATGTTGGACCGTGTTGGATTGCTGTACAAACCCTTCTTCTTCATCCATCTCCAAATCCTACGGTGGAGGATTCGTCTCAGGCTTAACCACTGAAGATGTATCTGGAGGCTGAGAATGGTAAATTGCCATAGCCAATGAGATTGGCATCATGCAAAGAGCCTTAGACTGAAGAAGTTGCATAGCAGCGCCAACATTTTCTTCCATTAACTTAGCCACTTGACGCTCAGTCCCATCGTTTGACCATTTCTCCCACGCAGGTTGTGGAGTCCTTCCACCGTCACTTGTCTCATCCTATTGACATTTCAAGCAAACAATCTGAATCAAAACCCATTACAAAAGTTTTGATCTTTTTCTCCATCCTTTCTTTTTTCTTAAAAAGTTTTGTTTTCATACCTCAACTGATGATGACAAAGGCATATCAGTAACAAGTGGAGCAACAGCACCGGCTCCACCAAGACGACTCATGCTCAAAACCTACCAAAGTTGACCAAACAGAGATGGAAAAAAATCATTCAAAGGGATAAGCTTTGTCCCATGAAAATTATATATAAAAAAAAAAAGAAAGCTTTACTTTTTAGATGAGCATGGAAGATTTCACAAGAAGCACATAAAATATATATAAATAAAAATGATTTATTATCTTATATCAGAAATCCATCATTGCATACAATTTCTTTAGTGTCTGTCCCCATTATCTTATAAAGTAAAGAGACTTCCTTTTCTCTCTTACGAGAGCTTTAAGCAACCGACTGCATTTTGATAATACAGAATAAGAAACGTTTGATCGAAGAGATTATATAATAATGTAAGACATGATGATGATTGTAAATTATGGTTTTGATATGGTATAATAATCCTAAACCGTGATTAGGCTCCATTTGACAAAACAAAACAAAAAAGTGAAAAGAAAGAGACTAAATGCCAAAGAAAACAAAAGCATTTTGGCCTTGTTTATCATTTTTTACCACATTAAAAAACTCAATCTAATCATATTGAAATTGGGTTGAAGGGTAGGTGATTGTGGGACCAAAATTAAGACCTAAAATCCATCCGGAGAATTTAACATCACTCAACAACATTAAAGACTAGTATTTTAGATCTCTAATCCTATGGATAAAGAAAGAAATCTAGATCAAAACTGTACCTTAACTTGGAGCCTGAGAAACTTTACATAATCAACAATCTCATCGATCATAGCAGCTCTATCTGTCTGCAAAGGAAGACAGAAAAAAACAAACAACAAGTGTTAAACCTTCAAGAACTTGAAATTTTCTTCACAGATGAGTCTTCAGATGAAAGATACCGACCTTGTTCACAGTTGGTACAAGTTCCTGCAGTGCCCTGATCCTCTCTGCTATTCTTTCCCTACGTAGCTGTGGCCAAGCAAACATAAACTTTTCAGCTTATCCCTCCATGGAACAATACACATTGAATACAAAAGTTGAAGTGTATCAAACTTTACCCTTTCAGCGATGCTATGTGGATCAGTAGCCTGACCACGCCTAGCTCGAACCCTAGGTCGGATTGATGTTGGCTGATGTGGCGCCGGTGGAGCTGGCTGCTGCATCGGCTGTCCGTGGAAAACCTTTCAACAACACACAAAAGATGTAAGAACTATTGAAAAATTCAAACCCATTTGCACAAGCACTGACTCCATAAGTTGTAAAGGAAAATACTTTCATCACTATATCAATCAAACTAACAGATTTACTGATGGTAAGGCAAAAATGATTTAGCTTAAACCTTTAAGAACACTCATTATACCAAATTAGACAATAAGATCAGCCACACAGCTAAGAGCTATGTAGCATAAATTTTTCAACTTGGGTTTATCAAACAAAGTCTTGAGCCAAAAAAAAACACCCAAAGCAAAACCATCAACAATGATAAATATCTAAACTTTTCTAAATCTATAATCCATAAGTAAATCTCAAGACTTACTGCAGAAATCAAAAGCAAAATCAAAACAAAAAGTTACTAAAAATGTCCTCTTCAAAACCTCAAAATGATTTTACCTTTATTTTCTCAAGAACCAAACACACAGAAATGAAAAATCTGAGCAGCCAAGAAATTAACTTACAGGTTTCATAGAAGAACAACGATTATCAACAACATCATCTGAGAATCGTTTCCCACTTCCATGACCTCCTTCAGGTCTAAGAAAGCCAGGTCCTTTCCCTTGATCAAGACTTAAACCCAGAGGAAACATCTGATTGTGAAATCCAGTTGGTCCACTTCCTCCTAGCCCCGCCATGTGACTTCCTTCGTCGCCGGAACCCAACTGCAGCATCATCGGCGGTGCTCCTCCGCCCAATCCACCGTCGACTCCAGATAAACCGGCGGCGTTAGAAGCTGAGAAGTTAGGAAGGCCGAGGATTTGCTCGAAGAAATCATCAGAAGGAGTTTGGTCAGAAAGGTTCTCGTGAGGGTTGTTACTAGCCATTTGGTTTTGAGTTAAAAAAAAATGGATTTTTTTACTCGAACGAGTCCTGGTGAGTTACGATAAGCGAGTTCTAGCTTTCAGAGAGCAAATCTACATGCGAAAGCTAGAAATCTTTTTTTTTTAATTTGTTTGGTGATTGATGCTTTTAAAACGAATGAGGACGAAGAAGACAGAGACGACAAAGGAGCAGAAGAAAAGTGTAAACTTTATGCTCTGTTTATAAAATTGTCTTTTTTGTTTTAACGACCTTACTTTTTCGGATTATTTCAGTTTTGCCATTGTCATCTTCACCTTCCAGAAACGATAATTAAGTGGGCTAGGCCTTAATTAACTGGGCCGTATTTTTCCTTTTCTTCTAAACATGGGCCTTCTTTCACTCTTCCTAATTTTTTTTGTAACATCTGAGCACTCTTCGTAATTGTTTACTGTCAACTTCCATTGGTTTTCCTTTTTAACTATTCTGATTTTGTTTCTTCGTAACATCTGAGACTTTTTAAAAGTAGTGATTTATAAAATCAGAAGAGTTGAATTAGTTGCATTAAAAACAAATTATAATTATTTTGAATATGTAACTATTCAATTTAAAAGTAAGTAAAGCATTATTCCAGATCACATTTACCAACAGATATAAAAAAATGGGAATTTTGCATTATTATGATTTCGGACAACAGTTCGAGATTCTGACAAGAGATGTGAGCTGAAAGTTGACCACATCACATGCATGAATAGATTAGTTTTGATCACTTAAAATAGATTATTGCTACTGACGTATGCTTCAGTAATGTGATTCATGTGAACTTCAAACATATAAAATGAAAATGAAAATGAAGGAATAAGTATTCAGTTTCTTTCAACACGATTTTTGAAAACGATTGGTCACTGCGGATCTCTTCAATATATTTATATATAAATAAATAAAAGACAGGATTCCAAAATTATTTTGTTTTGGTCAATGATCTTCCTGGTATTTAAAAAAACAAAAATGAGGAAAGAAAATAAGAAGAATGGAATTTAGAAATGTATTACAGTAAATGATTGATAACATGCTTTAATTTAAACACGGATTAGAAACGAATAATGTGGAAACTGGAAAGGCCAAAACGCGTTTCCTAATTTGCCGTAAAGTTTTACAATAAAACTTACTGCATTAAGAAAATAATTGTTGCTTCTATATATGGTTGTCAATCTTACAGATTCTCTAACCATAATTATATTTCTCAAAATGCTGACAAAGGAGAGCAAATAAATCCTGACAAATCTTCTTCACTCGCTTCATCTTCTCTTCCTCCACCCGATTTTTTCCAGTGGCAGAGAGAAGACTGTTCCTTATCCCGATTTTGTTCTCAGATCGAACTTATTACAATCTGAAAATTCTGTCTTTTTTTTTTAATTTAATTATTAGACAGAGAGTTGTCGGGACGGAAAAACAGAGAAATGAGTCACGGAGAAGGTGTGTCGCTTGAATTCACTCCGACGTGGGTCGTCGCCGGAGTTTGTACAGTCATCGTCGCGATCTCGCTGGCGGTGGAGCGTTTACTTCACCATTTCGGTACTGTTCTTAAGAAGAAGAAACAAAAACCCCTTTACGAAGCCCTTCAAAAGGTTAAAGAAGGTAAACAACAAAAAAAACCTCTCTTTTTTTTTCTTCGTTTGGCTCTGTCTTTGTGAGTGGGTTCCACACTTCCACTGATCTTTTTGATCGATTCTTCATAGTTCCAATTGAAATTGTTCTTCAAGTTTCGATTTTTTCTGGGTTTTGGATTAGATAAACTAAACAGTGTTTTAACTTTTGAATGTTCTTCGTTTAATCAATTTTTTTCTGCTTTGCTACCAATTAGATGCCTTAATTATAGTTTGACAAAATCTTATGTGAAATGTGACTGTATCAGAATATAAGCAGCTGAGTCTTGAAAGTTAAAATCTTTACTACTTCACTTTTCGTTTCCTTTGGTGCAAATCTGTGGATTTATGATGAATCGTTTTACTATTGCAGTGTTGATGTTGATAAGGTTAATATTGGACCAATTGTTTGATAAATATCAGATTATAAGCAGCTAAAGTTGTGAAAGTTAAAACCTTTACTACATTTTTTTTTTGGTTGCTTTGGGGAAAAGGTGTGATATGTGATGAATCTTTATTGTGGATTTTTGCAGAGTTGATGTTGTTAGGTTTCATATCACTGTTACTGACGGTATTCCAAGGACTCATCGCCAAGTTCTGTGTGAACGAGGGTGTGCTTGATCACATGCTTCCATGTTCACATGCTGCAAAGCGTGAAGCTGAGGCAAGCGAGCACAAAAACGTAACAACGAAAGAACATTTTCAGACTTTTTTCCCTATCGTTGGAACCACTAGGCGTCTTCTTGCTGAACATGCTGCTGCTGAAGCTGGTTACTGTAACGCAAATGTAAATTATAAATCCTTTTTTACCGCTCATTTCATTGTAAATCTTGTTTAGGTGTTTTCTCTTTGCTAATTTCTTGTTTTTTCTTCTTCTTCAGGGTAAAGTACCATTGCTTTCTCTTGAGGCGTTGCACCATTTACATATCTTCATCTTCGTCCTCGCCATATCTCATGTGACATTCTGTGTTCTTACCGTGGTTTTTGGAAGCACGAGGGTGAGCATCAAAACCATATACTTGTCAATTTCTGTGAAACTGTGATTTACTAATGTTTTATGTGTTATTGTATAGATTCACCAATGGAAGAGATGGGAGGATTCGATTGCAAACGAGAGTTATGACCCCGAAGCAGGTACTTGATTGCTCTGGCTATACGTGAAGATGGTAGCTGAATCTTGTACGTATGGTTTTTGATTATTTTACTTTGCCTTTTTTGCAGCTTATAAGAAAAGAAGGGTCACTAGTGTGCAGAACCATGCTTTCATTAAAGATCATTTTCTTGGTATTGGTAAAGATTCAGTCTTCCTTGGATGGACGGTATGGTGTTTCTTTTCTTTTGTCTTTATATTGCATTTAATTGTTTTTGTTTTCTAGTATTTGTCTTTTGGAACTACCTGAATGTTGATGTTATGTGTATTTGTACATGAACAGCAATCATTTTTCAAGCAATTCTACGGATCTGTGACGAAATCAGATTACGTGACTTTGCGCCTTGGTTTCATTACGGTAAAATCTTGATCTGTTCATTTTGTAAACAAAGATTTGATTTCATCATTTAGACTAATATGACATGACATCTGTTTGGTGGTATTTCTCTCTACAGACACACTGTAAGGCAAATCCCAAGCTTAATTTCCACAAGTACATGATGCGTGCTCTTGAGGATGATTTCAAACAAGTGGTTGGTATTAGTTGGTATCTTTGGATCTTTGTCGTCATCTTCTTGCTCCTTAATGTTAATGGATGGCACACATATTTCTGGATTGCATTCATTCCCTTCATTGTGAGTCATTTTGTTTTTTTTTTCCCCCATTTTGTTTTCTCAGAATGTTCTCATTCTTCTGTTTAACTGAAGTAAACTTTGTAAATTTGAAGCTGCTTCTTGCCGTGGGAACAAAGTTGGAGCATGTGATATCACAGTTAGCGCACGAAGTTGCAGAGAAACATGTAGCCATTGAAGGAGAGTTAGTGGTGAAACCATCAGATGAGCATTTCTGGTTCAGCAGACCTCAGATTGTTCTCTACTTGATTCATTTCATCCTCTTCCAGAATGCTTTCGAGATTGCGTTTTTCTTTTGGATTTGGGTAACGTCAAGACACGGACTCTTTCAACTATTACAAAGTTTCCAAGATTCACTTGAAAATGGTTTAAGACTGAGAAGTATACTTTGTAGGTTACATATGGATTCGACTCGTGCATTATGGGACAAGTGAGATACATTGTTCCAAGATTGATTATCGGGTAAGCGAAGTGAAAAGATTTGATGTTTTTTTTGCATTTAACATAGCTTGGCATTTACTGATATGTTTCTTCTTTTCTGTAGGGTCTTCATTCAAGTGCTTTGTAGTTACAGTACACTGCCTCTCTACGCCATTGTCTCACAGGTAAAAAGCTATTGTATAGTTTCTACTAGAAAGCTTCAGAATCATTTGGTTTGGTTAAGTTAAAACTGATCCTCTGCTGATGTCAACAACAGATGGGAAGTAACTTCAAGAAGGCAATCTTCGAGGAGAATGTGCAGGTTGGTCTTGTTGGTTGGGCACAGAAAGTGAAGAACAAGAGAGAACTCAAAGCTGCAGCTAGTAATGGGGACGAAGGAAGCTCTCAGGCTGGTTCTGGTTCCGGTCCTGCTCCTGCTCCTGCTCCTGCTCGTGCTCCTGGTGCTGGTGCAGGTTTTGCAGGAATTCAGCTCAGCCGATTAACAAGAAACAATAACGCAGGGGAGACACAAAGTGAAATAACACCTGAACATAACAATTGATTATCTCTTCCTCCCATCATCAGAATTAGCTTCAAGGTCCTGTTTTTGTTGTCATACATAAGCTATGGTGACTTGGTTTTATAGTGGCTTGGCTTTTTTATCTGTTTTTGTTACAAATTGACCATTTTGGGATTCATCTGGTCGTACATGTATATTGTTGGGATAACATTGTAGCGAAGGTGTTCAATGTAGTTTTCAGTTCGATTATGTGTGGTTTGGATATAAACCAAACATACATTTTGGCAAATACCCGACAGGAACGTTAACTCATAATAGAAAGCACACAATCTTGACAAGGTACCAAACATATGAATCTCTTACAAGCAACTACAAGAAGCATGAAGAGAAAAAGAAGTAGAAGCCTAGAGTTGGGCATTTTGTGTGTTTTCATCGTCGACAGGATCAGAGAACAAAAACTTGGCATGAAGGAGAGAGTGGTGGAATTGTGAGGAGCTTCTTGAGGATGGCAGACGCTTTCTTCTCTCTGGAAGGATGTAGGGGCAGAGTGAGTTTCTTGAGGATTGTTGACTTCTCCAGCAAGTAACTCACTAGTTTCATCTCCCTCGCCTCGCCTATATATCTTCTTGGTGACGCTTCTTTTATCTCAACAAGCTCGAGAGATGGTAGGAAACACTGAGGTCCGTGTAAAAATTTCTCCTTGTGGACAATTTCAAATACCTGCAAATAGATTCGAGAATGTGATAATATACTTAAAACCATTTCCATTTCCATAGAAAGAAGAAAGGATAGATATTTGTGGTCCTAACCAAGGATAGATGTTTAAGACTGGGGCAGCTCTCAAGAAAGATTGGCAACATTTCCCATCTGAAGTCTTGGAAGTCAGCACGCAAGGAAGTGAGGTTAGGAAACAGAGGCAGTCGTTGGCGTCTCGAGTTACTATAAATGGCCTGCAAGGGCAAGAGCAAAAAAGTATCAGCCGCAGAGCAGAGCAGAGGTGACAAGACAAACAAATCTCTTATAAGAATATCATTTCAACCTTGAGAGTATCCGTGTGGATCGTCATAACTTTGACACCAGAGATCCCTATGAGAAAGCTACGAATCATATTTCTCATTGGGACATTATCTCCGGATCATACCTGTTTTTGCAGAGCGTGTTAAACGCGATATCGATATCCGCTTCAACAAGGGAACCGAGACTGTGTATTATGAAACTTTGGGCAAATATATCATAGATCCTGAGATACTCTAGCCTAGGGGCATCAATTGCAACCACTAGGTCTTTATAAAGCCTATGTCTCCTCCATGTAGACAAGGTTAGTGTAAAGCTTTTGAGAAGAGGGGAGCCTGAGATGAGCCTTCCCAAACCCCAATCCGTTGTACACCTAACCCAATCTAGAGCGATAACTTTGACAAAAGGTAAAGAAACAATTTTGGGATTAGGCAAGATAACCCCACGGAGGTTTAAGGATACTAAGCTCTCGCAAGTGTACACTGTTTGAGGTATCTCCACTGCTCTGCACGAAACATGGAGGTCTTGCACTTTCCGGTCAATAACAGTGCTGATCCACCGGATGAGACGAGAGACATCAACTTCATCATCCTCTTCTTCGGGTTCGTACGCGAACTTGAAATGTTGCAGACGCGACTCGCTGTTATAACTCAGAAGAAACCTGTCGATAAAGCTCGCGAAAGCAACGTGGTCCGGAAAATCATCTAAATCCAAGTCCAATCCAGGTACAAGCTTCCAGAAATTTCTCCACCAGCTTGATAACACACTGCATTTGACCACATCTTTGGTGCCAAGTTTCAGGAGAATCTGTAACATCAAGCACTCTGGCAAGTTTCTCAGCCTATCTACATGCTCTAGCTCGTCGTTTCCCTTCATTTTCCCTCCCTAAAAACATCGAATCGGAAAAGAAACCCTCAAAACTTGCTGTTTCTCGAATCGATTCAAAAATCTTTTAACAAAATTGAAAGAGAGTTTAAGATAATCAGGAAATCTGTACCTAGGGAAAATTAGCACCAATGAGCGAGAGAGAGTAGATCAAATTGGAGCGAAATCGAGTAACAGCTTCTGAAGATTCATAGAGAGGATGAATCGTCGTCGAATTTGCCGGTCTCCTTTTTTTTTCACTCTGCCGTCTAAAGTGTCTAAACCGGTTTAATATGGTTTTAATCGATTCGAAAAGGTTTATCGACACGGTTCTCTAAGATTGTCAATGCGTAAACCCGGTTCGTTTTAATTCGGGTTTATCTGATTTGTATAATTCGTCCCCTCGACCAAAAGAATTAATCAATCTAACCGAGAACGTTTGAATTGTGTAATTTATCAACAAATTTACAAGTTAATAGAGAGTTTTGAAGAAGAAGATTAGCATTTTGTTTCGATTGATTCAACTTAGAGATTACAATCGGTTTATGAACTTAATGCTGGTCGTGAATGTATACTGATGGTAAACATTACAGCGACGGTGGGAAACATCTGTTCACCTATATTGGTTTAGAATATAAAACCAAATATTAATCGTTTCAGGCTTTGCATTGTACATTTTTGGCTGCCTCTCTACGCCATTGTCTCACAGGTAAAAAAGCTAGTGTATGATTTCTACTAAAAGAGCTTCAGAATCATTTGGTTTGGTGAGTTAAAACTGATCCTCTGCTTAAGTCAACAACATATGGGAAGTAACTTCAAGAAAGCAATCTTGTTGGTTGGGCACAGAAAATGAAGAACAAGAGAGAACTAAAGCTGCAGCTAGAAATGGGGACGAAGGAAGCTCTCAGGCTGGTTCTGGTCCTGGTTCTGCTCCTGCTCCTGGTGCTGGTGCAAGTATTGCAGGAATTCAGCTCAGCCGATTAACGAGAAACAACGCAGGGGAGACACAAAATGAGATAACACCTGAACATAACAATTGAGTAGAGAGATGATTCTCTTCCCATCATCAGATTTAGCTTCAAGGTCCTGTTTTTGTTGTCATACATAAGCTCTAGTGACTTGATTTTTTATCTTTTTTTGTTACAAATTGACCATCTTTGGATTAGAGAATTGGGAACTTATATGGTCGTACATGTATATTGTTGGGATAAACATTGTAGCGATTATGTTGGCTTGGATATAAGCCAATTATTATTCTCTTTACGAGGCTTGGCATTTTACATACATTTTGGCAAATACTCGACAGGAACGCTAACTCAGAATATAAAGCACACGATCTTGACAAAGAACCTAACATATGATTCTCATACAAGCTACAAGAACCATGAAGAGAAAAAGAAGAAGTACAAGCATAGAGTTTGAGTTGGGCATTAGTAAATAATCTCAAAGACAACATTTTGTATGTTCATCGTTGACAGGATCAGAGAACAACAACTTGGCATGAAGGAGATCGTGTTGGAATTGAGAGGAACTTGTTGAGGATGACAGATGCTTTCTCCTTTCTGGAAGGATGTAAGGATAGAGTGAGCTTCTTGAGGATTGTTGACTTCTCCAGAAAGTAACTCACTAGTTTCATCTCCCTCGCCTCGTATATCTCTGTGAGTGACGCTCCTTCTTCTATCTCGACAAACTCGAGAGATGGTAGGAGACACCACCGAGTTCCAGGTGGTACAATACTGATTTCCTGACTTGTACATATATAAAACTTCTGCAAGTAGATGAAACAAGTTGAGTATGTGATGATTTACTTTTTCATTTCTATCAAAAAGAAAGGATATATATTTATGGGTTTTGCAAGTAATAAACGATATCTAACCAAGGATAGATGTTTTAGATTGGGGCAGCTCTCAAGAAAGATTGGCAACATTTCCCATCTGTAGCCATCCAAGTCAGCACACAAGGAGGTGAGGTTAGGAAACAGATGCAGTCGTTGGCGTCTCGAGTTTTCATAAATGGCCTGCAAAGCAAGAGCAAAAAAAGGCATCAGCCGCAGAGGTGACAAGACAACAACAAATGTCTTTACATAAGTAAAAGATCATATCAACTCAAACCTTGAGAGAAGACGTGTGGATCTTCATCACTTTGACACCAGAGATCGCTATGAGAAAACTACGAATCATATTTCTCATTGGTACATTATCCGGATCAAACGTGTTTTTGCAGAGCTTGTTAAACGCGATAGCGATATCCGCTTCAACAAGAGAACCTGGACTGTGTATGATGAATCTTTGTGCATAATGATCACGGATCTTGAGATACTCGAGCCTAGGAGCATCAACTGAAACTACTACATCTTCATTAGAACCACTGCCGAATAGAGAATTGGTTAGTGCAAAGCTTTTGAGAAGAGGGCAGCCTGAGATGAGCCTTCCTAAACCCAAATCCGTTGCACACCTAACAAAATCTAGAGTGATCACTTTGACACAAGGTAAAGAAACGAACTTTGGATCAGGCAAGATAACCCCACGGAGGTTTAAGGATACTAAGCTCTCGCAAGTGTACACTGATTGGGGTATCTCCAATTCAAAACCTCTCCCAATTGTGTACCAAACATGGAGGTGCTGCACTTTCCGCTCAATAGCAGTGCTGATCCACTGGGTGAGACGAGAAACATCAACATTTTCTTCCTCTTCTTCGGGTTCGTACGTGAACTTGAAATGTTGCAGACGCGACTCGCTGTTCAAACCCAGAAACCTATCGATAAAGCTCGCGAAAGCAACGTGGTCCCGAAAATCATCAAAATCCAGGTCTAAACCAGGTACAAGCTGCCACAGATTTCTCCACCCGCTTGATAACACACTACATTTAACCACATCCTTGGTGCCAAGTTTCAAGAGAATCTGTAACAACAAGCACTCTGGCAATTTTCTCAGCCAATCTACATGTTGTTCCTCTTTGTTTTTTACCATTTTCCTCTCCCTAGCATTGCAAACACCGAATTGAAAAAGAAACAAATTTAAAAATCGTCCAACAAATTTGAAAGCAAGTTTAAGATAATCAGGAAATGTGTACCTACAAATTAGGGGGAATTACCACGAAAGAGATGACAAAAGAGGGAGAGAGAGAGAGTAGATCAAAGAGCGAGATCGAGTAACAGCTTCTGAAGATTGAAAGAGATGATGAATCGTCGTCGAATTTTCGTTTTCCGGTGTCTCCTTTTTTACTGAAAGAAAAAGCGTTAAGCTGAGGAACAGAGAGGGAAGAGATTACTACATCAATGCGAAAACCTAGATTCTTAAGAACACTTGTCATCATCTCGTCGTCTTTCACAGAGAATCAATGGCTTCAAAACGACGATTTGACGCCTCTCTATTTCCTAAGTTTGTGTCGTGAAACGCTGCCGTTTTATCATTCGCTTTAGTTGATAAAAACGGCAGCGTTTTGCTTTGACTCAAATAGATCGGTTTGGAAAACTAAACCGGATTAAAATCAAATTCCGTTTTTCTGAAGTCAAAATCAAATCAAAGCCACACTACTGGCGCTAGTTGTGGCGAGACATTCTTTCATTTTCTTCTTCGAAATCGAAAGCTCGCAATGGATCTTCTCAAGAACCCTCCCGCCACAGTTGGTCTATCAGAGACTTTCGCTAGGTTAAAGTCACAAGGTAAAGTAATCAAAAATCTCTTCAATCCCCAAAAGTTTCCATACAAAAATGAGAAATATTTAACATGCCATATCTTGACAAAGTACCAAACATATGGTTCTCTTTCAACTTTCAAGCTACATTGACCATGAAGAGAAAAAGAAAAAATAGAGGAGAAGTAAGAAGCCTAGATAGAGTAGGCATTAATAAAAAGTTTCAAAGACAAACGTTTTGTATGTTCATCGTTGACACTTGACAGGATTAGAGAACAACAACTTGGCATGAGGGAGAGAGTGTTGGAAATGAGAGACACTTCTTGAGGATGGCAGATACTTTCTCCTCTCTGAGAGGATACAAGGACAGAGTGAGCTTCTTGAGGATTGTTGACTTCTCCAGCAAGTAACTCACTAGTTTCATCTCTCTCGCCTCGTCTATCTCACGTAGTGTCTTTTCTTTTATCTCAACAAACTCGAGAGATGGCAGGAAACACCGAGGTTCAGGGACATTAATAACTTTCTCTACTCTATATATATAATATTTCTGCAACTAACACCAAGTGGATTTGAGTATGTGATGATACACTTAAAACCATTTCCATCAGAAAGATAGGATGAGATGTTTATGGTTTTGCAAGCAAACGATTCCTAAGTCCTAACCAAGGATAGATGTTTAAGATTCGGGCAGCTCTCAAGAAAGCTTGGCAACATTTCCCATCCGTAGTCATGGAAGTCAGCACGTAAGGAAGTGATGTTAGGAAACAGAGGTAGTCGTTGGCATCTCGAGTTTTCATAAATGGCCTGCCAAGAGCAAAAGCATCAGAGGTGAAAACAAGTGCTTAAGCGAGCAGCATTTCATATATGTATATATATATATATGCTTACCTCGAGAAAATACGGATGGATCGTCATAACTGTGACACCAGATGACCAGAGATCCCGACGAGAAAATTACGAATCATATTTCTCATTGTTAGATGATCCGGATCAAACCTGTTGTTGAAATCCATGTAAAACGCGATGTCGATATGATTCGTATAAATTCGTCCATGACCAACAGAATCAATCAATTTAACCGACATCGTTTGAATTGTGTAATTGCAGATTAATCAAACAAATTTACATGTTCTAAAGAAGCGTTTAGAAACTTATTAGAGAGTTTTGAAGAAGAAGATTAGCAATTTGTTTCTATTTCTTCAACCTAGAGATTACAATCGGTTCATGAATTTAATGTTAGTGTAGGTAAACGTTACAGCGAGGGTGTTCAATGTAGTTTTCAACAAAACTATATTGGTTTAGATATAAACCATACATATTATTCGTTTCAGGCTTTGCATTTCACATTTTGGCAAAAATAGCCAAATACCTGACAAGACCGACCCAAGACAAAAAGATGAGGAAGAATTAACATGCAATCTTGACAAAAGTACCAAACACATATGATTCTGTTTCAAACATAAGTAGAAGCAAAGAGATAAATTACACAAAAGACAACAACATTTTGTGTGTTGGTCCGTTCATCATTGACAGGATCGGAGAACAACAACTTGGCATGAGGGAGAGAGTTTCGGAATTTTGAGGAGTTCCTTGAGGAAGGCATATGGTCTCTTCTTTCTGTTATTAGGACGTAAAGATAGAATGAGTTTCTTGAGGATTGTTGACTTCTCCAGGAAGTAAGTCGCTAGTTTTATGACTTTTATCACCCTCGCCTCGGTTATAATTCTTCTTGACGACTCTTCTTTTATCTCAACAGACTCGAGACATGGTAGGAAACACCGAGGTCCGGGGACATTAATAACTTCCTCTCCTCCATACATTTGATATACCTGCAAATGGATCTGAGTATGTGATAATATACTTGAACCCATTTCCATTTCTATCAAAAAGAAAGGACGGATATTTGTGGTTTTGCAAGTAAACGGATCCTAACCAAGGAAAGGTCTTTAAGATTGGGGCAGCTCTCAAGAAAGATTGGCAACATTTCCCATCTGCAGTCATCCACGACAGCACGCAGGGAAGTGAGGTTAGGAAACAGAGGCAGTCGTTGGCGTCTCGAGTTATTATAAATGGCCTGCAAGAGCAAGAGCAACCAAAGCATCAGCCGCAGAGGTGACAAGACAAGAACAAAAGTCTTTATATAAGTAAAAGATCATATCAATTCAAACCTCGAGAAAATACGTATGGATGTTCATGACTTTGACACTAGAGATCCCCATGAGAAAACTACGAATCATGTTTCTCATTGTTAGATTATCCGGATCAAACCTGTTTTTGCAGAGCACGTTAAACGCGATACCGATATCAGCTTCAGCAAGGGAACCGGGACTGTGTATCATGAAACTTTGGGCAAAATAATCAAAGATCTTGAGATACTCAAGCCTAGGGGCATCAACTGCAACTACTAGATCTTCAAAAGAAGCAATGCTGAATAGAGGATCGGTTAGTGTAAAGCTTTTGAGGAGAGGGCAGCCTGAGATGAGCAATACTAAACCCCAATCCCTTGTAAACCTAACCAAATCTAGAGTGATCACTTTGACACAAGGTAAAGAAACAATTTTGGGATTAGGCAAGCAAACCCCACGGAGGTTTAAGGATACCAAGCTCTCACAAGTGTACACTGTTTGAGGTATCTCCAATTCATAGTCTCTCCCGGTTGTGTACCAAACATGGAGGTGTTGCACTTTCCGGTCAACAGCAGTGCCGATCCACCGGGTGAGACGAACAAGATCAACTTCGTCTTCCTCTTCTTCGGGTTCGTACGCGAACTTGAAATGTTGCAGACGCGACTCGCTGTTCAAACCCAGAAACCTATCGATAAAGCTCGCGAAAGCAACGTGGTCCCGAAAATCATCAAAATCCAAGTCTAGTCCAGGTACCAACTTCCAGACATTTCTCCACTCGCTTGATAACACACTACATTTGACCACATCTTTGGTTGGGAGATTCAACAGAATCCGTAACAGCAAGCACTCATGCAAGTTTCTCAGCCTATCTTCATGTTGTTGTTGTTGTTGGTCGTCGTTTTCCTTCATTTTCCCTCCCTAGCAAAAACAGAATATCCTAAAGACTTGTTTTTTTTCTTTATCGAATCGAAAGAGAGTTTAAGATAATCAGGAAATCTTTACCTACAAATTAGGGGCTTACCACGAGAGAGAGAGTAGATCAAAATGGAGCGAGAGTAATAGCTTCTGAAGATTTTAGAGAGATGATGAATCGCCGTGGAATTTTTCCGGTGTTTATTTTGTTTTTTTTTTTGTAATTCTACTGCGAGAAGTAGCTTTAAGCTGAAGAAGATAGAGGGTTGGTCAAATGAAAAAATGGTGGTCAAAGATAAAACGGCTGCGTTTCAAGATACAAAGGTCACTTCGCTTTTAAGGACAAAAACAGAGAAGAAAAACAAGCCATGCTCAATGTGTGTGATAAAGACTTGTACGGAGGAACTTATGGTTTTGAAGCCGTTGATTCGCTGTTGATGACAAGTGCTCTTTTTGTTCTAGCTTCACTCTCTCTCTCTTTCAGCTTAAACGGCTGCGTTTTAATTTTTAAGATACAATCATACAAAGGTCACTTTGTATCTCGGTGTAATACTTTTAACATTTGCTCTAATTTTTTACTCTAACCGATTCGTTCATTTTTCGAGTGCACTCCAGATCGGTTTAGATTCGATGAGTAAAGAAAAACAAAACAATCTGTATACAGTTGGTTTTATTTTGCTTCGGTTTGGAAAACTAAACCGGACTAAAATCAATTTCCCTTTTCTCTGGAGTCAAAATCAAATCAAAGCCAAAACAGTAAACTACTGAACTGGCGCTAGTAGTATAGTAGCGACATTCATTTTCTTCTTCGAAATCGAAAGCTCGCAATGGATCTTCTCAAGAACCCTTCCGCCACAGTTGGTCTATCAGAGACTTTCGCAAGGCTAAAGTCACAAGGCAAAGTAATCAAAAATCTCTTCAATCCCCAAAAGTTTCATTTCTGATCTGGGTTCTTCTTTCTTCTCGATTAAAATTTGATTGTTGGTGAAATCGAAATCAATTTTCTTTTAGGTGGCTCTGATTCCGTATATCACAGCTGGTGATCCAGATCTTTCGACAACAGCGAAAGCTCTCAAAGTGCTTGACTCGTGTGGCTCCGACATCATCGAACTCGGTGTCCCATACTCTGATCCATTAGCTGATGGTCCAGCAATCCAGGTTCGACCCACACAAAACCCTCACTATTCAGTCATCTTCTTCTTCTTCTAAATCTTAAAAAAAAAAGACCTTCTCTTTCTTTGTTTTAGGCTGCTGCGAGACGTTCCTTGCTTAAAGGAACCAACTTTAACTCCATTATCTCTATGCTTAAAGAGGTATATGCTGTTTTGATTACTTACTCCCTCTTTGCTTTTATATATAGCTTATAGATGATGAAATTTACAACGAAGTAGTGTATTTGGTACTCTTGGCTTTAGTGTTCTTAGAAAGGGACTCTCTTTATTCCATGTTTCTCAGGTTATTCCTCAGTTATCTTGTCCAATTGCATTGTTTACGTATTACAACCCGATCCTACGGCGAGGAATCGAGAACTACATGACTATTATAAAGAATGCTGGAGTCCATGGTACATTGACATTTGCTTCCATTTGTTCTTGGTTCCTGTCTTATCTGCATTAACATTTTATTACATGACATGGTGTCTCTTCATAGGGCTTCTTGTCCCTGATGTTCCACTGGAAGAGACTGAGTCTCTGCGGAGGGAAGCTCAAAAGCATCAGATTGAACTTGTATGGATGTTCTTCTCTCTAAGATAACATCTTTCATACCAAACTGTTTCCTTTCCTCTATCATATTAATTTTGTTCTCCTTAAGGTACTGCTCACAACACCCACAACTCCGAAGGAGCGAATGAATGCCATTGTCGAAGCATCCGAAGGATTCATCTATCTCGTAAGATCACAGTTTTCGACTCTTGAGATCAGTCTAATGACTAGTAAGCTTCGTGTTCTTACGCATGAATGTTGTTATTCGAGCTCTTTTCAGGTAAGTGCAGTAGGAGTTACTGGTACAAGAGATTCTGTTAACGACAAAGTTCAGTCTCTTCTACAACAAATCAAAGAGGCCACAAGCAAACCTGTCGCGGTTGGGTTTGGAATATCAAAACCTGAGCATGTGAAACAGGTTTGGCTGCACAGTCACTGGCTCAGCAGTCAGCAATATATTGGCATTGTGATGTGTTAACGTGGCCCGGTTTGTTTCACATTTTACAGGTAGCTGAATGGGGAGCAGACGGAGTCATTGTAGGTAGTGCGATGGTTAAGATTTTGGGAGAGGCTGAAACACCTGAGCAAGGACTTAAGGAGCTAGAAGTTTTCACTAAATCTTTGAAGGCTGCTCTTGTCTCTTGATTCTTGAATACACAATGGTTTCTCTTAATGTAATGCAAAAGAACCATATGGTGCTGTTACCATTGCTTCTTAAGAATGTAACATCCATCTCCAAATAAAAATCAAGAGTTTTACATTATTGAATATTTCCGAGTTTCAAAAGGAAAAATACAAGAAATGTCAAAAACAAACAAATGACATAAGCTCAGCAAAGCTTGCAAGAAATGTATATGTTTTAACGCTGTGAGACTGATTCGGCAGAGAAGAGGTACTTGACACGGGAGAGAACCGAATCATGAGCAGGGTCATATGGATGGTCCTTGGAAGGGATCTCCAGAATTGCAGGAACTGGCTTGTTGTAGCTATCCACCAAGAACCGGATCATATTGGCAATCTACAAGCACGAAAACTTCTCGTTATGTTTTTCGACCATGTAGAAAGAAACAGGTATTGAGCACATAGATATAGAGCTCATCAATGGTATGCCCCAAAAGGCTGATGCAAAGGATCCTTGAATACTATTGCTAGGAACAAGATAGCAAGAACTACCCTACGTGATGGTGAGACCTTGATCAATGTTTAAAAGGGTGCAAGCAAGGACGAGATTCATTAATGGCAGTAAACATAAGGGGGTCAATAAAGTGGAAGAGAGTACACGTCAATGACCTCTTTGATATCGACTCAAATAAAACAGCACAGACACAGCAGTTAAGATAAGTAACAAGAGCAAGTATACTAGACTTGGAAGAAAGCACTTACATATTGGCTCATGAGAATGATAGCAATATCATCCCTTGATGAGAATTCCTTGAAAGCATCCTCAATTTGTCTCACAGTTGTCTCTATTAGACACACAAAAAAGAAGGGAAAAATCAATTCATTTACAATTCTACAGAAATAAAAGTGAGGAAAGTTATCTCCTAACAAGACCACATGAAGTTGATTTGATGGAAAAATTCAACGAATTAAACTTTTTTTTGTAATAAAGGAAGATTATCTTCCGTAAGGATCATTATGAGTTAAAAATGCATACTCGAATCCACGATGAGGTAATTGGTCTTTCTCCTTATGTCAACGTTACCAACTCCAGCCATCAAAAATCCAACTACGGTGTCCTGTACACAACAGTTTAGACAAGTAAGAGATGTCGGAGATTGCCAGTTTCAAACAATTCTGCCACCAAGTGACGGAAAAAATGCCACGAAACTTGCAAGTCAACATGAAAATAAGAGACTACACATAATTTTCTTGTAACTAGATAGAATACCATTGCGTAAATCCATTTCTCATGCCAGAACAGTCGAATTTAACACACACAAAAACCATGTTTTAGCCAAATAAAACTCATGAGTCCTTGCTATTCAATGATGATACAGTTTCTAGGAAGACCTTAAAGAAGATTTCTAGTGATAATACAGTTGAAACGACAGTTCAGTGATAGCAGGTCAGATCAACTGCAGATTTGGTGTGATCCAAAATCGAGGAAAACACAAAAAGACGAAAATGCTATCCAAGATTGACAAATTACACACGGCTTCAGAAACAAATTCAAGGTCAGGCAAATTACCGATGGAAAAATTTATACACGCAACGCAATGATGATAAATTCAACCAGAGGATCCTAATAAAAAAACAGATTCTAAGGAAATCGAACCACCGAAACTCAAATCACCCATCAGCAGAAGTATATAAAAAACGAGACTTTCCGTAACGATTTACCTCATCGGCGATCATTGCGATGAGGGCAGAGTTGCGAGCGGGGATCGAAGCTCTCCCAGCCATTTTGATTCAACTACACACGAAAAAACGAGCCCAGAAGAAAAATCAATCCAGCGAAAACAATTACCGAAATTGGGTAAAACCCCTAAATCAATTCCTGATCTTAGATCGGAAAAACAAAGGATTTGGAAATGAAGACAAAGCTCTTCGATTTCACTCAATTACCTCTTCTCTCTCTGTTTTCTCTTCGTTCTCCGATTTGATTTGATAGATTCGTAATCAATACCACCAAAGACCACGCGCAAAGAAAAAAAACTTGAAGCCAGCATACAATTCAATTGACTATAATACCCCAGATTATTAAACGTAATAACAATATCACCCTCTTATAATAATTGCATTTCTATAGTATAAATGGCAAAAGTGTAATTAATGGTGGGGGTAAAACGATATGAGTGCGAGTCCCATCAAAGCCAGCTTGCCTTTTCAAGGGTATTTTCGTCTTTACGTTACCTTCTTTCTTGTCTCTACTTCAGAGAAACCTCTGTTGATATGTGAAGCAGAACAAAGCAAAAAATCAACAGAGAGAGAGAAGAGTGAGCAGAGCTGCAATGGCGGATTCTCACTCTCTCAACAATCAGCTCTCGGGACATACTTCTATCTTCGGTTTACGTTTATGGGTCGTTCTCGGCGTTTGCGTCGGAGCCGGAATCGTTCTTCTACTGTTTATTATCTCCCTCTGGTTCATTTACAGACGAAGCAACAACAACAAATCTCTCGACTCCTCCTCTAAATCGAATCACACGATCGTCCCAGTAGTTTCCAAGGAGATTCAGGAGATTCGGGTCGACCCATCTCGACAGAATTCCAACCCAATTCAACCCGACCCAACCCCAGAGACACACCAAAACCAAGCTGTCGCTAACAACCGAGAAGACGAAAACAAAATCCATATCGAAATCGGAAAGGATCATCGGATTTCGTACCCGGAGCGAGGAGGTTGGACTGGTTCCGGGTCCGGTTCCGGGTCGGGTGATCAGGGCTTAACCATGTCGGGTCCTGAGGTTTCTCATTTAGGTTGGGGACACTGGTACACGCTGAGAGAGCTCGAGCTTTCTACAAATGGATTCGCCGACGAGAATGTGATCGGACAAGGAGGTTACGGGATCGTGTACAGAGGCGTGCTTGAGGACAAATCAATGGTGGCTATAAAGAATCTGCTCAACAACAGAGGACAAGCTGAGAAAGAATTCAAAGTCGAAGTCGAAGCGATCGGACGAGTGAGACACAAGAATCTGGTGAGGTTGCTTGGCTATTGCGTTGAAGGAGCTCATAGGATGTTAGTTTACGAGTATGTTGATAATGGGAACTTAGAGCAATGGCTTCATGGTGGAGGGTTAGGGTTAAAGAGTCCTCTTACTTGGGATATAAGAATGAACATTGTTCTTGGAACAGCGAAAGGGTTAATGTATTTACACGAAGGTCTCGAGCCTAAAGTTGTTCATCGTGACATTAAATCGAGTAATATCTTGCTCGACAAGCAATGGAACGCTAAAGTTTCAGACTTTGGGCTAGCGAAGCTCTTGGGTTCGGAGATGAGCTATGTGACTACTCGTGTGATGGGTACGTTTGGGTATGTGGCTCCTGAGTACGCGAGTACTGGGATGTTGAATGAGAGGAGCGATGTTTATAGCTTTGGTGTTCTTGTTATGGAGGTGATCTCAGGGAGGAGTCCTGTGGATTATAGCCGGCCTCAGGGAGAAGTGAATCTTGTTGAGTGGTTGAAGAGGATGGTGTCGAATCGAGAAGCGGAAGGAGTTTTGGATCCGAGGATGATGGAGAAACCGTCGTTGAGGTCGTTGAAGCGGACGCTGTTGGTAGCTTTGAGATGTGTTGATCCTAATGCTCAAAAGAGACCAAAGATGGGCCATATCATTCACATGCTTGAAGCTGAGGACTTGGTTCCAAGAGATGATCGGAGAAACTCCGGCGGGGGAGGAGGAGATCCGGGAAGGTCACCGCGGAAGATGAATGCGGCGACGGAATCAGAGGATGAGAGTGTTAATTCCGTTCTGATAAAAAATGACCAGCTAGCTTTGGAGAAGAATGAGGAGAATCAGTAAAAGCGAAGAAGCTTTGGCATTATAGTTTTGTAAACTGTTTTTAGAAGTTTTGTCTTGTGTGTATCAGTGTATGTGTGTAGATTCTTGTAATTTTGCAATAATTTAAAATGTGGCTTCATAGAGAGTAATCTATATGGTCTTTTGTTGTCACTCATTAGGTGAGGGGATACTGTTGTAATATATTATATATCTATAGTGATTTGTTTGTTATATTATTTGTTGTGACATTTTTCTCAGTGTCTTGTGATTTATATATATGTTAATTAAAAAAAAAACTGTGTGATTTCACAAATTTGTTAGTTGTTTTCAGAAGTTTCTTTCTAGTTGTGTGGAGATTATTGAACTATTGATCTATGGTTATTTCTTTCCTTTGCCTGCCTGTGGACTCCATTGTAATATAGCCAACGTGATTTCATTTGTTTGTTATGTTTTCGGTGCATTTATTTCAAGGCCTTTTGATGTATGAATACAAAGTAAGAAACTACACACAGCACGCAAGTTTACCGGAAGGAAGCTTTATTTACGATATCATGTTTGTCAATCAGAATCGGAATCGGAATCGGAATCCGAAAGAAGCTTTCATTGGATTTTCTAAAATACCTCCATAAAAATGATTTGAAAATTTACAATTCAATTATGAAATTCGTCTTAGAACCATGATATCGTAAATAAAAATGAAAATTTTATATGTTACTTATATATACAAAAACGAAAATTAGTATATCACGTATAAAATTTGGCATTTGCAAAGACTATGATTTTCATTTTTTCATCTATAAACAAAATTTATGCTTAGAAAGAGTGAGTCTTATTAGTTGAATAATATTAGGGTATCTCAAAAAGAATTTGAATTTAGTGATTTTTTTAAAAAACACAGAATGTGAAATGGTTTTATTTGATGGATTTGAGAATAATGAGAACAAAAAATCAAATTAGGTTTTTTATTTGAATTACTTTTCAATTATTATCAGTTGAGTTATATAAATTGATATATTTGATTTATGTTATAGACACTTCCAACATATGTATCCGCTAAATTTTTTTAAATGTTCGTTTTTCTATTTCCAAACGCTTCCGTTATCGGATTTTAATTCTATGCAACTTAGATAAAAAAAAAATAGAGTGTGCCTTCCATAAATTGAAGTGATTAATGTATGCTGGTTTACCTTTTTATGGAAAGATTACTGGACGTTATACCAATACATGCATGTATCAAAAACCATATTACTCATAATTTTTATCGAAACTATTTCTAAAATGTTTTTTTTTGTAGATATTTTTATACACAGAATATTCTTTTGTAAGTGGACCTAATGCAAATAGGCCAGAGCCGACAAAAGAATCAGAAAGTAACTCTCACAAAAAGTGAAGAAGAAATGAACAGTATCTTCTCCATTGACGATTTCTCCGATCCCTTTTGGGAAGCACCTCCGCCTCTTAATCCGGACTCAGCCAAGGCTGTTACCGCGGAGGAGGTTAGCCAGAGTCAGCCGGAATGGACTTTCGAGATGTTTCTGGAAGAGATTTCCTCGTCGGTGAGCTCGGAGCCAGTGGGAAACAACAACAACAACAACAACGCCATCGTCGGAGTTTCCTCGGCGCAATCCCTTCCTTCTGTTTCGGGACAGAACGATTTCGAGGACGACAGTCGATTCCGCCGCGATCGCGATTGGGATTCCGCCGCTCCGATTCCGCCGTCGACGGTGATTGCTGATTCCGATGATTACCGTCGCGTTCTCAAAAACAAGCTTGAGACTGAGTGTGCTTCTGCTGTAGCTCTAAGGGTTATCTTCTATTTCCCTCTTTTAGTTAATCTCTATCTGTAATTTGTGCGTTTTTATTGCATTAAGAAGATTCTAAATCTCAGGCTCTTATGTTCTCTCTCCTTTTGTGTTGCGCAGGCTGAGTCTGTGAAGCCTGAAGATTCGACTAGCTCTCCCGAAACTCAGTTTCAACCAGCTCAATCCAGTCCTCTCGCTCAAGGTAAAGACTTAAGAGCCTTATCTTGTTGATGAGCGAAGATAAACTCTGCTGATTCATTTCTGGTCTCTGCATGAAACGTTGTGTTTGTAAATTTGATACCAATTTATGAAACTATACTGTAGAAATGGAAATGGTTGATTTGAAAGCTTTTGTTAGATCATGCGCCTAGACTTAGTATCCATCAAGTTTCAATATTTATGAAACTTTCTCCATGAAATTTATCTTCTTTCTGGAAGACCAATAAGATTGGGATTGAGATGGATTCTGGTGGTTAGTTCAGTTTTTTCTTTAACAGGAGCGCCTAATTTATGATCTGATATGAACGTTTCTGTGTTTTTGTAAATTTGATATCAAGTTAAGAAATGGAAAATGGTTATTTAGAGAAGATTTTGTTAGATCATGCGCCTAGATTTACTACTATCCATCAAGTTTCAATCTTTTTTGCTACTTTCTCCTCCGTAATATTCGTCTGCTTTCTGGAAGACCAATACGCTTTTAGCTACTATTTGTCTTTCAGATACGTCTTTTGAGTCTTACACAAAGTAAGTTTAATCATTGGTAGGTTCTTTGATGACCAGTGGAGAACGTGGTGTCTCTTCTCCATTACCAGCTGAGCTGAAAAAAACTGGCGTAGTACCAATGAAGCAGGTCATGAGTGGATCATCGAGAGAATATTCTGATGACGATGACCTTGATGAAGAGAATGAAACCACTGGTTCCTTGAAACCAGAAGACGTCAAAAAATCCAGAAGGTAAAGTATTCAGTTTTCTCCAATCCCTTGTCTTTCGATCTCTATCTTCACAGTTTTGGACAACCTTGTTCTTTGTAGGATGCTGTCAAACCGAGAGTCAGCAAGGCGATCTAGAAGGAGAAAGCAGGAGCAAACATGTGATCTCGAAACACAGGTTTCATACTTACATCCTCTCAAAACGTCTTATTTTTGTGTTAAAATTATATTAATGAGAGACCTAATTTCTGTTAGGTCAATGAGCTAAAAGGTGAACATTCAACACTTCTGAAGCAACTGAGCAGCATGAATCACAAGTATGATGACGCTGCTGTTGGCAATAGAATACTAAAAGCTGACATTGAGACATTAAGAGCTAAGGTAATACATAAGACTTCATTTATTTCTCCCTCTCTCCGTTTTTCCTAACTACACTTACGTTAGCAACTTCCATGTATTGTTGTTAAGGTGAAAATGGCGGAAGAAACTGTTAAGAGAGTGACAGGAATGAATCCACTGCTTCTCGGGAGATCAAACGGACATAACAACAACAACAACATCAGAGTGCCATTAACTGGTAACCACAGGATGGATTCTTCTTGCATCATTCCAGCTTTTCAACCACAATCAAACCTAAACCATTTGCCAAATCCCAACATTGGCATGCCAAGACTCGATAACAGTTTCGCTCCTCCTCCTCCTCCATCCGTAAACTCCCAAACAAACTCTCACTTGCAGAGGATAAGAAATGCGCAAAATCACCATGTTGCTCCAAGCACTAGTCCATATGGCTGGAATCCTGAACCTCAGAACGATACATCATGGTAAGCTAAAAAATGGCTCTTTTTTATGACTATTTTAACTTTTATGATCCATGTTTATGCATATCAGATTCTTCTTGTTTTTCGCTCGTTTTGCAGGCCAAAGAAATGCATAGACTGATGAAGCAAGAAGCGGAGTTTGGAGCTTTTATCAGTCTCTCTGTATCTCGTATTGTAAGTGTTATAAGTTATTAACCATGAGGATACATTTGTGAAAACACAAGTCTCATGGCTTCATTAACATTACAAGATTCTTATTTAGAGAATCGTTTTTCTATTTATAGCTTAATAAACAGAGTGGAGATTCTGTTTTTATCCAATTAAATAAGGAAAAGTCGAATCGTATCTAATTTTTTCCCTCTCATTAAATTCCGACAACCTCGGCGATGTCCATGGTAGATCGAACAAGCAACCACATTTTCTGATTCAGAAAAAGGAAAACAAAAAAAAGAAACAGAGGAGAAAAGGAGACGACGACGACGACAAACAAGTCAACGGAAAAAAAGCCGTCGTTCTTCCCTCTTTTCCTCTGTTTTCGACATTTTCTTCACGGCGTACGTTAGTCAAAATGGGTTCGAGTAAGCTAAAACGCGCCATAGGAGCCGTGAAAGACCAGACAAGCCTGGGATTAGCGAAAGTCGGAGGTCGAGGCAGTTTTATAACGGAGCTCGAAATAGCCATCGTGAAAGCAACGCGACACGACGAATATCCAGCGGATGAGAAATACATCAGAGAGATCTTAAGCCTAACGTCCTACTCACGCAACTACGTAAGCGCTTGTGTTTCAACTCTCTCTCGACGTCTCAACAAGACCAAGAACTGGTTGGTTGCTCTCAAAACCTTGATTTTGGTCCAACGTTTGTTAACAGAAGGAGACAGAGCGTACGAGCAAGAGATCTTCTTCGCCACGAGACGAGGAACGAGATTGCTTAACATGTCTGATTTCAGAGACGCGAATCGTTCTGATTCGTGGGATTACTCTGCTTTTGTTCGGACTTACGCTCTGTATTTGGACGATCGGCTTGATTTCCGGATGCAAGGAAAGAGAGGGAAACACGGTAATGATGGTGGTGATTCCGGTGACGACGAAGATGATCATCGAGAGACCAATGCCAATATTCGGTCGAGAGCTCTTGTGGTTAAGACCAAACCAGTCACAGAGATGAAAACAGAGAAAATCTTCACCAGAGTACATCATTTACAACAGCTTCTTGATCGGTTCTTGGCTTGTCGTCCAACAGGTATTAACTTGCGTCTTACGTTTTGTTTTCCCCACTCTCAACTTTCTTGTCTAACAAGTTAGGTCTCTCTGTAACAGGTAATGCGAAGAACAACAGAGTGGTGATAGTGGCTTTGTATCCTATAGTGAAAGAGAGTTTTCAGATATATTACAACGTAACAGAGATAATGGGAGTGTTGATAGATCGATTTATGGAGTTAGACATTCATGATTCGATCAAAGTCTATGACATCTTCTCTCGAGTTTCGAAACAGTTGGATGAGTTAGATCCGTTTTACGGATGGTGTAAGAAGATGGGAGTTGCAAGATCTTCAGAGTATCCAGAGTTGGAGAAGATCACACAGAAGAAACTTGATCTCATGGATGAGTTCATAAGAGATAAATCTGCTTTAGCTGCGCAAACATCTAAATCATCATCAAGAAACTCTAACAAATCCGAAGAAGAGGAAGAGAGAAAAACAGAGGAAGTTCAAGAAGAAGATTTCAACACCATTAAAGCATTACCAGCACCGAATCACGAAGAGGAAGAGGAAAAAGAAGAAATGGAAACAAAGAAAGATATTCAAGAAGTGGTTTCAAGACAAGATCAAGAAGGTGATTTGCTGGATTTAACTGACGAGGCGGTTGAAACGGGAGGAGCGGTTGGTGATAGTTTGGCGTTAGCGTTATTCGATGGAGAGGTAGCGACTGAGACTGCGTCTGGACCGGGGTGGGAAGCGTTTGATGACGATTCAGCGGACTGGGAGACAGCTTTGGTGAAATCAGCGACGAGATTGTCGGGACAAAAGAGTGAGCTTGGAGGAGGATTTGACAGGTTGTTGCTTGATGGAATGTATCAGTACGGTGCGGTTAACGCGGCGGTTCAAACGTCTACGGCTTATGGAAGCAGTGGAAGTGCGAGTAGCGTTGCGTTTGGTTCTGCAGGAACACCAGCAGGTAAGATATACAAAATAATATTTATCAATAATATTTATTGCGTTTGCGTTTGGCTTTGGTTTGACTAATAATGAATATGATCTTGAAACATGGTGATGCAGCCTCTATTTTGGCATTGCCGGCGCCACCACCGATGGCCAACGGAAACAGAGTAGGAAGCAAAAGTCAGGTGATAGTAGACCCATTTGCGGCGTCGCTAGAGGTGGCACCACCACCGTACGTGCAAATGAATGATTTGGAGAGAAAGCAAAGATTGTTGATGGAAGAACAAATGATGTGGGATCAGTACAACAGAAATGGAAGACAAGGTTACATGAATTTCATACAAAACCAACAACAACATTATCAGCTTCCATACTCCATGGGACCTTACTCTTACACACCTCGTTATTGATATTATATAAACAAACAAAAGCTATCACACCATTGAAGAGCTTAAGTGATTTTTTGTTGTTCTCTCTCGGACATTATGAACTCTTCTGGTTAATAGTTCTTAATATTACCCTAAGTGTTTTAGTGCATCTTGTAATATTATTTTGTGAGAGTCACTACTTAAATTCTTCATAAACCACTTTTGTGTTCTTTTACTATCAGCAATCCGTTAATCAATCTATAAACCAGATAATCAAGAAATGGAAATGTTAAAAAATTTAAAATCGTAATAACTTCAGGTTTTAAAATGTGGAATTGTGGACCAATTCAGTAAATTATAGGAATAAAAAAGAAAAAAATTGAGAGAGGGATAGTATTTGAGTGGCCAGAGGATGAGATAGCATTGAGGATAACACATTCAACCTTCCGTCTTCTTCTTCCTTCCCAATATACGACCACAAACCTCCTCATCCTTCTAGTCTCGTAGTGTACAACCATGGCCTCTGTTCCTGTGTTAGTGTCACTACCCATCCACAAGCATTTCATGGTGCCTTGGAATGATATGCGGAGAGGTGATTGCTGTGGACGCTTCAATCTATCACTGGTGGCTACTATTGCAAAATCTGCGATTTTTTCGTCCACAAGATATGTGGCGACGGGCCTCCGAATATATCCAACACCCATCACACTCCCTTCACACTCTTCAGCTGCTTCAAGTCATGGCATTATTGCGATTTATGTGGAAGGAATATTGGATCGATGCTATTGTTGTGAGATATGTGACTTCGACGTGTGTCTATACTGTGCCAAGTACCCACCACCACCAGAGGTTATTGACATTTCCGAGACGCATCCTCACAAGCTCACACTGTCAAGGAGCGGACAGAGTTTGTCTGTGATGCCAAATGTGGAAAGCGTGGTTATGGGTTTCTTACAAATGTGACGAATGTGATTTAGCATTCCATGTGGAGTGCGTATGGTACTCATACCCATCGGATGTGATACGCCCCAAAGAAGTAAACCACTCTTACCATTCCTTGCACCCTCTCAAGCTCATTACAGGCGATCCACCGGACTATTCCGATGGAAAATGTCGTCTTGTGGAAGAAAGGTTGATAAATGGTTTTATCATTGTTCTTCTTGTAACTTCACCTTGGATTTGCGCTGTGTTTTGACCCCACCACCACAATCTCTTGTGGATTTGAAAGTGCATGATCACCAACTCACCCTTCTCCCAAGACTCGATTCTTTTACATGTAATGCTTGCGGGCTCAAGGGAGATCGAAGCCCTTACGCATGTTTTCAATGTGGTTTCATGATCCATCGAGATGTCTTGGCCTTCCACGCGTCATAAACATCAATCGGCATGATCATCGTGTTTCTCGCACTTCTCTTCTTGGTGTTGTGAATTCTGTATGTGGAGTTTGTCGCCAGAAGGTGGATTGGACTTGTGGGGGTTATCTTGTAAGAGGTGCACTGGCTATGTCGTGCATTCGAAATGTGCTACCAAGAGAAGGATGTTGGAACGGGAAAGAACTTGAAGGAGTACCTGAAGAAACAGAAGATATAGAGCCATATGTGGTGAATTGATGACAACACGATACAACATTTTAGCCACAAAGAGCATTATCTAAGACTTAATGATGATGGTATTCTGTATGAGGAGAACAACCGTTGCAGCGCATGCATCCATCCCGTCGGTCTCCAGTCCTATTATGGCTGTCTCAGTTGTGATTTCATTCTCCATCAAAACTGCGCTAAACTTCCTAGGAAGAAATGGCATGTGCTTCACAATGATCGACTTACTTTAGTTACAGACGAGACTAATTGGTTCCGGTGTTGTGCTTGTCTTAGAATGTCCAATGGTTTCAGGTACAATGATGAGAAACTGGAAGGAGTTAGATGTCCGATGTGGTTCGATTTCTGAGCCATTTGTCCATCCAAGTCATCCCAATCATCCTTTATTTGACATTCCAAATAATCTTTCTACAAAGTGCAATGGTTGCAAAACTTATAGGGGATATGCTGAGCTCAGTTGCATTGAAGATGGTTGTGGATTTGCCTTATGCTACGGTTGCGCCACTTTACCACAAGTTGTAAAGCACAGAGTTCACGATCATCCTCTCACACTATGCTATGGAGAAGATGCAAGTGGTAAATACTGGTGTGACATTTGTGAGAGAGTATGTGATCCAAGGAAGTGGTTCTACACGTGTAAAGATCACCATGCTAGTTTGCATACAAAATGTGTGCTCGGACCTTATGTAGGGTTCATGCCAAGAAGCATACTAGAGGATTTGGACTCATATGAGGTGGTGCTCAATGGTAGTGTGTCTCGCCCATTTTGCACCAAGTGTAAGTTGCGTTGTGTATACCCTATCATCTTGAAGAGGCTTGGAGTTGGAGTCTCAGATGGATACACTTGCTCTTTACTATGTGCATATAAATTCAAATAGATTTCCTTGGACGTTTTCATCTTCAAGTTCGTTTCTTATTCCATTATGCATTAATTTCTTTAATGTATTAACTAGAGTTTGACCCGCGCCTTGTACGGGATGGTATTTTCTCAATTTGATTTTATTAAAAGATATATATTTACATACAATTTTAGGAACATAGAGTGTTAGACAATTAAAAAAATATCAGTTTATATTAGACGAAATTTTGAGTGATGCATAGGTTCGTCATTTTTGAACCACGAAACTCTTGGTTTCCATTTTTTTAGCATGGTTTGATTTTTGTCATCGTTTACAGTGTGGTAATCTAACATTTGCTTTAACAACAGTTTCTCCCTTTCCGAACCCACATATATATTAAATTTTAATACATTTAAAATAATTTTATATTTTGATAAATATAAAATGGCATATATATTTTATGTTTTTATCAATTTTAAATAACTAAAATAATTTAACTTATATGATAAGTTATTAGAATTTATTACGTTTAAAATTTTGATCAAACCAAAATATTAAAAAATACGATTTAATTATTTAATTCAATTAAAGAATCAAATTAAATCGAATAAAAGAAATTTTAAAGATTTCCAAACATGGTAAATTTTTCTTTCCTATTTGTGATTATGGTTGATCATTATTTGGATCCTATTTTATAATAGGTTTTTGAACTATTATCCCAAAATATAATCATGTGGGACATTTAACATTTTTAGAGATTTGCTTCATTTTTAAAAATTCAAACCATAGCATATGTAGAAAAAAACTAATTTTCTTTTTTTAAATATTTTGATGTGATGATATAATTTATTCTTGAAAGTAAAGCTAAACAAAAATGATAGATGAATAAATTAATTTTTAAACAATTAATATAATACAATTGAATAAAACTTTCCATATTTTACTGATTGATTGACTAATAAATAAATTTTCGTCATTACCAAATAAGGAAACTGAAAGAAAATAATTTTCATTAATAATTATTTTTCTGACTAAATTAATCATATATATTTCATTCTCTAACCAAATATGAATGGCATAACATGTAATTAGTCTAGTAATGTTTGTCTTAATTAAAACTAACCTTGAAAGTGAACCTGGTGTTGACACATCAGCATGGCATTTCTGTTAATAACACATGAGACAAAGGTTTATTTTATAGTGTTTTCTCTTTTAATATATTAGGAATATCTACCAAGCTTGCAATCTTAATTTAATATATATGATCTCGTCGTCTTAACGCTTTCATTTTTTTAGTCTTTCGTCTTAAAAACGAAGAACACACTACAGTTTTGTCTGCTCGAACACAACACTACAGTTTTGTCTACAGACCAAACAAAAGAACACAACACTACAGTTTTCCTCTCATAACACATCGATTTAACTAACATAAACTAACTTACATGGTATCAGGTCTATGGAATTTATTGTTAAACACCATATAACTCTGATAAATAAGACTGTAGTATAGCGGTAATTTTATCGAGAAAACAAAATGATGCTCGAAACGTCTCAACAAGACCAAGAACTGGTCGGTTGCTCTCAAAACCTTGATTTTAGTCCAACGTTTGTTAACAGAAGGCGATCGAGCCTACGAGCAAGAGATCTTCTTCGCGACGAGATTGCTTAACATGTCTGATTTCAGAGACGCGAATCGTTCTGATTC